TGACATCTGGATCTGAGGCATTAACTGAGCGGGCTTAGAAATGGCAGCTGTGACCAACTGTGACAAAAGCGTTACTTGACGACTTGTGGGGGTGACGACTCAGCCGGGACGGATAGTATTGATCTACCCAATAAACGAACATTAGGTCATGTCTCCGATTCATCCAATAGATCACATTTCAAGCGTAAACATTGTCCACTCAATTCCTCTGGCGCTCACACCGAAAACTGCGACAAAAGTCTTCCCAAACACCCGACTGATTCCCCGCAATGCACTGGAAGGTGCTTCAAGGAAGTTCGGAACCAGGCAGGTATGGTGGGTGCCGAAGTCTATCAACGACGAGCTCTCGGTGATTATTATGGTGCGAGAAGCGAGGGGGGTGTTTGGATGTTGAACCATTAATGTCAACCAATAGTATTTTGTAGTTGACGAATAATTTACCTCTTCTGAGTTTCGCCTGGTTTTGCTATGACACAACCCTAGTTCTGTCATGTTCTGCCGGCAAATAGTTCTACCCACAGCACTGTCGGTAGTCCTGCGCATTGTTGTAGTAGTCGGTCCTGGATAGATAGAGCCGTAGTATAGAGGTTTGGCCTTGTATTTCCCTTGCAGTCCGTGTCCGTTCAAGTTCCAGTGCTATTTTCGTCGCTGAAATTGTTCGAAAAAGACTCACCCCAGAAATCTGAGAGACACACTGTCTGGTTGGAGAGATTATATTAGATATGTTGCGAGGCCACATTTTGTGAAATGATGGCACATGCTCTGACGTGCATTCGAGTTGCACGAAAGACACAACACCGGCGTGACCGATGCATATCTCCATTCTGCCTGACATGCCCAGGATCCGGCAATAGGAACCGACCCTATTCGACTGCCAATAATACACACAAGAGAACGTCACATTCCCTGCGTCGCAAAGAAAACTCCCGAGTCACGTTCCTGGGAGTACTAGTAGCAGTACAATGATGTCATACATCATTATGTACACCTGTGGGAAGTAATCGATGAGTTAGGAACGTGTGCAAACACGTGACTCAAATTTTGGGGTGCTAGAAACTTTGACAAGCTGCCAAAGTGCCGGTTGCCACTATCGGTCAGTGCTAACTCTGCGCATGTAGCCTAGTGGCTGAATGTCATGCTCAAGCAGCAAGCTACAGTCACCTTCATACATAAAGGGACAGCAGATTTATTTTAAGAGTGTCCTGGATCCATGTGCCATACTACGTGCTAGTACATTGGCCTCATCTGACCTACCTCTCGGATGACCCGGAGGCAATGCTTCAACAATCCATCAATGCGCAGAAGCGGTCTGTCAAGCACGTTCTCCCACTTTGGCGCAGTCTGCAGAATCGCGTTTGACTCCTGCGTTGGTCGCGGATGGTTAGCCTTTGCTTCCGATGAAGCTTTGTTGGTTGGTCCCCCCCGTCCCATATTTTTAGGGTTCAAGTTAGTGCCTTACAAAGATTCTACGTATACCAAACTCAAATATACCCAGATCGCACCACCGCGTCATGGTGCATCTGATGGCCGTCTGCGAGTAATGTATTGTTGCTATCTATATCACCGGTGTACAAGATATTCCGAGTTGTATCTAAATCAACCTCGGCAAATATTGGTTTTTGATTCATTGGGTCTTACTTGCAGGGAACTTACATGGCTCTAGGGACAGCGGCCGCGACTGATTTCTATTTATTCTACCCCTGTGTCGCCTTTAAGAAAGCTCTCTTGAGGATTGTAGACCTGCATTCCCCGTACCAAGACGCATTCCTCTACACTCCCATTACTAAATCATAGTTCTTTCTCAATGCCTGTTCGGTTCGCACATCACTCTGAAGTCGACGTTCTCATTATTGGCGCTGGACCTGCTGGTCTCATGTGCGCAAATGCCCTCGCAAATGCGAGAGTGAATGTCCGCATCGTCGACCAAAGGTCAGTGGATCAATCCCTTCCATGCCTGCTTTTAATTCAACTTTTGGTTAGGGCCTTCAAGATAACTGCCGGTTATGGGGATGGAATCTCACCTCGCACTATTGAACTGTTGCAGGTGAAAATGCTTCCTGACTGACCGAATAAGACTCAGTATTAACGAGCTGAACATAGAGTTATGGACTTGCAGAGCGCCTTCTGAAGGAGTGTTCCCAAATCCATCTAGCGGTACGCCTTTGAAGACGAGCTTGCAGGATATGTGACTCATTGCATCTTAGGCATTCTACAACCCTTCTTCGACCGGCGGCATAGAGGTTCGTAAAATCCGCTATCGACGAAGGATGTTCACCGAATTTCCGCCATTAGCTTACCAAAAGAACATCAAACATAACAGCACCGTCTGCAAGATACCCATTCGAGGTGAGTTCATAAATTGGATGGGAATTATATCAGCTGAATGAGATCAAGGCTGCGCTCCATCAAGGAGCCATTCAAGACATTTTCTTAGATTCCATGTCATCGCTTGGTGTTGAGGTCGAACGATCGACCATGCCGACTTCGATAGAGCTCTCCAAGGATGAAGACGAATTGGCGGATCCTACGTCATATCCAGTTCGCGTTGCGCTCCAAAGACTAGACCAATCAGAGGATGAACAACAAGAAATTGTCCACGCTAAATTTGTTATTGGTGGTGACGGTAGGCTCCTAAAATGTCGATCTTGCCAATATAATCATTCACATTGATAGGCGCTCACTCATGGACCCGCAAACAATTCGATATCACGATGGATGGTGAACAGTCTGGTGAGAAAGTTGATCCTCGAAAATTCTCAGCAAGCTCAGTCTCGATCGATAGATGCCATCTGGGGTGTCGTGGACTTTGTGCCCGAAACTGACTTCCCGGATGTCAGGAATAAGTGTCTTGCACAATCTAACTATGGCTCGATGTTTCTCCTTCCTCGAGAAGAGGATCGCGTTCGCGCATATGTCCAACTGGAAGATCGAGATGTCATCAATCCAGTGACAGGCAGGGTGGACAAGGATAGAATGGGTCCAGAGGAAATTCTTCAAGTAAGTGGTATCCATCATCATACTACGGTCAACATTCATCAATGTTCCCCTTAGACCGCCCAGAAATCGCTCAAACCTTACAAGCTTATCCGGAAGAGTGAATTTTTGTGGTGGACGATATATAGCGGTATGCATCTTACTGCCAACTATGAATTCGTGTTTGTCTGACACTTTTACTCAAGTTGGACAACGAGTGGCCTCGAAGTTTTCTGTCAAAAATAGAGTATTCATCGCTGGTGATGCTTGCCACACGCACTCTCCAAAAGCAGGTAAGCGTCCTAAATTTGGCCCCTCCCCCCGGTCTGGTTACAATGGAACTTCCAGGACAAGGAATGAACGCGAGTATAAACGATAGTCACAATCTAGGTATGTCTTCCGTTGCTGTCGTCGCGATCGAGCTAAATCGCTTTGTCAGCTTGGAAAATTGCCCAAGTTATTCGTGGGTGGGCAGATATGTCTCTTTTATCAACGGCAAGCTCACTCTTGTGCAGTTATTTGAGTCCTTGCTCACGTCCCGCCGATAGTACGAATCGGAGCGCCGTAAATTCGCATTAGAACTGATCGCATTCGATAAAACATGGTCCACCCTTGTCTGCGAGAAGCCCTTGACTGAGCAGAACAGCGATGGGGTTTCGTCCGAACATGTCTTGAAGTGAGATTATTCTACCAACAGTCTCATCTTGTTACTAATCCCGCGAGTTTGTAGGACTTTCCAAACAGATTTCACCAGTGGAATCGGGATACATTATCACCCTTCGGTTGTAGTAAATGACACATACCAGGAGCTGGCTAGTGGTCTCGTCCTCGGCAAACGCGTCCCTCCATACAAATTCATGCGGGCAGCAGACGGACGGCCATTCGAGCTCCAGGACCTGCTTCCTTCAGACTCCCTCTTCAAGTTACTTGTGTTCACCGGTGAATTCAGCGATCCGCTTCAGCAAGCGAGGGTCGAGTCGATGGTCGTGGACATGCAGAAACCCGGGAGCTTCCTGAACTGTTACGCGACGCCTGGGAGCCCGCGATTCGACATCATCACGATCAGCAAGGGCCGGAAGGATGAGTTCAATCTATTGCGGCTCCCTGCGCTTCTTCGCCCTCATTGGTCAAAGTGAGTGCTTCCTTATCTGTGTCAAGTGGGATGATATTGATCGAGGTGCTCTTAGGGTGTTTGTCGATGACACCAATCCCACTGGTAACTTTGGGGGAGAAGGTTACTCGTATTTTGGAGTGGGATCTGAGGGTGCGCTGGTTGCTGTTCGCCCTGATGGCTATGTTGGAGCCATCGCGCCACTGGATCGCGTTGAGGTCCTTGATGCGTATTTCGCGTATTTCATGAAGATTCCGGCTTAGGCTTAGCGCCAATCTTCTTCAAATGCTACTTCACCATTTCAACATGACGTTTCTGGGATATAAGTAATCCCTCCAGCAATTTGTATACCCTCAATACTTATTTTCGCACGGACAAGATTCAGGCTCAACGACAGATCTTCTTCTAATGCTGCTAATTTGCTGTTTCAACATAGCATTAGTTCCTGGGATATGATCCTTCCAGCAATTTTCATACTCACAAACCAGACTTATTCACATGTAAACTTTATAGTACAATGCACTATTTCTTCATTCTTTTCTGGAGATGAGCTATCGACACAGGTAATGTCAATTCACACCTTGGAAATGGAGGATCGTGTCTTAGAACCGAGCTTACTCGAACAGTCGACGAGGAGTAGGTAAGAACTACCAACGCCGACTGTTTCTGCCGATCTAATAATACAATCCGAGAGGCAGAGGCAGAGTCGAAGTCTCATACATACACCTCCGCTAGCATGCGTGTAAAAGTGGTCAGGGTCAATTTGTATGTGATAATTAATCGGAGGGAGCTGAGCGCTGACCGTAGAGGCCAAGTGGAGGCTACATAGAGTTTTGCCAGTTCTGCTCCCTATATTATCGAAAGATAGCGATTCTTCACGCAGGTATATGATCGTGTCTATCATATTGGCATTGGACGTCAGTACTTAGTAAGCCTAAAATAGTGCTTAGGACGTAATAGAAGTAAGTCGTCTTCCTACCGTTCCCAACTTCCCCTTCAGATTTATCGTTTTCGAGATCGCATATTACAAACCATGCATCTCCCCTCTATCCCGAGAACGAAGGGGTAACTAGACAGTGTCAAGAAGAGCGTTGGCTAGAAGAGTCGCAAGCCTTGTCATGGAAGATGTTTGGAGGATGCACGAATTCGAAGGTGTGGGAGACGAAGAGACGTTGGAAAATGCCGGGCCGTGATTTCTGACGACCATCATGCTAGCGGGATGTCGTACTCAGGTCAGTCCGAATCATCCACCCATCACGCGCACGCACTGCAAGGGGTCCGCCTGTTCTTGGTCTCGAAAAGGCAAAATCTAGTATTGAGCACGTCACGCGCGTGAGATCTCACTCAGCTACTACTAGTTCCAGCACAGAATCCCTGACTCTCACCCTCCTCCACGCCTAACATCCATCATGCCTGCGCACCTCACAACCCGCCCAGAGTACTCCCTCCTAATCGACAGATATGACACATGGATGTTCGACTGCGACGGCGTATTATGGCACGGCGATCGGTTGATCGAAGGGGCTGTAGAGGTTTTGGAGATCCTCCGGAAGCGAGGTGCGTGCCAAGTCGCATAATATTTGGTATCGAAAATGACGATGATGGCGATCTTTTGATACCGATTGTTATGAAGGGAAGCGAATTCTTTTCGTCACCAATAACGCTAGCAAGTCGAGGAAGAGTTATAAAGCCAAATTTGATGCCTTGGGTGTGCAAGCAAGTGTGGTGAGTGTTTCGTTCAGGTTGGGTCTTGATAGATCCAGAGGCCATTTCCTGATTGTTATGATGCGATGGATTGTAGGAAGAGATATACGGTTCAGCATATGCTTCTGCTGTTTACATATCCTCAGTCATGAAACTTCCAAAGGATAAAAAGGTGTATGTGATCGGGATGGCAGGCATTGAGGAGGAGCTGAGGGAAGAAGGTGTTTCTTTCATTGGTGGAACGGTATGATATCCCTTCCCTGATCCTACTCCAGCCCACCGCTCACTACCCAAACTCACACTTACGCACTGACTCGCGCGCGCATATACTCAGGACCCAGCAGATTGCACCCTCGAACCATTCTCCCTCTCGTCTTTCTCCCTTGACCCAGACGTCCAAGCCGTCCTCTGCGGCCTAGACCTCAGCGTGAACTATACGAAACTGTCAAAAGCATTCCAATACCTCACACGAAACCCCGGCTGTCAATTCCTAGTCACCAATGAAGACAGCACATTCCCAAGCGCCGATGGTCTCTTGCCTGGAGCAGGAGCTATCAGCGCTCCATTACGTTATGCACTGGAGAAAGATCCGATAAGTATTGGGAAACCTGCGAAGACAATGTTGGATTGTATTCAAGCCAAGTACGTTTCTACGTCTTAGCTGTCTTTTTGGTGTGTTTGGTTGACGGGAGATGATAATGACCTGCGTTTATGATAGGGTGAAATTCGATCCGGAACGCACGATCATGATTGGAGATCGGTTGAATACTGATATTTTGTTCGGACAAGCTGGGGGCCTGGCAACGCTCCTTGTCCTGACTGGTGTGTTTCCAAATTCAACGATCAGTCCTTGTAATAAACGTTGTGCTTTGTAGGCATTACGTCGAAGCAAGATATCACCGGCCCAAACGCTTCACCCATAGTACCCGACTACGTTACTCATTCTATCGGAGACCTTCGTGTTGTCGACGGACAATAGGTTTAGTCTTCCTCATACATACCCACGTAGAAGGGGCTGGTACCGCAAGGGAGATGTAGATATCTTGGACACGATTTGAATAGAAGGAACTAGAATTGGAATCGAAATCGGCGCCTCAGGTGGTCTTCTGCTTCCTCGATCGTCATATGCTGATGTTCTCCTTACCTGCTAGCCACCCGAGTATGGTGATGGAAAGAGCCGACTGTATGGCCAGCGATTCCTCCAAACAGAGGCGTTGGTGGCCAGATCTAAGTATCATGAGCATTCTCAGAGCGTCTACAAATCCTGAGAGACAAAGCTCAGGCATGGTTCAGGTTTCATGACAACTGTCCGAGAACAGTGTTCTCTGTGCCGGAAGACCTTACCTTTAATGTAATCACCGATGGGCACCTCTTCTTCGTGGACAGGCGGCCAGAACACGACGAATACTTGCTCGAAATCTTTCCAATATCACCAAAACCCTCACAATTATCACTGCTATCTGTGCAGGAACCTGCGTAAAAATGCTAGATGGTGATCCGGCACACACGAAACGAAATGTACAACGAGATAGAAACAAATCCTGAGGGAGGCCGACCTCATACATACACGCATAGAAGGGCATCAGTAAGAGTGATTTATAGGTATTAGAACTCGATTTAAATAAGGAACTAGAATCGCAATCGGTGCTTCAGGTGGTTTTCTGCTTCTCCGATTGTTCTCTTCTGATATTCTCCTCGGCTAGCCATTTTAGTGCGCTGACGGAAAGTGCTGAGAGAGATCCGACTATATAGCCTGTGATCCCTCCAAAGAGAGGCGTCAACGGCCAGGCCTAGGTATCATAAGCTCGAGCCTAGATGAACGACGCTAGGACTGACCTGCCATGGCCGATCCCAGTCCAGTGCGATTGGAAAAGCACCGAGCCAAGCGCCAAGAAGAGTCGCGACAGCGGGATAAACCAGAGCTCTTTCTATCGGATTTCGCGGACTAACACAATGTCAGGCAAAGAGTAAAACGGTATACATATTAACTCACGAAAGCTCAGCGAATAAACGTGTCCAGTTAAGTCTGGTGATGAAGGACGAAGTGTCGGAAGAGAACGAGGGGTAACCCAGTGCATAGGCTGGTGCGAATACGGATAGCAGTGCTAGAACGATCGCCAGCAAGAATGTATGAGGGAGGTGGCTTTCCATATATACAATCAGCACGAATCTCGTGGGATGCGTCAATGGTTACCTTGCAGAAGGAGCACCGAACAATACTATAGTTGCATGGAACACCAAGGCTACACACGAAGTGAAGACAGCCGCTCTCCCTAATTTCTAAGAGAATATGAGAAATATGAATCGCGAGGAAGGAGACACACCGAGAATCTCCCCTGATTGAACTGATACCTATCCACTTTAATCTGATCGCTCGAAGCAGCACGAGAAGTATATTCGAAACACCAATGTCTGATCCACCCCGCCCACCATACTTGGAGGACTACCAGCCCTGCGACGATCCAGGCGAGCGTGACGACTGGGTTATCTGTCAGTGCGTCTTTAAACTGGGTTTCTGGACGGTCGGGGTCTGCGAGCGATGGCCAGAGTAAGAGAGATGTCTGGGGTAGGAAGAGGGCTGTGAATGCTACGAGGCTGGTGTGCACGCCTACGACGGAGGTGTACCTTGCATATGGGAAGAATGCATGTTGAGCCTTATCTGTGGAAGATGAAACCACGGTCTTTGCGGGCATTTTAATGAGTAGTGGCAGGGCTCAGCTACCTTAGCTCATTAATATGTGTCGGGCACTTGTGACTACACTTGAACTTGTCGGTGAACCGCGTACTATGACAAATAACTCCGCCGGACATCGCCGGAGTACTGTACCTTCAGTACTAGTACTTACTTACCACTAGGCTTTACGTGCTACATGTGAATCATTCCTTGTGGTCATGAACGTAGATATGGCTACATTCCACAAGCAATGGGGTTTCATTCGATCTCCCGCATGCGGAATGCCGCAGTGCCAACCCGACCGGCGCCGCCGCAACATCGTCTTTCATACGGCATAAAGTTTTAGCACCCGCATTTATGAATGTGCCTTTTGGACCTCGTCAATTCGCACACTCGAAACGAACCTAAACAGTCAATGATTTCACCACGTTAACTGGGGATGAGAAGATATGTGTCTAGGCTAGTTGGCTGGAACGATTTGCTGCCTCTCTAAAAGGCTCAACTTGTTGTCTTGTTAAGACGTGGCCCGAGCTCGCGACATGGATCCATTGAGCGTGGGTGTCAATGATGCCCTTCCAGGCTGTTCCCTTGCATCGATTACTATCACTAGAGAAACTGCCAGGACGTTACGCGTTAAACTTGCTTCTGGACCAATTTGACACTTTCCAAGAATTTCAATACAGACTCGTTCTACCGCGGTATTCCAACACATCCGAGTCCTCAATTGATCCACGTTCCACGGGCGCCTTTCCTTGATATAAATAGAGTCATGATGCTTCATTTCGCACTGTCGAGATGGATCCCATCACCAGCGGTCTCACTATTCTTCAGCTTGTTCAAACGATAGCGCAAGCTTCAGCTCTTGTGTTAAAATATGTTGCTTCTGTCCGCAACGCTGACTCGTCTTCTCGGAGCTTGCTTAACGAGTTCAGCTCGATTGGCGGAGTCCTGACCACTGTTATGGAGATCGAGAAAGATGGCACTCTTCCAGACAATCTCCGTTTTGCACTTTCAAATCTGATGGCCGACAACGGCCCAGTCGCGAAATTACAGATGGAACTGAAGAATATTCTGCCAAACGAACAGGAAACAGGGAAGATGAAGAAGATGAACGAATGGAGGTGGCCGTTCAAGGAAAAGGAAGCAGGAGAAATTCTCGATAAATTGAAAGGATATTGCGTCGAGATTACAGACATTCTAGCAATCGATACATGGTGAGCTAACTCGCCTGTGATAATCACTCATTGCTAATGTAACGTAAGGATCACACTCACCGAAGTCGATCGAACCATCAAGAAAGTCAATCTAGGAGTCCAAGAAGTAGGTCGAGGCATGAAGAAAGTTGAACTAAAAGTCCAGGAAGTGGGTCGAAACGTTCAGGAAGTTGGCCGAGGAATCCAGGAATCAAAAATGGTTCAAGAAGCGCAGAAGAAAGGTGAGACGATGGGTGCCACTTACCTCCTCACCCTGTTGAACCATGCATAGCCGAAGAACGTGAACAGTTCCTTCGATGGATGAATCCTGTCCCTTGTACCGAAAAGCACCGTACCTCCCGTCGCCAGCGCAACGCTGCGACCGGTCGGTGGATTTTTCATGCCGAGCAATATGCGGCCTGGAACACATCCGATTCCTCATTTCTGTGGTTGAGTGGCCAGCGTGAGTTTTATTGTGCTCGTCATTAATTACAGGTTGCTGACGTTCGAAACAGCTGGGAGTGGAAAGACCATCCTTGCGTAGGTTTTACCATTTCTGGATAACTTTTGGAGGGTCTCAATTGATTTCTGAATACTCAGTTCCGCTGTTATCGACGAAATTGAGGGCGGCGGGGAGAAGCTTGGTTATTTTTATTGCAATTTTCGAGATGACCAGACGACAAACGCAGCTGCAGTATTGCGATCTTTGGTTGTTCAGCTCCTCCGGCAATCTACAGACGACTGGATCACCAAGATACGCAAGCCAGAGCAGGAAGATTCCAATGCAAAAGTGGATTTCGTCTCCCTGAATGAGCTAGGACAACAACAACGTAACGGAGAGCGTTGTTCCACAGATCTGACATTTCTGCGACAGCTGCTTGTTGAAGTGTCCAAACTAGTTGACCGACCGGTTCTCATGATTGACGCCTTGGACGAATGCAAGGATTATATTGATCTGGTGGAACACCTCGCAGACCTTGCCAGAGCTGCTCAACTACGACTTTTCGTCACTGGTAGAAGCAAACCAGACATACAAGACGCCTTCCATGATCTCCCCACCATGTCGCTGAAGGACAGCGCAGAACAGATGAAAGCAGATATACGTGCGCACATTACTGAGCAGCTCAAGACTCAGAGGCGTCTGTCATGCCTACCCGAGACGCTTAGAAATTTGATTTCAAAGAAACTGTTAGACAAGGCCGAGGGCATGTAAGTAAAGCAGCTTTCATCGCTGCTCGGAAATTCATGATCGTATGATCACATGCAGGTTTCGCTGGGTTCAGTGTCAACTGGACGAAATTCGACGTTGCGCGAGAGATATTGATATTAAGGTTGCCCTAAACAATCTTCCGGCTGGATTAGACGAAACATACGATAGGATTATTCACGGCATCTCACAAAAAGGGCGAGGTTACGACCAAATTGCCCACCATTGCTTGCTTTGGCTCGTTGGTGCTCTCACCCCATTGACGCTTGGCCAGCTCAATGAGGCTATGATGATCGATGTCAAGCAATCAATTCTTGATCCGGATCTCCGCGCCAGTGATCCTATGGATATCGTGGTCGCATGCGGAAGCCTTGTGACCTACGACGAGACTACTGGCGTCGTTGCTCTATCTCATTATAGCGTCAAAGTATGATATATTGACCCTTTTTATGCTACTCGTGCGCTGACTCGTGCGCTACGAAACCAGGAATACCTGATCAGTCGTCGCCCTAATAACATCCTGAAATCAACCTCAGACACGCATGCACGAATCTTCGAGCTTTTGATCACGTATGTGTTATGTGACTCCGTGCCTGTGACGTATGCAAAAGGTATAATACAGTGTTCCACATTTAAGGGCTATGAAACTGAAGGTGTTTGTCGGGTTGTACTATAGGTTCTGCTTCTGCTGTCGGTGGAGAAGAAAACCGTCCATTGCGGAGCTATGCAGTTAAAGCTTTGACGCACCTTTGTCATGTTTCGGATGAGGATCCTCGTGTTATGGCTGCCATGCAGCGGCTACACTTAGGGTTCCTTCACAACACAGAGAAACATGCCCTGCTTGAAAGTCTAGTTCGATCATTAACGAACGATGAGCAGTCGAGTGTCACTTCCCCCTCACTTATACTCGTCCCTCTTCGGTTTGGAAATCCATGGATGGTGGAAACCCTGGTCAAGGAGCAATCCGACCTCCTGGGCGCGGATGTCGCCCGTGGTTTTGGTTCTCCCTTGATTTTTACCATAGCCTCGAACACTGCCTTTCTCAGCGTCCTCTTGAAGCTGGGCATCGACCTAAACAAGCCTTCTTTTATCCAAACCGATTTGTATCATCGGCGGCGTCTTCCTTCAGGCTCCTATACTCCAATTTCGTGGGCAGCCGCGATTGGAAGTAAAGTGGCTGTGGAACTCTTGCTGTCACGAACGGAGGTCACCCTACCAGATGACATTCTGCACACAGCCTTTCTGTCTTACCGGCGGTCTCCAGAAATCGCTCTCAAACTGTGTCAACGCAACGCAGATGTCACTTTCACCGTCGATGGCTCCACTCCTCTTCATGCTTTACTTTCCAAATTAGTTTCCCGTTGGTCCAACAAAAAATGGCTACCAGTCATAGAAAAGCTCGTCCGTGATCTTTCTGTGCCTGACTGGACCGCCAGAACGGCACTCCACATTGCCCTCGACAATCGTCTGAGCGATATTGTCGTATACCTCCTTGAACAGAATGCACCGCTGACAGCAACAGCAACACTCCATCCAAACATTTGGAGCTGGGCGGAAGGTGAACAGTGGTTTACCAAGGTTCAAGCAGCGGCTCTCACTGCTGATAAACCGTACACCAGAATTAGGGGGAAGATCGTCGGTGTTACAAAGCAATCGCGAGTCGTCGAGTTTCCAGGCGCAGTCAGTGCCAATCACGGAGACCCCGAACCCATTTGTGCTGTTGTTGTTTCTGTCATTGACAGGAGGAATCCAAGCAGTTCCGTTGTTCATAGTCTTTCGCGGATTAAGAGCCTGAGCCTGGAGGCAAGCCTTTTTCGCAGTAAATTGCTGCATCAAAACGAAGCACAAGAGTTCCTTGAAAACGACGAATTCGCTCCACTCAAGTTTTGCTTATCATGGAAAAAGAATCAACAGTATGTCTCTAGCCGGCTGTTCGATTATCATCAAGGAGATGCAGTTACCAGCGCTCTACGAAAGTTAACCTGGGATGAAGATTCTACTGGCGATTCCCTTTTTCTTCGGTTATCCGCAACAAAGAGTAGCTATTTTGATGAGCTTGAGTACGCACTTGATATCTACCGAGGTCATCTGCATTAACTTTACATCTTATACGCGGCCACATACTGCAATACTCTACAAGTGCACTGCCAGTATTCACATAAACGTTCCACATAACTTCGCGCATTGAACTATTATAGATATTTGACACCAAGTCACGAGAACCACAGGAAAATCGGCCTCCAGTGACTACTTAAGTTGGGAAAACTGCATGTGGGAAGAACGCATGATCTGTCGAAGATACATTAGTGATACTGTCTTTGCGAGCAGAGGAATGTGGATGACAAGCGCTGTAAGCAGAGCCAACTCAGAGGTATATCATTCGACATTGTACGTGGTGCTTTTGTACGATCCAACCATGTGCTACGAATCTTTGCTCCTAAAGAGTGTGCACAGCCTGAGTACTGTCATATGTACTGAATATTCATGTGCACAAAACTCAACAATAACTCAAAGAGCATGAGGCCTCCGATGGTCCAGCGCAAAAAGAAATCAAGACTAAATTATCAACGCACTGAAATATCCGAGGACGGTCCACCTACAGGCTACCAGTCTGACAGTTCTAGCATGGCGAGACTCGAGTGTCGATTCCGAATCATCTAGGAAAATGGCCTGGACTAAGTGCATGAACACGTAGACTTGATGCAGAACCCGACAAGGGTTCATATAATAAATAGCTCAAAGTCTCAGGAGCGTGTCCGGATCAGCATCAGCCAAAGCACACATTTCACCAAATAGTGAGAGACAGCGGGATAAACCAGAGCTCTTTCTATCGGATTTCGCGGACTAACACAATGTCAGGCAAAGAGTAAAACGGCATACATATTAACTCACGAAAGCTCGGCGAATAAACGTGCCCAGTTAAGTCTGGTGATGAAGGACGAAGTGTCGGAAGAGAACGAGGGGTAACCCAGTGCATAAGCTGGCGCGAATACAGATAGTAGTGCTAGAACGATCGCCAGCAAGAATGTATGAGGGAGGTGGCTTTCCATATATACAATCAGCACGAATCTCGTGGGATGTGTCAATTGTTACCTTGCAGAAGGAGCACCGAACAATACTATAGTTGCATGGAACACCAAGGCTACACACGAAGTGAAGACAGCCGCTCTCCCTGATTTCTAAGAGAAGATGAGAAATATGAATCGCAAGGAGACACACCGAGAATCTCCCCCTATTGAACTGATACCTATCCACTTTAATCTGATCGCTCGAAACAGCACGAGAAGTATACTCGAAACACCAATGCCTGATCCACCCCGCCCACCATACTTGGAGGACTACCAATCCAGCGACGATCCAGGCGAGCGTGACGACTGGGTTATCTGTCAGTGCGTCTTTAAATTGGGTTTCTAGACAGTTGGAATCTGCGAGCGATGGCCAGAGTAAAAGAGATAGATGTCTGGGTAGGAAGAGGGCTGTGAATGCTACGAGGCTGGTGTGAATGCTACGAGGCTGGTGTGCATGCCCACGATGGAGGTGTACCTTGCGTATGGGAAGAATGCATGTTGAGCCTTATGTGTGTAAGACGAAACCACGGTCTTTGCGGGCATTTTATTGAGTAGTGGCAGGGCTCAGCTCAATATGTATCGAGCACTTGTGACTACACTTGAAGATGAACTGACAAGAACTCCGCACAAACGAACACGCCGGACATTGCCGAAGTACTATTACTAGTACTAGGCTTTGCGTGCTAGTTTCATGTGTATTGTTCCTTGCGGCCATGAACGTAGATATGGCTACATTCCACAAGCAATGAGTTTTCATTCAATCTCCTGCGGGATGCCACAGTGCCAACTCGACTGGCGCCGCCGCAACATCGTCTTTCATACGGCATAAGTTTTAGCGCCCGCATCTACTGTAACGAATGGCCTTTTGGAGCCCGTCAACTCGCACACTCGAAACGTGAATCTTGAACCTAAACAGTCAATCACCACGGTAACTGGGGATGAGATGATATCTAGGCTAGTTGGCTGGAAGCCTGGAACGATTTGTTGCCTCTCTAAAAGGCTCAACTTGTTGTCTTGTTAAGACGTAGGGTGTCAATGATGCCCTTCCAGGCTGTTCCATTGCATCGATAACTATCACTAGAGCAACTGCCAGGACGTTAACCTTGCTTCTGGACCAATTTGACACTTTCCAAGAATGTCCGCGAACGAAGAATTTCAATACATCCTACCGCGGTATTCCAACACATCTTCAATTGATCCACGTGAGGTTCCTCGTGTCTTCATATCAGTTCTTATCAACTATCGATGGGTCTTTCCATGGTCTCAGATTGTCAACAATTGCCTTTCCCTAGGCAGACCATACTTTCTTCTATATCATGGTTGCAATCTGACTGACCGGGTGCCTTTCCTTGATATAAATAGAGTCATGGTGCTGCCAGGGCTCAGCGCTCAGGTCTCAGGGTTACTAGTACGTTACAGTTTTCCACTCCAGACTCCAGAATGATGGTGGGTTTTTCAGCAGTCAGCTCGTTTAAATGATGGCGCAAGCTTCAGCTATCTTGTTAACATATCATGTCGCTTCTGTCCACAATGCCGACTCGTCACGTCACAGAGCGCATGCTATCCTCGTGTTGATGATCATTTATATCATCCGTACTCGCCAAGATCATTTATTGCCTCATGTGCTTCATATCGGTTCTTATCGATCATCATCGACGGGTCGCTACAAGGTGTCAGTGTTGCAAATAGACTACTGGGCACCTTTCCTCGATTTAAATAGAGTCATGGTGCTGCTAAGTTTTATTTCGCACTGTCGAGATGGATCCCATCACCAGCGGTCTCACTATTCTTCAGCTTGTTCAAACGATAGCGCAAGCTTCAGCTCTTGTGTTAAAATATGTTGCTTCTGTCCGCAACGCTGACTTGTCTTCTCGGAGCTTGCTTGATGAGTTCAGCTCGATTGGCGGAGTCCTGACCACTGTTATGGAGATCGAGAAAGATGGCTCTCTTCCAGACAATCTCCGTTTGGCACTTTCAAATCTGATGGCCGACAATGGCCCAGTCGCGAAATTGCAGATGGAACTGACGAATATTCTGCCAAAGGAACAGGAAACAGGGAAGATGAAGACGATGACTAAATGGACGTGGCCATTCAAGGAAAAGGAAGCAGGAGCAATTCTCAATAAACTGAAAGGATATTGTGTCGAGATTACAAACATTCTAGCAATCGATGCATGGTGAGCTGACTCGCCTGTGATGATCACTCATTGCTAATGTAACGTAAGGATCATGCTCACCGAAGTCAATCAAACCATGAAGAATGTTGAACTGGGAGTCCAGGAAGTGGGGCAAGGCATGAAGAAAGTCGAACTAGGAGTCCAAGAAGTGGGTCGAGGCATGACGAAAGTTGAACTAGGAGTTCAGGAAGTGGGTCGAGGCATGACGAAAGTTGAACTAGGAGTTCAGGAAGTGGATCGAAAAGTTCAGGAATCAAAAGTGGCTCAAGAAGCGCAGAAGAAAGGTGAGACGATGGGTGCTACTTACCTCCTCACCCTGTTGAACTATGCATAGCCGAAGAACGTGAAAAGTTTCTTCGATGGATGAACCCTGTCTCTTGTACCGAAAAGCACCATGCCTCCCACCGCCAACGCAACGTTGGGACCGGTCGGTGGATTTTTCATGCCGAGCAGTATGTGGCCTGGAATGCATCCGATTCCGCATTTCTATGGTTGAACGGCCAGGGTGAGTATTATTGTGTTCGTCATTAATTGCAGGTTGCTGACGTTCGAAACAGCTGGGAGTGGAAAGACTATACTTGCGTAAGTTCGACCACGTCTGGAGAGTTTCTGGAGGGCCTTAATCGACTTCTGAACATTTAGTTCTGCTGTTATCGACGAAATTCAGGGCGGTGGGCCAGCCGACCCACAAACTCTTGGTTATTTCTATTGCGATTTCCGAGATGACCAAACGACAAACGCAGCTGCGGTATTGCGATCTTTGGTTGTTCAGCTCCTCCGGCAATCTACAGACGACTGGATCACCAAGATACACAAGCCAGAGCAGGAAGATTCCAATGCAAAAGTGGATTTCGTCTCCCTAAACGACCTAGGACAACAACAACGTAACGGAGAGCGTTGTTCCACAGATCTGACATTTCTGCGACAGCTGCTTGTTGAAGCGTCCAGGCTAGTTTACCGACCGGTCCTCGTGATCGACGCCTTGGACGAATGCAAGGATTACAGTGATCTAGTGGATCACCTCGTAGACCTTGCTGGCGATGCTCAACTACGACTTTTCGTCACTGGTAGAAGCGAACTAGACATAAAATACACCTTCCGTGATCTCCCCACCATATTTCTGAAGGACAGCGCAGAACAGATGAAAGCAGATATATGCGCGCACATTACTGAGCAGCTGAAGACTCAGAAGCGCCTGTCACGCCTACCCGAGACACTTAGAGATTTGATTTCGGAGAGACTGTTAGAAAAGGCCGAGGGCATGTAAGTAAAACAGCTTTCATCGTTCCTGGGAAATTCATGATCGTATGGTCGCATGCAGGTTTCGGTGGGTTCAGTGTCAACTGGACGAACTTCGGCGTTGCGCAAGAGAAATTGACATTAAGGATGCCCTCAACAATCTTCCAGCTGGGCTAAATGAAACATATGATAGGATTGTTTGCGGCATCCAACAAAAAGGGCGAGGTTACGACCAAATTGCCTACAATTGCTTGCTTTGGCTCGCTGGCGCACTCACCCCATTGACGCTTGGCCAGCTCGACGAAGCTATGATGATCAATGTCAAGCAATCAATTCTTGATCCGGATCTCCGCGCCAGTGATCCTATGGATATCGTGGTCGCATGCGGAAGCCTTGTGACCTACGACGAGACTACTGGCGTTGTTGCTCTATCTCATTATAGCGTCAAAGTATGATATATTGACCCTTTTGATGTCACTCGTCCGCTGATGCGCTACGAAACTAGGAATACTTGATCAGTCCTCGCCCTAATAACATCCTGAAATCAACCTCAGACACGCATGCACGAATCTTCGCGCTTTTGATCACGTATGTGTTATGTGACTCCGTGCCTGTGGTATGCGCAAAAGGTACGATACAGTGTACCGCATTTAAGGGCTATGAAATTGAAGGTGTTTGTATAGCTACTGGTTGTACTATAGGTTCTGCTTCTGCTGTCAGTGGCGAAGAAAACCATCCATTGCGGAGCTATGCAGTTAAAGCATTGGCGCACCTTTGTCATGTTTCGGATGAGGATCCTCGTGTTATGGCTGCCATGCAGCGGCTACACTTAGGGTTCCTTCACAGCACAGAGAAACATGCCCTGCTTGAAAGTCTGGTTCGATCATTAACGAACGATGAGCAGTCGAGTGTCACTTCCCCCTCACTTCTACTCGTCCCTCTTCGGTTTGGAAATCCATGGATGGTGGAAACCCTGGTCAAGGAGCAACCCGATATCCTGAGCATAGATGTCGCCCGTGGTTTTGGTTCTCCCTTGATTTTTACCATAGCCTCGAACCCTGCCCTTCTCAGCGTTCTCTTGAAGCTGGACATTGACCTAAACAAGCCTTCTTCCATCCAAACCGATTTGTATCATCGGCGGGATCTTCCTTCAGGTTCCTATACTCCAATTTTGTGGGCAGCCGCGATTGGAAGTAAAGTGGCTGTGGAACTCTTGCTGTCACGAACAGAGGTCACCCTACCAGATGACATTCTGCACACAGCCATTCTTTCCGACAAGCGGTCTCCAGATATCATCCTCAAACTGTGTCAACGCGGCGCGGATGTCACTTTCACCGTCGATGGCTCCACTCCTCTTCATGCTTTACTTTCCAAATTAGTTTCCAACCGTTGGTCCAGCCGCAAATGGCTACCAGTCATAGGAAAGCTCGTCCGTGATCTTTCTGTGCCTGACTGGACCGCCAGAACGGCACTCCACATTGCTCTCGACAATCGTCTGAGCGATATTGTCGTATGCCTCCTTGAACAAAATGCACCGCTGACAGCAACAGCAACACTCCATCCAACCATTTGGAGCTGGGCGAAAAGTAATCAGTGGTTTGCCAAGGTTCAAGCAGCGGCTCTCGCTGCTGATATACCATACACCAGAATTATGGGGAAGATCGTCGATGTTGGAGAGCAATCGCGAGTCGTCAAGTTTCGAGGCGCATTCCGTGCCAATCACGGAGACCCCGAACCCATTTGTGCTGTCGTTGTTTCTGTCATTGACAGGAATAATAAAGGCAGTTCCCTTATGTTTGGACTATTTCCCTCGCTGGTTAAGAGCCTGAGCCTGGAGGCTAGCCTGTTTCGCAGTAAATTGTTGCATCAAAACAAAGCCCAAGACTTCCTTGAAAACGACGAATTCGCTCCACTCAAGTTCCGCTTATCATGGAAAAGGAATCATCAGTATGTCTCTAGCCGGCTGTTCGATTATCATCAAGGAGATGCAGTTACCAGCGCCCTACGAAAGTTAACCTGTGATGAAGATTCTACTGGCGATTCCCTTTTTCTTCGGTTATCCCCGCGTTTCCGAGATAGGTATTTTGATAAGCTTGAGTACGCACTTGATACCTACCGAGGTCATCTGCATTAACTTTAGATCTTATACGCGGCCACATACTGCAATACTCTACAAGTGCACTGCCAGTGTTCACATAAACGTTCCACATAACTTCGCGCATTGAACTATATATTGTAGATATTTGACACCAAGTCACGAGAACCACAGGAGAATCGGCCTCCAGTGACTACTTAGGAAAACTGCATGTGGATAGAACGCATGATCTGTCGAAGATACATTAGTGATACTGTCTTTGCGAGCAGAGGAATGCGGATGACAAGCGCCGTAAGCACAGACCCAACTCTCAGAAGTATATCATTTGACATTGTACGTGGTGGATCCAACCATGTGCTACGAATCTTTGCTCCTAAAAAGTGTGCACAGCCTGAGTACTGTCATATGTACTGAATATTCATGTGCACAAAACTCAACAATAACTCAAAGAGCATGAGGCCTCCGATGGTCCAGCGCAAAAAGAAATCAAGACTGAATTATCAACGCACTGAAATATCCAAGGACGGTCCACCTACAGGCTACCAGTCTGACAGTTCTAGCATGGCGAGACTCGAGTGTCGATTCCGAATCATCTAGGAAAATGGCCTGGACTAAGTGCATGAACACGTAGACTTGATGCAGAACCCGACAAAGGTTCATATAATAAATAGCTCAAAGTCTCAGGAGCGTGTCCGGATCAGCATCAGCCAAAGCACACATTTCACCAAATAGTGAGAGACAGCGGGATAAACCAGAGCTCTTTCTATCGGATTTCGCGGACTAACACAATGTCAGGCAAAGAGTAAAACGGTATACATATTAACCCACGAAAGCTCAGCGAATAAACGTGTCCAGTTAAGTCTGGTGATGAAGGACGAAGTGTTGGAAGAGAACGAGGGGTAACCCAGTGCATAAGCCGGTGCGAATACGGATAGTAGTGCTAGAACGATCGCCAGCAAGAATGTATGAGGGAGGTGGCTTTCCATATATACAATCAGCACGAATCTCGTGGGATGCGTCAATGGTTACCTTGCAGAAGGAGCACCGAACAATACTATAGTTGCATGGAACACCAAGGCTACACACGAAGTGAAGACAGCCGCTCTCCCTAATTTCTAAGAGAAGATGAGAAATATGAATCGCAAGGAGACACACCGAGAATCTCCCCCTATTGAACTGATACCTATCCACTTTAATCTGATCGCTCGAAACAGCACGAGAAGTACTTATATTCGAAACACCAATGCCTGATCCACCCCGCCCACCATACTTGGAGGACTACCAGCCCTGCGACGATCCAAGCGAGTGTGATGACTGGGTTGTTTGTCAGTGCGTCTTTAAATTGGGTTTCTGGACGATCGGGATCTGCGAGCGATGGCCAGAGTAAGAGAGATGTCTGGGGTAGGAAGAGGGCCGTGAATGCTACGAGGCTGGTGTGCACTGTGCACGCCTACGACGGAGGTGTACCTTGCGTATGGGAAGAACGCATGTTGAGCCTTATCTGTGGAAGATGAAACTGCGGTCTTTGCGGGCATTTTTAATGAGTAGTGGCGAGGGCTCAGCTCAATATGTACTGGGCACCTGTGACTACACTTGTGGATGAACCGCGTTATGACCGTCAAGTAACTCCGCAACGAACGAACACGGACTTCGCCGAAGTATTACTGTATGTATATTGCTAGTGCACCTTCAGTACTATTACTACTAGGCTTTACGTGCTAGCTTCGTGCGTGGATCGAATCGTTCGTCGGTTTTCCTTGCGGTTATGAACGTAGATATGGCTGCATTCCACAAGCAGTGAGTTTTCGTTCAATCTCCTGCGGCTTGTGGCAGTGCCAACTCGACCGGCGCAACATCGTCTTTCATACTTTAAATTTTAGCACCCGCATCTACTATTCTACTACATACGTGAATGCGCCTTTTAGATCTCGTCAACTCGCACACTCGAAACGTGAATCTTGAACCTAAACAGTCGATGTAACGCTCGTCAAAAGCCATCGTCTAATATCGACGATGGCAACCAATATATTCATAGTTACCTTTCTCCTGACTCATATCAATTTTCCTTCTATCGTATTCCTTAGTATTCCTCGCTCTACAGTATTTAAAGACCTTAGCTTACATACTAGTAGGGCAGTTGATCTTTTTCCCCCTCCGAATACAATTTAGTTCGGACAGTTATTCCGTCTGAAATCTAAGTTTATTCAAACTACAATCGACTCTATCGTGTGACACTTCCTAAGTGTAACATATTTTTAACTGCCTTCAAATTCTAAATCCTATTCTACTATGGCCGCCGCCAATGAGGACTGATCACCCTCGTACGTCGATGACCTCTCTACTTCCTCAAAACCCTTAAAAAGAATTATCTTGTCGACGATGTCGAATGATAATGTACCCGGTACCTTCCCGTTGAGCTCCCCTGACCCTACAGGCAGGACGAGTATCGACGCAGGCACTCTCGACCTGGGCATCGATAGTGCATGGACTTGTGGTGATGAAGTCACCACTGGAGTCGAGCGTTCGTTGAGTCAGAGGGCCGAACCCCCGACTAGCGATCAGCTGTCCTCAGACTCGTGGTTGGGTGCTCTGGGAGCCCCTTCCAAGTTGAGTCTTTCAGCCCCTGACATCTCTGATGACGGCACAGGCTCTGCTCCAATGAGTATTAGCCCTATTCTGGGTAGTGTAGTTGGACTACATACCTCTCGTCTAGTGGTTGGCGAAAACAATAAAAATGACGCCTCGTCTGTTGACGACGAAGTTAGTACCATGCTATCAGCACACATGAGCTGGTTCGATTTACCTGATGATGATGAACTAGGTGCGGTACCTGAGTTCCCAGTAATGAGTCCTTCTGTCCGAGCCCTAGAGTCCACTCCCCGAGTTATCTATGAACCATCTGTAGCGTTGAAAAGAAATGAACAAACAATTAGCAAAGAGAGACCTCACCAGGATGAACGGACTGAAAAATGGGCCTCAGCCACGATACGACAGCAGGACGGAGTCTCTGAACACGTTCGTAACGTTGAACAACATGTGAGGATACCCCCCATAATAGATGACCTGCAAAAGGAAATCAGAGAATTGGAGTCTCTTGTAATTGAGAGCCAAACACGTGAATTGGAGTCACACCAGCAACTGCTAGAGTCTCGACGAGCCCCCACAAGGACTGAGAAGGGACATTGTGAACATTCAGTAAGAGTACAGCCCCAGGCAACAAAGACTCACTTCAAAATGGACACTTCTCCAATTATCAATCTCAAACCTACTGAGAGCTCTCGATTTCAATGAGCATCTTCCATTTTACCTGCTAGAAGCTTGGTTAAATGAGTGATGATGGGAGGAAGCCATGAGGACCCAGATCCAAGTGAGTCGCCACCGGACTCTTCGAGCGATGATTGCTCATCGACCGAAACAGATGATGAGGTTGAACTCCGTAAGAGTAAGACTAAGTCCCGCGAGAAAAGAAAGGATCAAGCCGAGAATGACTTCAGTATTGATTTCCTAGCGTTAGAACCCAAATCTGACCACGAGAGCGACTCACCTGAGGTCAAATGGTCCAAACGCCTCGCCCGTCGCAAATATAGAGCCAAACTTAACCTGTTAAAATATCAGCAAAGTTTTATCAAGAATGAGCCACCGTTTGTGTACAATGGTGAAGCAAACGCAACTACCTTTAAGAAGTGGGTCAGAGAAGTTAGAGAATGGAAAGATCGAGCAAGACTTACCATGAATCAGTCCCTCTGCATGCTGGGCAAGTACCTAGGCGGACAAGCCTACAGATTCTTCAAGTGTGACGTCCTAGACCTTCAGAAGGATTACTCACTTAGCGAGTTCTTTGAGCAGCTCTTCAACTACATATTCCCACCTGATTTCCGAATGCTGCAAAGACAGAAGTTCCTAGACTGTAAGCAGGATGGCAAGTTCTTAGTTAGAGACTACTTATGGCAACTTCAAGACTTGGCTGACACAGCCGGAGACATTGACGAACGAGAAATCGTCCATCAGTTCTGGACCCACTGTAAGCCCTATATTAAGGCCTCATTGGTTGATAAAGGCTATGAGCCCAATTCAATTAGCCTTGAAACATTAGAAAAGAAAGCCTTACGCACCAAATGTGCGTTCCTCGAGAACTCTCGTGACCCTAACGTGCTGCTAGCCCTTAACCCTACTGCAGCTGTGAGTATAGCACATCAGGGCCCAATGTCTGAAATGAGATCTAACAGAAACTCATGATTCAGACACCAGGATCGGCATGCTCGCACCTCCTCCCTCTCTGCCAACGCTGTCCACTCCCATCGAGCAGATAGTCGACGTGACCAGCGGCCCTGTCAGCAGAGTGCACCTAGACCATACATTAGTAACTCTAAAAAGAGTGCAGACACTATCAAAAGGTTAAGAGACAATGATCAATGCTTTGAATGCGAGCAGAAGGGACACTTAGCGAAAGATTGCCCCAAGCGCCACAAGCTGCCCTATAAGCCCAACTCTAAGGTCTCCTCACTGCAAGTGCACTCTGCAGGCGTGATGGAAGCTGACATTAGATCGGCCGCGATCGAAGAAGGCATTGCTAGCGGACTATACAGCATGGCCGTTGACGTCGACCAGTTGAATCCCCTGGAGGCCGTGAAGCACCTCGTCGTGACCTCTCGATCATTGGCGATCCTCCATTTAGGAGTACCATTCCCTACAGATGAGCTCCACGATCTGATCTACGATCTGTTCAAGAAGGATCGATTCAGTCTCTCTACTCATGGAGGACCAAATACGTACCTCCTGTCAGATAAGCACAATTACGACGACTACATCGTGTACTACGAGCAACTGTGTGACCCTGCGTTCGATATAGTTGCTTGGTTAGTTGACCTGAAGCTACATAACTACAGAGACCTGATACATACCAAGTCCTCCTTTACACCCTCATGGGGTGGTACCCTGATCCCTCAAATCGGTACCCTAGTCGAGCACAGCGACTCGTCGAATAGCAGTGATGAAGAGACACTATGCGGACACATATGCTATGAAGTGGAGTCCAGTGACGAGTACGTATGGGATACGGATGGCGATGAATCTGGATGGGAGACGACCAACGGTGAAACTGGGTACGACGATACCCCATCCCTCCTCGATTATGAGACCTCAGACGAGGAGGAAATCGAAGACAGAATCCCCGGACAAGAGGAGATTGAGGATATAACCCCCGGACAAGAGGAGATTGAGGATATAATGGGTGGTGATCCCCCTGTAATCATCAGCGAACTCTTCTGCACTACTCAATCTAAACAGGCAGACTTACCTGACATCCGCTATCTCCATCGGCTGGCAGCGAGACCGAAAGGCTTGACCTGGATCCTGTCCAAGTCCATTGTGGTGATTGTCTATATTAATGGGAAGCCGTGCTGGGCTCTACTGGACTCCGGGTCCCTGATGGACTTTGTATCGAGCACTGTCATTGATCAACTGAAGTTGAAGTACGATGTACTAGATAAACCGATTCCCCTGCAACTTGCCGTATCAGGATCGCGTAGTGTTGTGAAAGCTAATGCAACGGTTGAGTTCAAATATCAAGAAATATTGGGAAAACGTACCTTTGATATAGCGAACCTTGAAGCTTATGACGTGATTCTGGGGATGCCGTTCCTGTACCAGCACCAGGTCTTATTAGGTTTCAACCCCCCGGAGATAAAGATATGGAGCCTCGTACCTTTACCCATCTGAGGTGCACAGATGCAGGTTCTGGAACTTAAAGGCTCTAGCTCAGAAACTGACCTCATCGAGTCCTACCAAAAGGAACTGATGGACTACGCGAAGGACATCTGCAAGGAGGCGGTTGAGACGCCCTTGCCACCCCTTCGTAAGATTAATCACATAATACCCTTGATTGATGAGGGCCAGGTGTATGCTTGGCGCCAGTCCAAATGCCCCGAAGCCATGCGACCATTATGGCGGGCTAAATGTGACGATTATATTCATACTGGTTGATGGGAGTTTCTGAGTGGTACAAATGCGGTACCTATGATTATGATGAAAAAAGCCACCAAGGATGGATCACTGAAATTACGTACCATCTTAGACATGCAACAGCACAATAAGAACACCCGTAAGCTCGCCTCCCCACTCCCTGACATAGACTCCATCCTGAGGAATGTCAGTTTGAAGCCTTATTGGTCTCTACTAGACGGGAAGGACACTTACGAGCAGATTCGTGTTGTACCAGAGGATGTGCACAAAACACTCTTTGCAATGCCTGACAGGACGATGATCAGTCACATCATGCAGATAGGAGACTGTAACGCAGGAGCTACTTACCAGTCTCTCATGAACCACATCTTCAGTCCGTACCTGGGGATCTTCATGGACATGTACCTTGATGATATCGTGGTCTACTCTGACTCTGCCGAGGACCACGTTAAACACGTGAAGATTGTGATCGATACACTAAGAGTGAATCAATTTTACCTTAGCGAACATAAGCTTCAGTTCTTCAAGACTGAATTGACCATATTAGGACACATTATAGATGACACGGGCATCTGAATGGACCCACACAAGGTCGACAAAATCGTTAGCTGGAAGACACCCACGTCCAAAGAACTGTTAATGCAATTCATCGGCTCTGTCGGATATCTTGCTGCTGGTTGCGAGGGTGTGCGTGTCGACATGCAGCACTTGTCAAAGGTAGCCGCTCAGACCATGAAGTGGACCTGGAACCCAACGGATCAACGCGCGTTCGACTTGGTCAAAGCATGTGTTGAAACTCACTGTAACATTCGCCGGAAGGCTCTCGACCTCCCATCTGCTCTGAATGGCACGGTTAGTGTGAACCTGACCACCGACGCATCACTAACGGGGGCCAGTGGGGTCCTCTCACAAGGCAACGATATGGACACTGCAGATATCGTCGCATTTTGGTCGGGCAAGTTCAACTCGGCTCAACAGAATTATCCTGTTCACGAACAAGAATTGTTAGCCATCATTGAGTCGCTCAAACGGTTTCGACAGTTACTCATTGGCCTGAAATTTCGCATCTTCACCAACCATAAGGGCCTAGAGTGGATAAGCACTCAAAGTAAGTTGTCTCCTAGACAAGCCCGCTGGTTAGAGGCATTGAGTGAATTTGACTTTGAAATAAAGTACGTACCCGGTGAGGACAACACCTTGGCCGACGCGCTATCACGGATGTATAGTAACGAACCCCCTGGCACAGTGAGATCTGCAAGTGAGTATGTTAGTGTTGAGGAAGAGGACTCCCCACATACCTTGCTACTGAACTTCGTGTCATCCCCTGTCTACACTGGTACTCCGCTTTTCTTAGGTGCAACGGAGGCCCGCCGTTCTGCACGTATCGCTCAGCGACGTGTCCTAGAAGACGTGCCCACGTCCAGTGCAGAGTCCCACTTGGTTACTCTAGAGGGCGGGTCAAACGACGACAAGACTTACACTGACGACGGTGTTAGCCCAGCACCTACGACTAGTGTAGACAACGCACCGGCGTACCCGTACGCATATTATTCCCCTGCCGACTCATGCTCTGACTCCTCAGCGGACGAAGGTGCGAGTGCCACTGCTGGTGGTGGTGATAATGCCGGAGGTGGAAAGACGGACCACCCGGCTGGTACATCTAAAGGGAAGGCTAAAGAATTAGTGGTGCCGGCTCTGAGAAATGACCCACCTATGATCAAAAGAGTAACTTTGAAGTTGGGTAAACCCCCTCCTAAGTCACTAGAGGGTGGGATGGTTGAAGAAGACTTAATGAAAAGCACAAAGTCAGCTGGAAACAAACCAAACAATCACCCACCAAGTCATGTGACCAGTGACATCATGGTCAAGACGCAGAGAACTGATCAAACGATGACGGATGTCATAGATGAGACCAAGCGGCAAACTCCGGGACTAACAAGCATGAACAAACAAAGTCATGTGTTCCCTGACAAGACCACCCAAATGACCAACGACATCCTGGACTCCCCTCCTCGTCTCACAGATGTAATCTCCTTAGGCGAACCACTAATCGACGTGCATGAGGTTGTCCTAAACCGGTACCATGAGGACCGGTTCTTCAGTAAGATCTTAGCATCCCCAGGAGCATTTAAGAACTTTGAAGTGAGCAATGGCCGCATTTACCTCAGAAACTCACACAAACGGATTCTGTGCATCCCAGACGTCTTAGTTGGCGAGCGCCAAATGTGCGAAATTGCTATATCTCACGCTCACTCTATTCTGGCGCACCTAGGACCATCTAAGACCTTGTCATACCTACGCGAGAACATCTGGTGGAAGTCCCTAGCTATGGATGTGCAAGCGTTCTGTGAGTCATGCCCCATGTGCCAAGTATCTAAACCGTCGAATCACCAACCCTACGGTCAATTAGAAACCCTGGACGTACCGACGAGACCCTGGCAAACGATCAGGATCGACTTTGTCAGTCCACTACCCGAATCGAAGACCCTTCACGGAATCTTTGACATGATCCTCATTGCTATAGACCATTTGACCTCAATGGTCCACCTAGCTGCAACCAAACAGACTTACCGAGCGAAAGACGTCGCTGAAGTAATGTTTCATTCAGTATATAAGCTACATGGTATGCCATCTAATATTGTAAGCGACCACGATACACTCTTCACCAGTACCTTCTGGCAGCACATGAACCAACTGACCGGCGTCGAACTTCGGATGTCCACATTGTTTCATCCCCAGACCAATGGGGCGACCGAACGGGCCAACCGAACCATAACGCAGATGTTACGCTCATTAGTCTCACCACACCAGAAAGACTGGGTGTCCAAGCGCCCAGCCATCGAGTTCGCCATCAACTCCGCATGTTCGAGCGCTACGGGATACCCGCCGTTCGTCCTTAACTACAGCCGACTTCCTCCTCCCCTGATCTGGAATATGACCTCGGAGTTCCCTGGCGTCCGGACCTTCCTTCAGATGATGAAGGACGCCACCATGGCTGCTCACAACGTGGTAATCTCTGCCCGCGTCAAAAGCACCACCATAGCCAACAGAAAGAGGATGGAGGCTCCCTTCATAGAGGGAGACCTCGTTTACGTATCGACAGTGAACTTATCACTACCCAAAGGAAGGGCCCGTAAACTATCGCCCAAGTATGTAGGCCCATACAAAGTCCTCAAGGACTATCAGAACAACTCATACTTACTTGATCTTCCCACTGAACTCAAACAGCGGGGACTTCATCCAGCCTTCCACTGTTATGCTGACTGTCGGTCGGTGTGTGCGAACTAGGATAGGTCTTCTCAGCGACGACTCAAGTGAGTCTACTGAAGCTGAGGGTGGTTCTCGGCTTGACAGAACGTCAAGGGTTCCTCCGGTGATCTCGGTAAGACGGCGCTCGTCGAGATACAGGGCTAGCGGATACGACTAAGAAGCGGGGAGCAACTTAGAAGTGCGGTCTTAGGCAGCTGAGCTGGGAGGCTTAGCTGAACAAGTTCTGGGATGAACCTAGTAGATTAAAGTAAAGTCTAAGTACAATAATCTGTCTACTTATATGTGCTACATGTAAGTGTTCAAGCTCAGTCTGTAATCTATAGTATATCTAGGATCTATGATAACAAGACATGAGGTCAGATAGGGTACATGAGGCTTAACCTCTGATCAAGCATGCAGCGCCAAGTGCGACTGCGCATAGGTACAGGAAGCGCCAAGAGCGCTCCGGATCTTCATGAAGCGACATGCGGTATGCATGCGCTGATTGATCTAGGGTGACCATGAGGCGTACCGCCTCCATGGATCAGGCACAAGGCCATCTAGGCCAGGGGCAGGTCATAGCACCAGGGGCGGGGTCATAGCGGTCCAGACCGCTGTCTTTCTAAGTGCAGGCGGCGCACTGCCGCGTGGGGAGTCTAGCAGGGCGGGGGCTGGTGTAGGCAGAGCTGGGGCTCCTGTAGGTGTTATGGATGCCTGTAACATCCATGCTCATTTGCTACGTATCCACGTACCTAACGACGATCGACAATTCCCCGGTCGCCAACTCCAGCAAATTTCTGATATTGGCGTGTCGGAAGAGTGGTTTGTCTCCCGCATATCTGACCACCATGGACAAGGAACTGATGCCCTGTTCAAGGTAGAGTACACTACCGGAGACCACGTCTGGCTACCATACCACATGGTCTCCCGCCTTGAGGCCATTGGCCAGTACTTAGAGTCGCTAGGCGCGCCTAGCATCAAGCACCTTCCTAAGAAGGTGTCTCCCAGCACGGCTGATATTGTGTTCGCGACCGTTGGCACGTACAATGAGGCGCGCAATATCGTATTTTCATCGGTTGACTCCTTGCTCGAAAACTTAGCCGAGCCCAACCCCTGCAGGACCTACTTAAACGGGCCTATAGAGCTCCCCTCCCCTAGCCCTTTCACTCCCCCTCCCATGACGTCCCACCAAGCTGAGCTCCCACTCGCTGACGCCATGAATGTTGATGTCCTGGCTCTGGCCGAGACTCTTGACACCTTTCATCCTCGTTCCCACTCGGGTCAAGGTCATCGTTCAAATTGTCGACGTGAATGGTATCGCAGACGCGGTGGTCCCTATCAACAAGAGGCATGAACTCAAAATGCTGATGCAATGAGCGCCTTCACCAGCTTCTTCAGAGCTGAGGCCGAAGCCAGTAAGCCGTTTGTGACTCCTAGTCAGCACGTCCCTGCTAATTGCAGAACCTCCCCACTCACAGAAGAGCTGGCAACCCGGAAGGAAGCCCACACTTTCAACCAACAAGTAAGGGCTGAGTGCAAGTCTGAGTACTCCCGGCACCACCAACGTTCTCATCACTTAACGTTGGATAACCGTCGCGTTCCCCACTCAGCCGAGTGTGTTACGCACTCAAATAGATCTGTTAGGCGGAGCCCTAAGAGGGGCGTCGTCCACTAACGTTCGTGATGTAACCGGAAGGATCCGGTATAGCAAGTGAGACTGGCGACGACGAGTCGGCAGCGATCACAGTACGTGCGTGTCACGTGACTTCGTAGACGGATGTCTGTGAAGTCGCTCAAGGTAAGGACTGTCTTGTCCGTACGATGAGGTCGATCGAGGTAGACTTAGTCGCGATGAGCAACTAAGAAAAGATACTAGAGACTGACGCCAAAGGGGCGATCAGAGGGAAGTATGTTCCAGGGAAGATTGAGTAGATTCAAGTTAGAGAATCTAGTACAGGGTGACCGACTACTTATACTAAGTGGAGAGGGTTAAGGCCAAGGCTACCGCACAGTAGGTAAGGGTAAAGGGGAAACGAGAATGGTATAGGTGCGTTGGCAACATAGCCGGATTAGTGATGGGTGGTCGAATGTGGAATGAGATCAAGGAACATTGGAACAAACCAACGGTAAGAATACAACGTGCGGGAATCCGCAGTCAGAAGGAACAGAAAGAGGAAAGCCACGTTGGTGGCACGAGTCAGACCAAGTCATAGGTGTGGGACCACATTGGTGGTCGAATCAGAGGATGAATGTGCGTGCACGTGCATAGAGGCGGGTGATGCGAGGGACGGGAATGGTCCCGAGGATCTGGTCAACGGAAAGTCGGTAAAGGAGGACGAGCCGGTAGATGGTGAGGGCGAGGATGAAGGGAAAATGATAGGGGGGCCACGTGACCGATGTTACTTGTAACAGAGTGCAGTCGTGAGCATCATGGACAACGGACTGGTCCACGACCCATTGGAGGATCCGCATCTTGTGCCTCCAACCCTTTTACCAATCAGGCAACCCCTCCTTCTCAGCCTCCCGCACCTACCCTGATGGCAGCTCAGCTCATTGCTGCTGTCGTTGAGGATGAAGCACGGAACCCTACCATCGTTCAAGCTCCCTCCCCAGCTGCGGTCCTTGACCCCGGGCCAGATGTCTCTGAGATTGTCGATACAGCTGAATGTCTAGACCTCGAGAGAGCCTCAAGGGTGTCCGAGATCTGAGATCTCTGATACCGACTTCTTTGGTAAGCTTGTGATCCTGGCCCTGCTCGTGTCTCATGCGATCTTACTTCGTATCCTGGTAGACACGTTCTCTACTATGTGAACTTCGGTATTGCAGACTCGCATCACCTGAAGAAACAGGTCCCTTGTTGAGGTGACCTGGAGGGCGTATGTAACGCTCGTCAAAAGCCATCGTCTAATATCGACAATGGCAACCAATATATTCATAGTTACCTTTCTCCTGACTCATATCAATTTTCCTTCTATCGTATTCCTTAGTATTCCTCGCTCTACAGTATTTAAAGACCTTAGCTTACATACTAGTAGGGCAGTTGATCTTTTTCCCTCTCCGAATACAATTTAGTTCGGACAGTTATTCCGTCTGAAACATCAGCAAACTAGTGGGTACTTGTACAAAGTTGTACAAGGTTGTACAAGGTTGTACAAGGTTCACAGGCACACAAGGAAGTCCCCTCTTTACAGTCCTGTTACAAGGTAGTACAAGCTATCACAACCTGTACAAGCATCACAACCCATACAAGCACCACAACCCATACAAGCACCACAATACAGACAAACAGAACACACTGTGCGGAGTCTGCAGACGAGACACATTTTGCAGATGAGACATGCTGTATAAGCTTATGTAATTTGTAGGACACCATACAAGCTTGTACAGGAAGCATAAATTGTGCTGATTGTCGTAGATTGTAAAACATGAGTACTAGTATGCAAGATTATAAAATGATGTTGACATCCTCCAAATCACTGCCTCCTGCACTCGAGTCGCCATGAACAAGCTCACCCATCCCAATACCAGCCCACTGCGCCAGCATATCTTCAAGCTCGTCACGATGTTCAGGAATGTCCATCAGTTTGTCCAGAGACTTCTGCAACAAGTTAAAGTCGTTCCTACATCTATCAGTGGAGAGGTCAGGTACTTTGTCGGTACCAGTTTCAGAAAACCCAGAAATGACGCCCTTCATCTGTTAACTAATTAGCGACGGAAAATAAAATAAATCACAGCATACCACAGCAGCCACGAGAATAAGCGTGTTTGGAGGGATTGTGCGGTGAAATTTGTCTGTATTTTTGAGCGCCTTCTTGCTATTGCTATAATAAAATGCAAGGCAGCCATCCATAAGAGCTTGCGACACAAAGTTTTTCCATTTGCCCTAGAAAAAATAAACAGTGAGCAGCCACATTGCGAGGAGTGATCACATACGTTAGACGAGTCAGGAATACAAAGGTAACCACCAGTCTTGAGGAGCTTAGTGGCGGCTGTGATGACATGCTTCTGTATATCCTCCTTACGTGTGACTGTGCCCTTTGGGAAAATGTCATATGCTGATTTCACAATGGGTATGATGACTTTCTTCAGCTCTGTGCGAAATGTAAACAAATCATCGCAGAGCTGATGATAAAATAAGCGCGCTGATCATCAGTTAATGAGATGCTTACCACTCGGGACATTTGAGCTTTGTACTCCAGGAAATAGCCTTGTAAATAATGAGATTCGAGGATGTCTGGTGGTGCGATAAACACTTACCTTTATCCATTTTGATCTTCTTCTCATGGTACCTCCAGAGTTCAGCATCCAGGACTTCTTGCGCGAGTTGTAGAGCATCTCCATGCTCTGGAACAGGATGTGTCAACACAGCTTGGAGACACATTTCTACCTTTGCTGCCTGCAAAAGTGCCTGCCAGGAAGGTGGATAAAAGCCGAGCTTCACGGGGTCCCCTTGGGTTGGTTTGATCTTTTGTGCCTTCTTGCTGCTGTGTGAATCTGGCTCAGGTGTGGTGCTGAAAGAGCGAGAACAGAGAGTGGGTGACATTGCATGATCAGATGGAGAAGTGTCCTTGGGAACGGACCGTGACAAAGAGTGTGCCCGGGAGAGGGGTTGTATGCGATTTGAGGACTGGCTTGGCCGAGATGGAGGACGATGAGGAGACTGTACGCGAGAGGAAGAAGTGCGCGCAGATGGTTGATGTTCATGTTGATGAGCTGATGGTGATCTTGTGTGCCGAGGTGGAGATCTTGTGCGCTGACGAGGAGACCTTGAGCGAGTGGAAGATATATGTGAGTGATGCGGGGGTGAGTATCTACGCTGCACTCGAGCAGGAGAGGCACGTCAAGGTGAGAGTCAACGAGGTGACTTCGAGCGGCGGAGACATTCAGCATGTCTCACTCTCAAGAGGGAAGCCTGCGAAGGAGCCTTGCGCTGTCCATTCTTCGCCTGATGACGCTCAAGGACATCAAGAATACCCTGGAAAAAAAAAGGTGACTAGGTGGACATGTAAATTTTTTATATACCTTCCTGTGATTTCTGTCGAGCTGCATCGTCGGGCTTGTCATCAATACCTTGATCGAAATCCACTTGCATTCCACCCTCGAGCCCATCATCGAAATGATCTGCTTGGTCCTCTTGCTGACGTGGGAATTGATCACGGTCCCTGCGACGGGCATGAGGATGGTTAGGGCAGAGAAGTAGACACTTACATTTGGTTGTCTTCGTGTTCCATGAGATTATCATCTGGACCCTGGTTGTCATTTTCACTAGTAGAACCCTCAGAATCATCCTGATTGTTGCGCTCCAAGCCTAAATCCCTATCATGCTCCAAGTCAGAATCCCTGTCACCCTCAAAATCCTGATCTTCGATGACATTTTCGTCTGCTGCTTGGCGTCCGTAGGTAGTACCACTGGAATACGGTGCCTTGCGAATATCAGACATGGGCAGCTTGAATCCAAATCTCCCCAAAGGCTGATTGGTGGGAAGGCCGGGATGAGGAGTGCGAGAGAGCTGAGATCCTGACCTGACTTGGTTGTCGGCTGTAACAGAACACTGCTTAAGATATGTCATCAGCTTGTAGCAGTTAGAAAAATGAACCATTACATTTTTCTTCGTTCTCTGAAGCTGTGACGGAGCCATGGGGTTTTCTTCGGCATCTGAGTCGCTCATTTGAACAATGGGCTCCTTGCGTCCTTTCCTTGCTGGGGCTGCTAGTGTTTCTCCGGTTTTTTTCAGTTGCGCTACATGGCCACCAACACCTCGTGTGCTTCTCTCACTTCATTGAGAGGGAGCTGCTGCTGGGGCAGAATGCTTGGCCTTCTTTCTTGGAGGCATCAGGAAAGCTGGAAACTTGAATGTGTTAATAGTATAAGCTGATCTAGCACTAAAGTAGCTGTCGTGTATTACATAATAAGTGACATAAGTTTGCACAACAAAAAACAAGTCAGGATATCATAAGGGAATAAGGAGAAGAGGAGGAGGAGGAGGTACAAGACAACTAGAATTACAGGACAGACTTGGAGAAAGTCTATATCGAATAGACAAATATGATGGTCAGACCGAGGAGAGGGTATGAGGGGCACTGCAGACAAAAATGTTTTCAGCAGGACTTGTGAAGATTCCGGGTAGAACGACGCAGTGGAAGTCTTGAAGGCCCTGCCTCAGGAATTGGAGGACGACCCACGCGAGGATTATCCCCCCCGGACCCTACCTCGGGAATAGGATTGGAACTTGCTGAGGGATTTATGGGTGCAACTTCAACATAGGTGTCGATAAATGCAGTCAAAACCTCGAGAACCTTGTCGTGAGTGGTCTCCACTCTCTCTTTCTCATCGGGCTTGTTCGTGAGGCAAACTAAAGCTTGCCAGTGCTGAACGAGAGGCCTAAATGTTGCAAAGTCATCTTATGTCGTCTCCACCATGAAAGTCGGGTCCAGGACAACCCCCACTTTTGTGAAATAGCAGGTACCCAAAGCCCCTTTGAGATCAGCCTTGCCCAAGGCCTCATAGGCACTCACCCATGGCAGCGAGTCTCGAGTCCAGGATGGTGCTAATTCACCATGCGCGCCCCCATACTTTGCAACAAACTCAAAAAATATGTAGAACAACGACTCCAGGTCATCAGAGGGCCTGTGTTCAATCAGCCGTTCAACAGCATTGGCCAGGGCGACGTCCTTGCTCGGGTCATTGTTGTCCACGTTGGGATCGATCATTTTCATCATGCTCTGGAGAATCCAGATCGAAATATATGGCATAGTACCCTGTAATAATACAGTCAAAAGCAAGCACGGTGAATTTCGGAAACAAACTTACAGTACCAGGCGAATACGTGCTGGTCGTATTTACTGCTAACACTGCAGCATGGTCCAAGTCGATGAAGTAGCCAATGCCATCATGCATGACAAAGTTATTAGGACTGAGGTCCTGTGTAGGACTTGTCTTTCAATCATTGCTTGGTGAGCTAAAATATATCATCATTAGCGAGTCTATGTTCTGCGCAGTTGATATCACTCACCAATTACAAAGTGACGAAAAGCCACGATCAGCTCCATTCTAGAGCTGAATTGAGAGAGTAGTTCCCCGCAAGGGCTCAAGAGAAGACGCCGGTGAAATCTATTACAGAATGCGGTGTCGTCTCATTGATCCTGGTCATATATCTCGTGAATACGTGCCGTGCAATCAGGCTGCCCCTCGTAATAAACATCCCAATCGTCAATGAGTTCTACAATGTTAGGAATACCCTTGACCATCCTCAGGACGGTTGGTTCATGTTACAGGCATCTGTAACACCTACAGGAGCCCCAGCTCTGCCTACGCCTGCCCCCGCTCTGCTAGACTCCCCGCGCGGCGGTGCGCCGCCCGCGCCTAGAAAGACAGCGGTCTGGACCGCTATGACCCCGCCTGGCGCTATGACCCCGCCCCTGGCCTAGACGGCCTTGTACCTGTTCCATGGAGGCTGTACGCCTCATGGACACCCTAGATCAGCGCATGCATACCGCATGTCGCTTCATGAAGATCCGGAGCGCTTCTACGCGCCTCCTGTTGATTGCGCAGCTGCACTTGGCGCTGCATGTATGATCAGAGGTTAAGCCTCATGTATGCTATCTCTCCTCATGTCTAGTTATCTTAGATTACCGATATACTATAGATTACAGACTGAGCTAGAATACCTATAGTTAAACACTATAAGAGTAGATACATTGTCGTAGATTAACTTCACTTTAATCTACTAGGTTCATCCCCAGAACTTGCTCATCTAAGCTTACCAGCTTCCTTGTGTGAGACCGCACTTCTAAGTCGCCCCCATACGACTTAGCACGTATCCGCTAGCCCTGCATCTCGACGAGCGCCGTCTTACTGAGATCGCCGGAGGAATCCTTGACGTTCCGTCAAGGCCAGACCACGCTCAGCTTCAGTAGACTCACTCGAGTCGTCGCTGAGAAGACCTATCCTAGTTCGCACACGCCGACCGACGGTCAGCGTAACAGTTCGTGCATTTTTTTTGACTCCTCCACCCAACAATCTTTCAGAGCATACTCCGTTCCTTCCTTGTTTCTAACACGATAACAGACCATTCCCCTACAGAAAAACCCATGGCTCTTCCACAGCACAGCCATGATCGAATAGACATTGCTATTGTTGTCTTCCACCCAGCCTATCGCCCCATCTGCAAGATCGACATGGGTGCCATTGCACGCAGCGTGACACATGTGAATAGTGGGATCAAGACCCAGGTGGCGGCTATCCGGAAGTGTGAGGGCAGCTAACGCATCGCAGAGGCATATAGAGCCGGGAGACTTGTGAATGTTGAAAGGAAGGGATATGATGACGCCAGAGCGGTCGAAATAATGTGCGCGGAGCATATTCACGCAGATTGAGTAGGCAAGTACGAATCGACGCCATGGTTGTTCTCGCATGATTAAATATGCTTTAATTGCTGACCCCCAATACACTGCTAAACCTCTATTCTTGGAAAGATCAGAAGAGGTGTGCTCCACAAAGGCCAGGACATTCGCCCACGACTTCTTTTCCTTCAGGAGTGTGAAGTCGAACAGGGATAAATCAGGCTTCTGGGCGTTGAAAGAGTCTGGAATAGCAGTGGTAGAAAACTCTGCAGTCCAGTACCAGGCCCCCATCGCAAATGTGTAGGGGATGTTGTCCTTCAGTGAGTTGCGCAAGTGGTACTGTATGGTATAAAAGAGCCGCTGAAGGTCTGTCTCGGTAGTGTGCACCACCCGTCGTCGTCTTTTCTTCGATCCAGCTTGAAAGTCTTGGCCATCCCAACTCCCTTTGAGTAGTTCATCTTTTCCAAGGATCGCGGACCCGAGTGAACCCTCATAATTGAGCTTTGAGCCACTGCCATTATCTGTATCGTCATCGTCGTCCTCTATGTCCTCATCAATCTCTGTGGCCGAGCCTTCATCATCCTCCAGTCCGTCGGTCTCTGAGTCAGACTCTTCAGTCCGCTTGACTTGTTTTCTGTGGTTGAATTTCCATCCCTTGCTAGAGTATGCAGATGGTCCTGCAAGCCTATCATACTTGATCAATCCAAGGCTTTCTACCTCAATATTGGTTCGAGGAATGATTTGGTTGAAAATGGAGTTCTTGAACTGCAATTAACTGCATTGCCGACACCCTCGTGAATAACATGGGATTGCAGCTCACGCTTGAGGAGGGGTTTGACGATGTCCAAGGTACGTGGCAATTCACCAACAGGGATGCCGATAGAGCTGATTCTACTGCAAAGAAGCCGGTCGATGTCGACAAGGGATGAGACTGTAGTGTTGGACAGCATTTTTTCGTTGAGTAGTCAATTTGAGCTAACATTGGCGACGTGGCGTGCATTGGCCTCAATGCGGCGTTTGTTGCTTGGTGTTGATTCTCCCTTATCACAGTTCACCAGGTTCACCATCCAGGTAGGCCCATCAGCAAGCTGCTACAGATCTCACAGCACGCACAGATCTCACAGCGCGCACAGATCTGCACAAATGTGCACAGATATCACAAGCATCACAGATCTCACAGCACGCACAGATCTGCACAAATGTGCACAGATATCACAAGTGTCACAGAATAGCACTGGTAAACATCGAAACGATAGACATCTATCCTTGTGAAGCGTAGTAAAGAGTATCATAGATCTGCTTATCAAAATACTTGTTCAAAAAAAAAGATGAAGAATAATGTGATGAAGTTGCTTTCATCAACCGCGCATCCGCTACTGCCCCAAATTGAGGAATGAGGTTGATGAATGAACGAACTTGCCGAAGGGGAACTATATCACCCACTGGAGAACTATTGGCATGCTTAGCACGTTTCACAACGTGCATTCCAGTTACAGGGTCAACCGCGCCAATCTTCATGTTATGGACATAACACAGGTACTGATCTTGCCATCCAATACGAGAACCTCGTCGAGGCATCGGGCGCATGATGAGCTGCAATTCGCAGATGGTGTGTCCTGAGGGGGTCAATATATATAGGCCAAATTGATGAGTAGAAAAGGTGCTCACCTTTTAACCCGGACTGGGGCCATTCATACTGTCCATCAATATTCACAAGGACAGCATCCCTTCGGCCTTTCAACCACTCGGGGGATGAAGGAGAGGCGTGCAAGGTTTGGGCCGGTAAGGCAACACTCAAATCATGGTATGAAACCTGTTGTAAGCGAACAGTGTGCCATACTTGGACTCGATCAAAGGGAAGGATTGGAGGATGGTCAATAAGTGATCTTCTTGGAACCGCAACTCCATGGATCATGTTTCCGTTCCTCATATCACATTGCAAGAAGGCCGAAAGAGCGTGGCGGAGGTCCAGTATGTTGAAATTGTCAGAGACATCATCAAGTTTCATCCCGGTGCGGGTTAGATTGTAGTTCAGGTGAATGGCAACATTACTGGTGGTAAATGCTCGAGGCGGGCCGGCCTGGGTAAGTGCTAGCTTGACGCGACAGAGTAATTATATCCTTGGCCTTGTTGAAATAGTTAGTAGTAACGCATGTACAATTGAGCTCCTCTAGGAGTGCAGTTCGTGGATCAGTTGGTTCTTCTTCATCACACACAGTACCCTCTTCCTCGCCCCCCTCATCCTCAGCTTCGGTACCAGGATCAACAACATGACTCTTTAACGTTGTGGCAATTTCAAAGCGCCGTAGCTTCTCCAATCGATCCAAGTGACGACAGATTTGCAGATCATAATCGTTATTGTTGGTATGTCACGTGGGGTCCTTGATTTCGGATATGTGAGCGTGTTCGGTGGCATCCGCAGACCATTGGATGAGAGCACCGACTTTACGCGTACTAGCAGTAATGCTCTGCATCAGCTCCAGCTTAGGTATGAACCAATTGTCGATTGGTTTCTTAGTACCCATCCGTGCACCCAATGACATGATGACATCTTTGTTTTGATGAAATATCAAGAGCGATTGGTCGATAGATGTCAATAAATTATCATCAGGGGAAGGGGATTGCGCCATGTATCGGACATCCATAAGGGCACAGATCGCGGTTACAAAACGACGAGGGGCTGTACCAGCGATCAAACCAATGATGTAGCGCTGAACATCACGGTGAACTCTCCCTGTGACTTGCTTGAGCTTTGAGATTCCACAAGAGAAGTGGCGGTAGCCTGTGATTGGCTGCAAAATCGAGAATCTAAAATCAAGTTCCAGTGCTCCAACAGCTACAAGACACCAGTGAAGGTCATGATCCCAAAATTCCTTATGCCAGTGGTGCAGAGATTCCGGTGTCAGAAAGACTGAGGGATCAGCATACGGCCAGTACATCCAGAAAGGTGCGTGAACACCGTTTAGCTGGTATTCAGCACACACTTCAAAAAAAGCTTCGAGGTTATTGGGGTCGGCCTTGATGTTCGCAAGCTGTTCAAGTGTGACGGAGCGCGTGCGTTCAGGATGACGAAAATCATCCCCAAACTCAAGATATGACGCCATGGTGAATGGGGAAGTTTTGCCATGCACACACGCAAGCATACATGCCTCGGGGGTGTCGACAATGTAGGCTGCAAGAGGCATATAACAATGACGAACGTTGCTCACCGGATCTGACATCATGATCCTGATCTCGGCTGCTATCATCAATGGTTTCAAGACAATGACAAGACACTCGTGTATGAGGCGATCTTCAAGCACGCCCCACATCCGTTGATTGGGGTGCAAATACTGTGGGATAGGGAGGAGAGCTGTAAGTAGGAATGCCCTAGACGAGAGTTTGGTGTGAGTGCGCATGCGGATATTCGCAAGGCCTAGAAGAAGTGGATGAGCGACCCTGGCACCAGTCATAGTGGTGATGTTTGTTTTGTCGGAAGATAGTACAGTCCCAAGGATTGTAGCGCCTCTAGGTAGTTGGTTCTGCAGAGCCTATGATGAGATGATGCGAATTTTAGAGACTCAGATGCACGTACCTGGATATCCCAAGCAAAATCACCCGTCAGCCACTCCGAATATACGCGCAGAACCCGCGCTGCAGTAGTGTACACGCGATGAGGGACAAAGTCGAGCTTGTCATGGAAGAGGGGGTTGCTGAACAGACTCTCTAAGCATTCAACAGGATCCCTCCAGAATAGTCGGATCGGGTGTTTCGTGCTATGGGGCGAGGTAATGGGTTGACATTTCCAGCTCGGTCCCTTGGGGAGCATCTCGGCACGGCTTCGTAATTCTTTAGCGTTGTTGAAAGATAGTTTTAGTTCGCGAATCTGCAAGGGTAATCATCAATAAGAGGGCGAGGAGAAGGACAAGTGCGAGCGCAAAAGATTACATACCATCAAGAGTGCCAAAAATTCATTGATTGCCGCCATACTGAGGGAGGACTGAAGAAGAAAATCGGCAACTTCCCACTCATTCCTCAATGCAAAAGGATAAAAAAGATTATCTTTCCTGCAGTCCACATACTCATCAGCGTTGAATAGGTCCAAGAAGGTTGTGCCGTCCCGAGAGTAACAAGTCCCTGCGCCCTTGTACCATTCCTCTGCACTTGATGATTCCTCTCCCACTGTGTCGAAGTGGTCTCCCCCAATGTCAAAATCCATTCCATCTCCAGGATCAGGATATGAAACCCTGTCACAGTGGTCATCTGAAGGAAACTGAGAAGAGAGAGAATCAAGGGATCGCCGACGTGGTTCGACCAACTCTGTGAACTGCGAAATGTCAACCATATCGCGAATAGAGCTATGGCATGAGGTTTGGGGCTGGCTAAGGTGGCAAGTCACACTGGACTCCTTCGTGAATATTTTGCTGCATTTTGGACATGATGGTATTGACATAAGGTATGCGAGATTCACACGCCTCCAACTTAACATTCATCATCATATGGAGCCTCTAGCCCTATCTCCTTCTCGTTATTCTACACCCTCTCGCCATTCCAGAAACTCTTCTTGTTCAAGTTCTCGCCATTCTACACCTTCTTCTCGATCATTGCGCTCATTATATTCCAACTTGAATCATTTTCCAAGTCATCACTACTACAATACAGCACTAGCACACTGCTGCACCTGTCCTCACAATCAACGACCTCCGAACCATTCACCATCTCGATTGGCATGCTTAATAAAAGAGGAGGACGGCTTTACAGGAGGAGTGCAGCTTGTGAGTTATTCTGTGCTCTAATTTCCTCTGCACTTTCTTATCTGCCGTTGTCAGGAGTTTGATTGTGCCTCATTCTACCAAGCCGACAAAGAGGACGACCACTCCGACCTGGCCCTCGAGGCAGCTAAATCAAGACGCAAAGTGTGCCAGGCTCAAAAAGCCCTGGCGGATTGCACCCTAGAGCATCATATGGTACTTGTGGACCTCTACCGCCGTCACGTTGAAGCTGCAAATATGCATCTATTAACGGCCAACCTCAACGTAGGGCGTATGCATATAGAGAGGAAAAAAAGTGGTATTTCAACATTTGTGGGTTCAAGTCCTCGACGTGGTACAGCCTGAGTGCGCTGTAAGTTAGGTTCGGCCATACATCTTATTGTTAACGAATATTGATACATACTTCACATGTGATATAACCAGTAGTACTTGATTTATGCACTACATACTAGTATATACTGTTCTGATTTACTCCTCCTGCACACTATTGTTTCAATGTTTACCAGCACTACTGTATAGCTACGCACTTAAGTTCGACCTGATATGGGTGTGACCAAATGAACATTAGGTTTGAAAGTTCGAAGGGGTGTGTGACATGTGACATGCTGCACATAGGTTTGTTGTGTGAGACGACCGACTGGGCTGGGAGTCTCATTAGGCAGATGTATTCCTTTCTTTGTATGAGCGTAGAGATGCCCGCGCTCAACCTGGAGACTCCATCACTAGCGCTCACCCCTCGGAGCTTCGTTTGCAAGTTCAATTCCGTTTGGCATGAATTATCAATCCCTGATGGCTACAGCGCTGATGGATTGGGTAATCTGCTGGTGGACAATGAGTCGGAGAGCTATGAACGAGCACCAGATGATACAGAGCCTGAATTTACAGCCATGACCACTGACAGTTCGAAGGAGGTTGATGTTGAGGGTCGCGGCAAGCGCAGACGCATTGCAAATACTCAGTATAAGGACTTTTGGCAGCACTAGGACTTTTTTCGTGTTTTTACTGCATGTTTTCGTGTTTTTACCGCATGTCACAACTTAAGTTCGATGACCTCAATTTGAGTGTGACTGTCACACGAAATAGGTTCGGTTCGCTCGCCCTGTGATGGTGTGACGAACTTAAGTGCGTAGCTATACAGTATTCTTGTGACGCTTGTGATGTCTGTGATGTCTGTGAGACCTTGTGTGGATCTGTGTGCGCTTGTGACTCGTGTGAAATCTGTCGCCAAATTAGTAGTTTGCTGATGAATCTAAGTTTATTCAAACTACAATCGACTCTATCGTGTGACACTTCCTAAGTGTAACAGTCGATTACCACGGTAACCAGCGGGGAATCTGATGTAACTAGTTCGCCGGAACGGCTCAGCTTGCTGTCTTGTTACGACGTAGCCGCGACAGAATGGATTGAGCGTGCGTGTTGATGAAGCCCTTCCAGACTGGTCCCTTGTATTCACTAAAAGGATCCACAGGTTCTTCGAATTCGTGTCTTCACATCAGTTCTTATCGACTATCGATGGATCGCTGCATTGCCGGGCCTAGGCTGACCATCCTTTCTTCTATATCATGGTTGCAAATTGACTGACCCTTGATATATAAATAGATCCAGAGTCATGGTTCTGCTAGGGCTCAGGGTTACGTTTTCCACTATCCAAGACTAATGGATTTTCCAGCAGTCTGGCCGTTCTTCAGCTCGTTTAACCGATAACTCAAGCTTCAACTACTTTGTTGCTTCTGTCCACGGACCTTGTTAGCCTCATGTTGATAATCATCTATGATCACCGAGATCATCTAGTACCTCGTGCCAGTGTGCTTCATATCAGCTCTTATCGATCATTAGCGACGGGTCACTACAAGGTCTCAGTGTTGCAAATGGACTATTGGGCACCTTCCCTTGATTTAAATAGAGCCACGGTGCTGCTAGGTTTCATTTCGCACTGTCGAGATGGATCCCATCACCAGCAGTATCACCATTCTACAGCTTGTTCAAACGATAGCACAAGCTTCAGCTCTTTTGTTAGGATATGTTGCTTCCGCCCGCAAAGCCGACTCGTCCTGCCGGGGCCTACTTAATGAGCTCAGTTCAATTAACGGAGTTCTGACCACGGTTATGGACATTGAGAAAGTTCACTCTCTTCCAGACAATCTCCGTTCTGCGCTTTCAAATCTCATGGCCATCAACGGACCAGTCACAAAATTACAGATGGAACTGAAGAAAATTCTGCCAAACAAACAGGAAATGTGGCAAATGAAGACGATGACCAAATGCACGTGGCCGTTCAAGGAAAAGGAAGCAGGAACAATTCTCAATAAATTGAAAGGATATTGCGTCGAGATTACAAATATTCTAGCAATCGATACATGGTGAGCTGACTCGCCTGTGATGATTACTCATGCTAATGTAACATAAGGATCACACTCTCCGAAGTTAATCGAACCATTAAGAAAGTCGATCTAGGAGTACAGGAAGTGGATCGAAAAGTTCAGGAAGTGGGTCGAGGTATGAAGAAAGTTGAACTAGGAGTCCAGGAAGTGGATCGAAAAGTTCAGGAATCAAAAGTGGCTCAAGAAGCACAGAAGAAAGGTGAGACGATTGGTGCCACTTACCTCCTCACCTTGTTGAAACATATGTAGCCGAGGAACGTGAAGCGTTCTTACAATGGATGGACCCTGTTTCTTGTACCGAAAAGCACCGTGCCTCCCATCGCCAGCGCAACGCTGGGACCGGTCGGTGGATTTTTCATGCCGAGCAGTATGTGGCCTGGAATGCATCCGATTCCGCATTTCTATGGCTGAATGGCCAGCGTGAGTATTATTGCGTTCGTCATTAATTGCAGGTTGCTGACGTTCGAAACAGCGGGGAGTGGAAAGACTATACTTGCGTAAGTTTGACCACGTCTGGAGAGTTTCTGGAGGGCCTTAATCGACTTCTGAACATTTAGTTCCGCTGTTATCGACGAAATTCAGGGCGGTGGGCCGGCCGACCCACAAACCCTTGGTTATTTCTATTGCGATTTCCGAGATGACCAAACGACAAACGCAGCTGCGGTATTGCGATCTTTGGTTGTTCGGCTCCTCCGGCAATCTACAGGCGACTGGATCACCAAGACACACAAGCCAGAGCAGGAAGATTCCAATGCAAAAGTGGATTTCGTCTTCCTAAACGAGCTAGGACAACAACAACGTAACGGAGAGCGTTGTCCCACAGATCTGACATTTCTGCGACAGCTGCTTGTTGAAGCATCCAGGCTAGTTTACCGACCGGTCCTCGTGATCGACGCCTTGGATGAATGCAAGGATTACAGTGATCTAGTGGATCACCTCGTAGACCTTGCTGGCAATACTCAACTACGACTTTTCGTCACTGGTAGAAGCGAACTAGACATACAAAAAGCCTTCCATGATCTCCCCACCATATTGCTGAAAGACAGTGCAGAATGGATGAAAGCAGATATATGCGCGCACATTACTGAGCAGCTGAAGACTCAAAAGCGCCTGTCACGCCTACCGGAGACGCTTAGAAATTTGATTTCGGAGAAACTCTTAGAAAAGGCCGAGGGCATGTAAGTAAAACAACTTTCATCGCTCCTCGGAAATTCATGATAGCATGGTCACATGCAGGTTTCGGTGGGTTCAGTGTCAACTAGACGAAATTCGACGTTGCGCAAGAGAAATTGATATTAAGGATGCCCTCAACAATCTTCCGGCTGGGCTAAATGAAACATATGATAGGATTGTTTGCGGCATCCAACAAAAAGGGCGAGGTTACGACCAAATTGCCTACAATTGTTTGCTTTGGCTCGCTGGCGCACTCACCCCATTGACGCTTGGCCAGCTCGACGAAGCTATGATGATCAATGTCAAGCAATCAATTCTTGATCCGGATCTCCGCGCTAGTGATCCTATAGATAATCGTGGTCGCATGCGGAAGCCTTGTGACCTACGACGAGACTACTGGCGTCGTTGCTCTATCCCATTATAGCGTCAAAGTATGATATATTGACCCTCTTGATGGCACTCGGCAGCTGATGCGCTACGAAACTAGGAATACTTAATCAGTCCGCACCCTAATAACATCCTGAAATCAACCTCAGACACGCATGCACGAATCTTCGAGCTTTTGATCACGTATGTGTCATGTGACTCCGTGCCTGTGATATGCGCAAAAGGTACGATACAGTGTACCGCATTTAAGGGCTATGAAACTGAAGGTGTTTGTATAGCTACGAGTTGTACTACAGGTTCTGCTTCTGCTGTCAGTAACGAAGAAAATCATCCATTGCTGAGCTATGCAGTTAAAGCATTGATGCACCTTTATCATGTTTCGGACAAGGATTCTCGCGTTGTAGCTGCCCTGCTGCGGCTACACAACACACAGAAACAATTCCTGCTTGAAAGTCTAGTTCAGTCATCAACAAACGGTGGAGAGTCGAGTGTCACTTCCCCCTCACTTCTATTCACCCTTCTTCAGTTGGAAAACCCATGGATGGTGGAACCCCTAGTCAAGAAGCAACCCGATATCCTGAGCGTGGATGTCGCCCGTGGTTTTGGTTCTCCCTTGATTTTTACCATAGCCTCGAACCCTGCATTTCTCAGTGTTCTCTTGAAGCTGGACATCCACCTAAACAAGTCTTCTTCCATTAAAACCAATTTGTATCGTCGGCGGGATCTTCCTTCAGGTTCCTATACTCCAATTTCGTGGGCAGCCGCGATTGGAAGTGAAGTGGCTGTCGAACTCTTACTGTCACGAACAGAGGTCACCCTACCAGCCAACATTCTGCACACAGCCATTCTGTCCGACCAACGGTCTGCAGAAATCATTCTCAAACTGTGTCAACGCGGCGCGGATGTCACTTTCCCTGTCAATGGCTCCACCCTTCTCCATGCTTTACTTTCCAAATTAGTTCCCAACCGTCAGTCCAGCAGTGATACAAGCCGATGGCTACCAGTCGTAAAAGAGCTCGTCGGTGATCTTTCTGTACCTGACTGGACCGCCAGAACAGCACTCCACATTGCTCTCGACAATCATCTGAGCGATGTTGTCATATATCTCCTTGAGAAAAATGCACGGCTGACAGCAACAGCAACTCTCTCTCTCCATCTGAATATTTGGAGCTGGGCTCAAGGCGAATGGTGGTTTGCTAAGGTTCAAGCAGCGGCTCTCGCTGCTGATCAACCGAGCACCAGAATTTTGGGGAAGATTGTCCATGATACAAAGCAATCGCAACTCGTCGAATTTCAAGGTGCAGCCATTGCCAATCACAAAAACCTCAATCCCATCTGTGCTGTTGTTATTTCTGTTATTTCGAGTGGGGCTGTTGAAATACCCCAGTGGGTTACCAGTGTGGAGGCTGACCTTTCATGCGGTGGATTCGCGCAACTCGGGTTCTGCTTGCCATTGCCACACAGCAGTCAGTGTGTCTTTAGCCGCCTGTTGGACTATCATCAGGGAGACGCAGTCGCCAGCACTCTACGACTGTTAACTCAGGAAAAAGACTTGACTGGCGATTCCCTCTTTCTTCGGATGCAGAAGATTCCGACCGACACGTAGTTATTTCATGCGGATGAGGATGAGGATGTTTGAGGAGCAGAAGAGTCGAAATAATTTTGAGTATGCACTTGATGTCTACCGAGGTCCTTTAAATTAGTTTTGCATATCGTGTGCGGCCGTACACTACTATACTCTACAGGTGCCAGTGTTCAAACGTTCACATATAAATGTTTTACGACTCGGAGAATCACAGCCGAATCAACAATGAGAGAATAAACGCCATGCAGATAATACTGAAGAGTACTACACCACTATGAAAAAACAAATCAGCATGAGAACGCCGGCGAGGATAGTGACTACCATTATCGTCACTATCTTTACCGACATTGCCCTGAAGTCAAGAAACTATAGCAATGCAGTCTGGATGCTGCTATTTCCTGTGAGAATCGCAAGATAAATAGTCATGACAATAATGTAATGCTTTGATTTTGGTATGTAAGAAGAACGCACGGTCAGCAGAAGTAGAGCTGATCACGGTGAAATTGACGGTCCAGCACAGGCTTACCCAAGCGAGCACCGCCACCACGGCACGTGAACCGCGACGTCGAAAAAGACGCGACCCCAGACAGCAACATTTCGAACCGCAGATAGGCTCGGAAAACGCGTGGGAGGGCACCGTACGGGCTATGGACGCCATAGGCAGCGAAAATCGACGTTTTTGAGCTGCGAGAGAGCTCTGGATGGCTGCTGGATGGGGTGGAGGGTCCTGGGTGAGCACAATGCAAACCACCTGTGGGAGAATGCCGAGACGCTAACCGAGAGACTGCAAATTTCGCACATTAGGACCGTCAATTTTTCGTTTACACCCAGCTTCGGTCTTGGTGGCGATGCGTCCTTCCCTCCCGCCAAAAAAACGCACTGCATGCTGATGTGCTGCAGATTGACGGTCCTCGGATTTACAGTCCCGGCTGGCTGCTATACCATACATGGTACTGCCACCGCTTATGTATGCACACATACGCTACTAGTACTAGTGAGTACCTCCTCTTCTCGTTCGACTCCCGTCTCCTCCACGCATAGCGGCTGTGCTTGTCAGCCTACTGATCTCAAATTATACTTCCAGCGTCCTCATCGTCATGGGCATCAACGACCTGTGGGAGGCACATTCCCACTGTTCACTCGGCAGGTGCTGAAACTCACCCCATCATTTGTCAGGTGCTCGAGCCTGCTGCAACGACGGTGCCCCTCATCTCTCTCGCCATCCGGGGCCGATATGAGGGACCTGCCCCTCACTTGCCTTATATTGTAGGCGTGGATGTAAGGTTTGTGTTCGCTCGCTGTGTTCGATGGCAAACATTCTCACATTCTCATTTCTTGATTCTAGTGCGTGGTTCGAACAATGCCAGCAGGGCAGGTGGCACCGTGCACATGCTCAGACAGGCCAGAATCCCGCCCTTCGAACATTTTTGAAATCAAATGGGGCCACAGAGTGTCTACCAATGACCATTGGATGGTCAAGCCCACCCAGCGCCTACTGAATGCATTCAACGTGCAGTGGATCATGGTGAGTTTTTTCTTTTTTTTTCGTTGTCATCTATATCAATCCTGGCTATCCAGACTGCCAGAGAAGCTGAGACACAGCTGGCACTGATGAATGGTGCCGGTATTATTGATGCTGTCATGACAGATGACAGTGACTCATTTGTTTTTGGTGCTTAGACTGTCCTGCGCAAGTAAGATCTCTCATGTTCTCTTTCGCATGCCCTGCTGACTCTTTTTAAGCTTGACATTTTCAATAGATTCGACTGTCAAATTGTATACAACGAGTGCCATTCAAGAGCACTCAGGAGCACGTTTCTTTATCATATCCCCCTGGACTCGTCACTTACTACATATCCCATCCATGCAGCGGCACACCATCAAATTTGCACTGTCTACCACTATATCCCTACCTAGCTGTTTCTACAGGTAACTTCAATCTCGCTCGGGCATTTGTCCAATAGTTTATGATTATAAACCATACATTCTCTTCTAATCTATCACTGTACACACAAGTATGCACTACATAATCTAATTGTCTTGTCTCCAACCCATGAACAGAGCGCTCAAGAGCTTCTCCAGTGCACCTGTAACCATTAACAGAGCACATCGGTACCTGGTGCAGGGATTTGGTGAGTCTCGGGGGCCGGACAGAGACGGCACATACCTATAATCATGAACGGAGCGCTCATGAGCTTCTCCAGCGCACCTGTAACCATTAACAGAGCATGTTGGTACCTGGTGCAGGGATTTGGTGAGTCTCGAGGGCTGGACAGAGACGGCACGTACCTATAATCATGAACGGAGCGCTCATGAGCTTCTCCAGCGCACCTGTAACTATGAACGGAGCATGTTGGTACCTGGTGCAGGGATTTGGTGAGTCTCGAGGGCCAGGCAAAGATGGCACATACCTATCACCATCAATGGAGCACTCATGAGCTTCTCCAGCGCACCTGAAACTGGCAGCACATTTAGGAACCTATGAATAGGAACCAGGAGATCCGTGGCCTCGACATAGCGCGCTGCATACCTGAATGCACAATCAGACGATGAAGAAAAGGTGAGCATACCTTCGAGAACTTCATACTAACAACACTCACCTCACTGATATACACCACCAGCGAGACCCATCGTCTGGCCAACGGGTCTTGGATGCCGATTGTGCTGATTGTCGGTGGTCCAGGTCCAGGTGGAGCGCGATTGGCAATCGAGCCAAGGAAGGAAGCGAGCGCTGTGGCTGAGTCATCGTCACGTGACAAGTTTGCAGTCTCAAGCGAGGACTGCAAACGCCACCGGTGGGACCGTCAATTTTTCACACGAAGTCTGAAGATAAACCACATATTGTATCGTCTTTGGGAGCATTTGAAGAATACGGATGACAAGCGCCGTAAGCAAACTCCGTACAGAGCCAACCTTCAGGAAGTGGTCAGGTATATCATCATACACGCTGCTTTATACGGTGTATCATGTGGAATGAATCCTTGGTCCTGAAAAGTGTGCACAGCCTGAGTACTGAATATCAATGTGCATAGCGCGCGCAATGACTCTGACAACATGAGGATACAAACCAATACTAAATTATCGACACACTGAAGTATCTCGTAATGGCCTACCTACACGCTACCAGTCCGACAGTTCTGGCATGATGAGACTTGAGCGTCGACTCCGAACCAGTCCGAGTTAGCATTAGCCCAAAGCGTGTATTTCACTGAGTAGTGGGAGATAGCGTCCAGACTTCTCGAGCTTTGCAGGCAGTTTAACGACTAGTGACAGGTACAGCTCGACGAATCGTTCAGCACTCCGCCACTATTCGAAACATGAAACGCATCGCCGAGTGGATGACTGAGAGTCTAAACAACACACCAGCCGGACATTGCCGAAGTACTGTATATTACCAATCAGCCACAACCCTCCGTTGCGACTGGTGTATTGAGCGGCCCAAACGACCTCAAGACCTCTCTTCAAGGTACGTCTCATCGTTATCTAACCAGCTAATACTAACAAAGGCTCTGCACAGGCTCAAATAATGTGAGTCCACGAAGAAGGAGACAACAGAGCCTTGACAGAATTCACTAACGAACGCATCAACAGCTCCCCAAATGGCTCAACGCGTCACACTCCGAAAACGCCAACCCTACAACACCACCTCAAGCCGCAGACGCATCGTAAAGACCCCAGGTGGAAAACTCGTGTACCACCATATCAAGAAACTTGCTACTCAGCCGAAATGCGGTGATTGCGGTATTGGTCTTCCTGGTGTACGTCTCTTTTGGCTAGGATGTTGGATGGAATCTGATCTTGATTTTGACTTTTTGTGCGTGTGGTTGTAGGTCCCTGCTCTCCGTCCCCGCCAATACGCAACGATTTCAAAGCGCCAAAAGACTGTGTGCAGGGCTTATGGTGGTTCGCGATGCGGAGACTGTGTCAAGTCGCGGTGCGTCTCTTCATTACTTCGTGTCTCTCTTTATCTAAACTGTGCCCAAATAGCATTCTACGAGCATTCCTTGTAGAGGAGGCAAAGATAGTCAAGAAGGTCATCAAAAGCCAACAGAAGGCAGGAGGCCGCAAGTAAATAGCAATACTTTGGCCTTTTGGAGTGGTCGTTTTATGGCTATGGATCCTCATGCATTTTTCCATTTTGTTTATCGCATCCATGTACAACCTCCACCAAAATCCAGACCGAGGAGGTCAGTATGCAGTTCCTTGAATGCGCTGTGTCGTGCAAGAAGAGACATAGTCAAAGTCCCTCGAGTGGTATTACATAGGAAAGTTCATCGATACAGCATCATACAACACTGTAAGACATCGAAAAATGACCCACAAATAGATGCATAAATCCATCAAGCACCCCTCATATCCCTATATCCTTATCCTCGGTCCTCGGCAAAATGTAGCGGTCGGGGTACGCTAGGTCCTTCATAGTCTGCAAATGGGTCGTCGTCCTTTTTGTCATCCTTCTCATACGCATGTCCCAAATACTCTCCACCCGCGTAAGAGTAATCAGGTGGTTTGGCGTCGGAAGGTGGTGGTCCAAGCGGCGGAGCGTAGGCTGGTTGGTATTCGGGATCATAAGGTCGGTTGTAGTGTGGCGGGAAAAGGTCCATTCGCGCCTGGTTCGAGGGTGCCCTCAAGGCATTCGCAGGGCTCGTAGGGTCAACCACTTGACGGTAATAGGCAAATGCAGCGGATGTGAACAATAGGCAAAGAACTTGGAATTCGTCAGCTCCACTGCAGATTTAACAGGTGTCTATACACACCGATCTCGAATATAGTAGCCAAGATCTCAGTCCACGAATCATGGTTCCACTCGTCATTGCAATCTGCAGCAAGGTAAGATTCGAATGGAAGAGTCACACGTCAAAACTTACAAGACGTAGCCGAGGCCTGGTCCATCGGGCTTGGGTTAGAGCCCCATATTCCGAATGCCTGCTCACGAATAAGCCACGTATCACAACAAGCTGTACGAATATACCAACAGTATCCACTTCTCCATTCATTGAAACACTAATGCATTCATTTAGGAGTTCACCCTACCCATCGTCAGCCAAAACGTTTAAAATGAGAAGTCAAGTAAGCTCACCTTGTAGGTGAAATGAGTGATGCAACGCATAAAGCCGACGCCAACGACAAGAAGACCTGCGATAGCGCTCGAAAACGCATACATCCTAACCATCCAGGCACGTTGCTGCGAGGCCTGTATTAGTGCTAGGGACGACGTCATTGCATTGCACAGCAACTCCAACTCACAGTCAACAAGCTGTAAATGCCGAAGATTTCTATCGCGAGTGCAACGGAATAGATAACGCCTTGGACTATAGCCAATGGTGCTAGTTTAGGATAGGCACCTAAGGCACAAGGTTGGTGAGCTCGAATATGTATGTACCGAAACGAAGGGATGACCAACCATTTTGATCAACTTGTAGCTCTTTGAAAGATGCAATCTGCGGGCAAGCTTAGGGTATGAATCAAGAGGGAGCCAGTCACCTACCGTCCTAGAAAGAGGGTTATTTGCTTAATATTTGCCATGTTGACGACAAACTGACAAAACTTACCATGCTAAAGCCCATATGGTCCCCATTACCGCAACTTTATAACACCGACTATGAACATGGTAGAATGGATGAGACTGCACGACGACATACATGCAAGAACAACAGGACGCAGACTTCTGCCATAGACGCGGTTCACGAAGGTATAAGGCGGAGGCGCTCCTGCAAGGCTGTGTCATGAGTCTTCTGCACACACCTTGATTAGTTGCTGTCACAAAACGCACCTTGCGGAGGAACCCGTCTCGCGTTCATAATAATGTGATTGTATTTACTTAGAGAAATGGGTATGGTAACAGGTTTAGTAGAGGTACTGGAGGTGTGACGCTGCATGCAATTGTCCTGCCAGCCGCAGTCACCCATGGTTTCAAGCTCAGCTTGAACGAGTTGGCGCCTGAAACTTGCCTGAAACTGCCCTTGTTTCGCTGTGCGTGAGCTCCCACGACTATGCATATGATCGATTGATCTGTCTGGACCTGTGTCCTAGTACACCGCCAGGTCCTGTAGATGATTTATCACTTCAAGGTGGGCCTTTCGGGACGGACTCGAACAGGTAAACCCAAGACATCACATTGTGCAAGAACGCATGAGGCAGGAATTCCATCAGAAGCTTGATGGACAGGGAAGCGATGGGATGTGACAGGGTGATGGAGAAGCTCCGTATGGTTGAAGAAATCGACTACCGACCAACGAGTTTGTATCGTTTTCATTTCATGTTACTTAATTTTAGTAACTAATTACAGCGTCGTCCATAACCTGCAGAAGGTAATTCGTTCTTGGACGATACATAAACCTCTCATGCATTGTGTATCGATCAAGAACAATTTACCTATTGTCGCTCGAGAGTCGAGATGCCATATTTCACTTTTGGATATACTGGCAACATAGAGCCGTGCTTCTGCTGACCTCGAGAGGTTTGAACATGGTAAGCTACAACATTTTTCTCTGAGAGCTCATGACAGCTTTGCTTTGAAAGTCTCATCATTGTTCACGACGCCTGGGATACCATCTAGCGCGCATCCTACACAACAAACGCGACTTTGTCTTTACCACAACGCCTTTGTCGCGTCGGTGGCGTCACCACTTATAAACGTTTCCTTGCTTCGATGCAAACATCATTAAATCATTCTCATTCTCTACTTCTCGAGCTTCAATGGCATCGATTCCTATTACACCAGCATCCCCCGAAGCAGACCTTGCGACACTGGATCCTGCACGACATTTCACCAACATATACGCTGCTGCCAGTATAAATGCTGTTGTTGATCGATTCAATTTATGCGTGAGATATCTCCTCAATTTCAATGTTCCCTTCGAACAGGCGATACAAAGGCTCCGTCGTATAGAGCTTGGGTTCGATGACGCGGTGGTGGGGTTCAATGACATGGAGGAGGCGTTTAATTGGTTGGAGGACTCGCTCGAAGGCATGACGGAGATGCTCAAGGAGGTGTTCCATGCCACAGGTGAGATACTTGATGGCATGGATAAGGCGTTTGATGGCATGGCAGAGGAGATCTGTGCGTTGGAGGAGAAGGTCAAGCTGATAGAGGAGGAGATCTTTGAACTGATACACGGGTGAGTATCGGTTTATTCTATCGCTTCGCAACACTTCTCTGATTGAATTTGCAGTAACGGATTATGGCCCATTCGAATTTGCAATCATCGATGTTCATTGGATGATCCATTGGTCTGGCCTCCTGTTTCTGATACTCCCTATCCAGCTGGGAAGCCCGAGACTCTTGCGGGACTGCAAACAATGAACGGTAAGTGCGCTTTAGAGTGCCAGTTGCTCTCTTACTAACAAATGTTAGCTGAGATGTGTGCGGCTCTCGCTGCTGCCTTACACCTTCGACCTCCTCCTGATCTACTTCAGCCCCCACTCGAGTGGAGGAGAAAGCAAGTAATCAATTATATTGGATGCGCGGAATGAGTCATTCTATTGTGTTGTATCGTTGATACAATTACCTTTGTGTTCGTTATAGCACAAATGTTCCTCGGTCTTGCATATATAATTTATTTAGAACGTCTGCAAAGACGGGGATCCGTTTGCTATGGTGTGGAATAATCGATGTGATAATAACACAGCACACGAGGCGCTGCACTGCACTCACATCCCAAACACAGCATGCGCACATGTCAATTGGAGGCGCGTGATTGCATAGCCATCGACGGAACGCACAATCCAGTGCACACCGACATCACCCGATGAATCCCACATGTATGGATAAGCCCACGGAAGAGATTCAGTAGGCATGAACGCTAACAAGGTTGGGTGGCTCACCAGCGACGTGACTGGATCAAATCTCAATCCACTTTAGTAGGCATGTCTATCCTTGGCGCGACGGAGTACAGGATGCCTTGGAGGATAGCCAATGGTGTGAATCAGGTCCAGCCTGCACGAATGAATATGTGTTATTCTTCATCGACCGCCATCAGCTCCTTCAAGAACCATTCAATTTCATAGCGCCAGGTTGACGACGAACGGAAGGAAACCACTGCGAAGTAGAAATACCGAGGCTCAAACTAAAAGCGGAACCTGGAGTGTTGGGATTTAGATGGCGGTAAGAACAAGTACTAGCGTAAGCCTAGGACAAACGTCGAGGCTTACCGTGCCAACATCACCTCCATCATCGTGACTTCTATAAAGATGACATATCAGCACAAGATCAGCATGCAAACATATGGGTATGAACGGGCGATATGCAGGGAGGACAGGGTACAGGCTTCTAGCGTGATGGTAAATGAGGTCCTCCTGCTGTATAACTTGAATATGGTGTACAAGGGTGCCTGGTGCAGACCAAGCTGAGTTTGAATCCATCATTGGACCGCTCACTGCGCCCATAACGCCGCTGTACGACTTTGAAGGGATGAGTCAGGCCCAGGGCCATTAAATCAAGCCTAGAACCTCATTTTAATTGCCAATTAGTACTATGGTCTTGGCAGCAGATATCCAGGCCCAAGTCGGCATTATGGGTACGCTGACGCCTCGCTTTCGGTCAGTGAGCCACTAACAACTTTCATAGATATCCTAGTAGATAGATTTAGATCCCTTCAATCATGTTATAACTACGCACGGAAAATGCCCCAACTGTCCCCCACAAGTTCCAAATTATGTAGTGCCCAGTGCCCTGCGTGCTACCACTTCCCCGCAGATAGCAACCTCTCGCGCTACTGAGAGCAACGGCTCGACACGAATATAAACGTTGTTCCGCCGCGCATTCGTCCAAAAACGCGGCTGAAAGTCTACCACTTGTATATTGCACGACTCTGCAACTGCAAGCGCCGTTATAATGCCCTCCACCTCTGGTGTGTCTGGATTCCCTACCACATTCAATTTCTGCAACATCGGAAGGCGAAGTCCACGGAATAGTTCGATAAAAGGATCACGATGATAATGATAATGGAATAAGGGAATAGTCATTGATTCAAGGCAAGAGTATGTGGTTGTGTGGCTCCCAGAGTCCGAATTTGGTGCAATGTAATAATCTATCACGAGGGTCTCCACGTGAGGAAAAAACGATAAAGAGGAGTGTATGACGGCGACTGGAGCGCTCTGGATGCGGAGATGACGTATATTTTTGCAGGTAGCAGTGGGTCTAGATCGAATGACAGCCGACAATGGACCGAAACGTATGCGACGGAGGTTTGGCGCATTGAATCTGGTGACATCCGATGGCCAGTTACACTGCAGGGTTCTCAACTGGGGTGCGTTGAAGTTCTCGCTCCGTTCGAATACGTCGAACATGCAGAACACTGTTTCCCAACGCGTCGTTTCAGCAAAAAGTATTTCGAGCAGTTGAGTATTTGAGGGACAAAAGTGACCATGCACTGAGGGGGAAATATATTCCATGCGAATGGTAAGAGGCTGACTGCCAGACCAAGCAAGCCAAGACCGAAGCAGTGATGGAAGGAATGGCTTTAATGGGAAACTCTCAGTGGGAAGTCCAACTTTGATGTGCGACCAGATTCCTGTCGTCGAATGTGCGACGGCTCGCCAAAGGCGGCACACCCTGGTGAAGAGTAGTGGCGGGCGGGCAAAATTTCCCGAGATGGTGGTTCCTCCAAATGAGAAAATACTAGGATAGTCTGGTACGTCCTTGATGATGAGCAAGAATACATGCTGTAGAAGTTCCACGGGAAGCCGATGAATGGGGGATTCTGAGTAGCTCAGGTTGACGGCTTGTGACGAGACACTAGACAATACACCGACCGTGTGCACGAATACTTGCATGTTCGCGTTGACGAGGAGTAAGGAGTTTCAGAATAGGAGGTTGACTCACCCATCAAGCTTACGTATTTAGGAATTCGTTTTCTGTGAACCTTAAGTGAGTTGTCAAAAGTGTGGGAATCGTCGCTCGCGCTGATGTCTCGTTGAGCCAAGGCGGATATTTCTTTGAACTCTTAGCTGCCGACGCTTTTACTGAGTGTACTGCTGAAGGAAAACACCTTGGATCCCAAAGTTAATGCAGGTGGGAGATTTCCAACATAGAGCTGTACTATCTTAAGCTTCAAGTTATTGCAGTGCCCACCGCACCGCTTCTTGCCAAGTACTCACGTTAACGCTGCCTTCCCGATGGCTACCCGTGCAGACAGTAAGTTGGTAGGCAACCCGTCACAGCACTTGAATTCAGAATAGACCGTTTGAAGCGGGTGCCTGCATCCGCGTGATTTTCGCTCTCCCCAGCGTTTGCGGCACAGGTGATTTAATTACACACCACTATCACATCTTTCGTGCATTCACTCAGGGCTACTCTTGGCTAGGGCTGACATGATATTGGAATGCACAGAATGTCAGATCCGAGGATTCGGCGTCGCGCATCAATCAAACTCAAAATCATGATATTTGGCCACCGACTAGTAATACCCAGCCATGCTATTCATTACGGTATTAAGTTCACGTCATTGCCTAACTGTATCTAACTATTATGCTATATAGTGATCGATTCTCGCCATCTAGGACGAAATTCCCCCCCACCGCGAGTCTGCCACTTTTTTTTCAAGATATCACTTGACCACACGGCACACCCATCTCTTATCACCATCTTCCTCTTATTCCCTCATTTCTTGAGTATGCACCTCCTTGGCTTCTTTACATGCATCGCTTCTTGTCTCTCTGTTGCTCGTGCTTTCAGTGTGACAGTCGGGACTCCTACTGTATGTGAACCTCTCAGCATTTCATGGACTGGTAAGCGTATATCTAGTACATCTTATACGCCCCTGCTGAACTTTGTCAGGTGGGCAAGCACCATTTGAAATACTCTTAGCTCCCGTTCGTCGGCGCTATCGTCTTAATCGCATCAATCGCGCGCTAACCTTTGTGTTTTTCAGTCTAACCAAATATACCAGAATATACAGGTTCCTGCATCGGCCTTCAGCAATGGACAAGGCTCTTATTCAATATCGCAATTGTCGCTGTTGTCGGGAACGTCGTTTGTACTCATTATGTCTGACGCCACTGGATTTGGTTCGGGTGGGACGACAAACAAATTAACTGTTGCGAGTTCGGCTGCAAATTGCGGCGCTGCAAATCCATCACCTCCTTACACGTTCGACTTGTCTCCGCTGCCGCTGACGCAATGCAGGTAAGTTTGGTTCGCCTACTTTTTGTGGCGCTGACCTACCACTACTGCAGTCAATTTAATGTTACGGTCAATGGTGGTGCAGTCCCGCCCATTACTATTGGGGTCAGATTATTGCAAATTCTTTTAAAACGATCTACTTATATTACTACAGCAAATTATTCCTGGCGGACTATCGGTACTATTCAATTCCGGTAGCAACACTTTTAGCTCGACTTTAGATGTCAGCGCAGGGACGAGCCTCCTGTATTTTGTCAACGACTCCTTGGGCAACCAAGGTGGGGTCTCTCCGTACGAGGTGGTCTCAGGGTCGAGTGTTTCCTCGTGCCTAAACGCCAACTCGCCGTCATCCACTCCAAACACGCCGGCCACAATCACAGCCACGGTCGTAACCACGACCCAGGCTTCACCATCATCTAGTTCAAGCAGTTCATCGAATAGTTCATCAAGCAGCCATATTGCTATTATCGCAGGCGCAGCGGGCGGCGGTGGGGCTGTCCTTATTGCGTTGGCCATCCTCGGCATATGCTTGCGGCGTAAACGAAAGGCATCTCGCTTGTTGGACGTTCAGTCTTCCACACAAAGCTATCCACGTCATTTGCAGCGTACAGACCCAAATTACGAAGCCGGCCCTCACAGTGACGTCCCACCACAATTCCCCTTCGCATACAAGACAGACCCCCTCAGCTACCATACCCGCTCCATTCATCCCAGCCTAGGAACCCAGTCAGAGATGACCAATTCGTCCGCCGGCACATTCGCAGTTGGCGCCCCTCTCTCACCATTCAACCAGACACAACATTCGCGCCAGAGCTCCAACACAGACTTTCCCGTCTATGGAGATACTCGAAGTTCGACTGTGTCATCATCTAACAGCCGCCAATTACTCCTGTCTAGCGGAAACTTCACAGCTAACAATCCTCACACACCGTTCAATCAGACACTGCATTCACGCCAGAGCTCAAACGCAGACATGTATGCAGACGCTCGGAGCTCGGCTATGTCATCTGTTGACAGGCGAATGGCTACCGTCGCTGAAATACCATCACCATGGGAGACCGTTCCTGTTAGTTACCTTGGTCCATCCATTCAACCTGGATCCCAGCCAGGTCCTATTAATGCGTCTGCCACCAACATGGCGACTAGGGATTATCACGCACCCTTCAATCAGACGCAGCCTTCACACATGAGCCCTAACACAGACTTTCCTGTCTATGGTGACGCTCAAATGTCAGATACGACACCTGCCGAGCATATGGCTGTGGGGGCTCGACCAGCATCACCATTACCACGGAAGGTAGACCTTGTCTACCTTTCTCCACCCGTTGAACCCGGATCTCAATCAACTTCAACCTCTACCGGCAATGTCGGAGTCAAGAACCCTCCCACGCTGTTCAATCAATCACAAAACTCCCATCAGAGCCCTGACACAGACAACTTTGCTGTACACGGAGCATCTGGGCCTCAGTCCATGACGCCAGCTAGCGCGCAAACAGCCTACCAACCTCCTACTCGAATCATCGTGCATACCGACGCTGATGATGTTGTGCCAGACAACAATGGTGTAGTTGAACTTCCGCCACAGTATTCAGAACATCGGGGAATTCGTGCCTCGTAATCTGAGTCTGTGTTATGATTACGTCCCCACACGCTTGAGTCTTCAGACATGGATAATCCGAGGAAACCTCTTGGAAATCGAGTCAATCACTCAGAATTACCGAATCACATTTTACGCTTTTGTTTACAAAGTCCGGTCCATGTTCCATTGCATTCACAGCAGTTTATTTTGAACACCGTTACGAATCTACTCATTTTTAGTCAAAGCCAAGATGCGGAAAACGTCCGAAGTGTCTGAACGTTGTTTATTCTACAGTCGTGGACAAACAAAGTCATCTAGTTTGGTATCTCGACAATATGAATTTTTTGGGCCAAACTAACATCAGATTCGGATTCAGGACCTCAAAATAGGTCTAAAAACGACTCTTTCAATCTTTTCCCACGACATTTTTAGTGTGCCAAATTTTTTGGTCATTTGAACAACGCTACTACCTACGACAAGACCGCCTCAATTGCCATCATCGCATGCTGAGTGACTTGACAGTGTCGCTTCTGTTCACAGACAGCCCATTCTGCTGCTTTTCCAGTCAATCCAATCCTATATGCACTCATAAAATGATATGTCCGATTGATGAACCGCCAGATAACCTCAACTGGACATGAATCTAAGATTTCCTGTGCCGCTCGTTTTGCAGCCGCAAAATTTGGCTTCAACATTTGACGATAACAATACTTGCACCAACCCCAGTACTGACTTGACAATCAAACACTTTCCAATGTCTAGAAAGTGATCCACGCACCATCTCAATTGGATTGAGCTAGCAGTGAAACTTTGGTAGAAAGATACACTCATGTCCTGCGCTGCTGATGAGCTCTTCGAGCATTGATATTTGACAGCGGAAGTCATCCTGTCGACTCAGTAGCCGTGCCATGCAACAATCCGTGTTGTTGATGGGACAGACAGGTGAGCACTTTGTCCGCATGCCATCCACATTAAATCTGCGCTCTTCAAGGACCATTTTCAGGCCCTTTGGCTTCCCGGATGTGTCCGTCATCTTCTGAACAAGTCCACACTTTGAAATGTCGGGATTATTGTAAGGGATGACTGTATTGCGCGACGACCACGAGCCATGATAGTTGGGATGAGAGGTACGAAAGAATTTTTCGGGCGCCATTTCACTCCACTCATATAACCTTCTGAGTATAGCTTCGACATTGACTTGATGAAAGGAGTTCATTTCTGATTTTTTCATGATTTTTAGCAATTTTTTTGGGGGTGTGCCAAATTTTTGCACCCAAAAAGTCAAATTTACTGTTATGAAAAATTGGCTCGTACCATTGTGTTCTAAATGTTGTTTAGAGTACTATTATACTATTTTCGACATTTCCTGTTAGATTGGTAAGGCTACAAAATTCAGTCACCAAACTAGATGACTTTGTTTGTCCACGACTGTAGTATTACCGTACACCATCATTCCTATCACACTCAATGCATGCATTACCAAATGCCCATGACAGAAGTCAGATGGAAGCGTGGTCTAGCCCAGGAGACCTCCATCACGTATGGAATTAGGGCAGACGGACTTCACGGCCTGCTGATCGCCACCGAACTGAGACTCTAATTCAGTTTCACAGGCATTGCAAGCCCATTCGACAAACGTTCTCGTTTATCCACACATGTGATCTACGGTATCTTCTCGAGGTGCCTGACTTCACAGAGAATAACATTAGACTGAGCCTAAGTTCCGGATGCACGATAGACGACTGAGCTCCGGTAATTAGCCTGTAGAAGAACCTTACTCACGCGCCTTAGATAGCCTTTCAGTCCATTTTAATTTACTGGCAGCGTGTAGGAGAAAAAGGAGGATCGCGTCGGACCATGACATCATTGCAGGAGTCAAAGACATAACTTCCGTTGACACATGGACATCGGTACCGTACAAATACCATAGGTTCGTGTCATCTCCTTTGCACGACTCACCAGCTGCACGTCGTACGAAATAGGCTGGTTTATTCGAATTCTCACTCGCGAGCGTCTAAGCAGCCTTTCAGTCCATTTTTGTTATCGCACGAGCGCTACGCGGTGAATTGAAGAGCATCATGATATCGTTGCACAGTTTTTTTAGATGAAGATCAGGACACTAGAGATACCGTAGTTATATGCATGTGGATTCTTTCGAAATCTCACACTTGAGCGTCTACCATCACGCCACCTGCAATTACTACGGTTGATTGAGCCCGTGGTGCTGAAAAATCTTAAACGCTGAGGCTGTTATACTATTTTCGTCACTGGAATTGTTTCATGTAAAATGTTGGGACGTGCTCTGACAGTGCATTCAAGTTCAAGTTGCACGAAAGACACAACGCCAATGATTGATATACTGAGATAGCCCAGAGGCAGATCAGGCATAGCTGCTGCTGCGTGCCATCACTTTTTCACCAGGCCAGGGTCGCGTTTCATACTACTACAGTCTCGGTCTGCAAGCACGGGATCCGGAATGTGTTGAGTTCACGAATTTACAGGCACTGCCCAGAGTAAACATGGATCGGACTTCTAAATGAGTCGCGGCAAATCAAACTGTAACCTATCGTCCGCCATACTCCCAAGCTCTGGCGTACCTGTTCCTGCACCGATGCAGACATTCTATAGCAAGTATCTGTACTCGGTGTGGAGAAGACACTTGTTTGCAAAACAAAACTATCCGACTGACTCGGACTGCCAGTATTGCATCTCAAAATGTAAACAACAGACATGATCATCGAGTCGCAAGCTCGCAACATCAGTATGGATGACGTTGCCTTTCTCACTGCTATCCCTTCGCCGAAATCCCACCATGTACTGGATGAGCTACAACATGAATTATGGGGCAGGTCGTGGTGCGTATTTGTACATTCGCTTCTCACCCTGCATCACAGCTACAAGGGTATCTCTGCTCACGCTCTCGAGCGAGATGAAGAACGACGTATCAACCATATTGTCGAGGTAGCTTTGGATTTGAAAATGCTAAAGTTTGGTGACGAAGCTGCGAAAGATGAAAGGACAGTCGACTCGCGGCCGATGTTTGAAAATTGGAACAAGGTTCGCTTCATTTACAGCTTAGTACCAGTCGAAGGGTACCGTTCTTCTCAGTGACCTTTCAGAGTGATCCAGTATAGTCGTGAGAAGTCAAGGTATTTGGACTTGGAAACATGAAAAATGACATCTTTGACCTTCGTAGACTTGACCTGCTTGACTTTGTTTCGCCATTGCTTTCTACAACAAAGACAGTCTCCCATTGAGGTATTTCTGGGTTCGGGGATTCAGAAGGTGAGGTCGTCATTGAAAGCCAGTCTATCTAAAGACTAGTATCTCTCGCAGCTTGGATTGAATTTGCTCACATGCTTACGAGGACCTACTTCGGACATTTCTAAGACGCAAGTTCAACTTGTGCGTTTCCGCATAATTTTGCAATCGGCTGTAACACAGCTTTCCCGATGCCTACCCACAGTACTTGAATAGACCGTTTGAAAGTGAGTCCGCGGGGTGTTCCTTCTCGGATGCTATTCCTCCCTCATGTCGAGTCCACCCCAATATACTACCGCTGACGGAGGCGTTTGCGGCACAGGTGATTTATACACCATTGCTGCCATATATTACACGCGTTCTGATTGATTCTTACCGATCAGCTTTATCTAGGACGCAATTTTCCCTCACCTCGTCTCCTCCGATTCCCTTTTTCAACATATCACTCGTGTCTCCTATTATCTTCCTCTTTTCTTGAATATGTATCTCCTTCGCTTCTTTACGTTTATTGCTTCTTGTCTCTCTGCTGCTCGTGCTTTCAGTGTGACAGTTGGGACTCCTACTGAATGCGAACCTCTCAGCATTTCATGGACTGGTAAGCGCATATCTATTACATCTTACACGCTCCTGCTGAACTTTATCTGGTTTGTCAGGCGGGCAAGCACCATTTGAAATACTCTTGGCTCCTGTTCGTCGGTGCTATTGTCTCAAGCGCATCGATCGCGCGCTAACCTTTGTGCTTCCCAGTCTGACCAAATATATCAGAATATATCAGTTCCTGCATCGGCCTTCAGCAATGGAGAAGGCTCTTATTCAATACCGCAATTGATGTTGTCGTCGACAACGTCGTTTGTACTCACTATGTCTGACGCCACTGGATTTGGTTCGGGTGGGACGACAAACGAATTAACTGTTGGGAATTCAGCTGCAAATAACGATTGCGGCGCTGCAGATCCAAAACCTCCTTACACGTTCGACTTGTCTCCGCTGACGCAATGCGGGTGAGTTTGGTTCGCCTACTTTTTGTGACACTGACCTACCACTACTGCAGTCAATTCACCCTTACGGTCAATGGTGGCGTAGTCCCGCCCATTACTGTTGTGGTCAGATCATCGCGAATTCTTTTAAAATGACCTACTTATCTTGTTACAGCAACTTATTCCTGGTGGAGAATCAGTCGTATCCAACTCCGATGGCGACACTTTTAGCTCGACTTTAGATGTTAGCGCAGGGACGAACCTCCTGTATCTTGTCTACGACTCCTTGGGCAACCAAGGTGGGGTCTCTCCGTACGAGGTGGTCTCAGGGTCGAGTGATTCCTCGTGCCTAAGCGCCAACTCGCCGTCATCCACTCCAAACACGCCGGTCACAATCACAGCCACGGCCACGGCCGCGGCTTCACCACCATCTAGTTCAAGCAGTCCATCGAGCAATCCATCAAGCAACAATGTTGCTATTATCGCAGGCGCAGCGGGCGGCGGTGGGGCTGTCCTTGTTGCGTTGGTCATCCTCGGCATATGCTTGCGGCGTAAATGGAAGGCATCTCGCATGTCGGACGTTCGGTCTTCTACAAAAAGCCATCCACGTCAACTGCAGCATACAGATCCAAGTTACAAAGCCAGCCCTCACCCACCACAATCCCCTTCCCCATATAAGACAAACACTCCCAGCAACCGTACCCAACCCATTCATCCTGGCCTAGGAACCCAGTCAGAAATGACCAATTGGTCTACCAGCAGCTTCGCAGTTAGCGCCCCTCCCTCATCATTCAACCAGAAACAACATTCGCGCCAGAACTCCAACACAGACTCTTCTGCCCACGGGGATACTGGAAGTTCGACTGCGTCATTAGCTAACAGCCGCCAATCACCCCCGTCCACCAGAAATTTCACACTCAACGATCCTCGCACACCGTTCAATCAGACACTGCATTCACGCCAGACCTCAGCTACATCATCTGTTGATAGGCGAATGGCTAGCGTCGCTGAACTGCCATCACCGTGGGAGGCAGATCCCGTTAACTACCTTGGTCCATCCATTCAACCCGGATCCCAACAGAGTCCTATTAATGCGTCTGCCACCAACATGGCGACTAGGGACCATTACGCACCCTTCAATCAGACACAACCTTCGCACATGAGCCCTAACACGGAATTTGCTGTCTATGGGGACGCTCAGATATCAGACACGACACCCGTCGAGCATATGGCTGCGGGGGCTCGACCAGCATCACCATTACCACGGAAGACAGACCCTGTCTACTTTGCTCCACCCGTTCAAGTAGTATCCCAATCAACCTCTACCTCTGCAGGCAACGTCGCAGTCAAGAACCCTCCCGCACCCTCCAATAAGGCACAAAGTTCCGGGCAGAGCCCCAGTACAGACAGGTTAGATGTGCACGGAGCATCTGAAAGTCTGTCTGTGCCGGCGCAAATAGCCTACCAACCTCCTACCCGGATCATCGTTCATACCGACGCTAATGATGTTACGCCAGACAAAAATGGCGTTGTTGAACTTCCGCCGCAGTATTCAGAGCATTGGGAAATGCGTGTTCACTAATTTGAGTCTGGGTTATGATTATGTCTCAACACACTTGGGTCTTCAGATATGGATATGCCTGTTGCGCGTTCGTTTGCACGTGAATTTATTTTGTTCGAGTGTCTTGTCTTCAAGAATGACGTACAATGGTATCGTGCTCCTACTTTTATTTGGTGACATTCTTTTCAAGTTTCTCATGATATAATGATAATAATGACATGTACGTACTTCAGTGTAGTACTAGGAAGCACATATGGCCTCACTTCTCGTCTTCGTTGAATTCATCGAGAGCGGAAAGGAATGCGCGACGAACACGCACCAAAGATCTAGCATATTCAAAGGTATCACTCACCACTCGACATTAGTATACTAGGGGGAGTGCACCGGCTCAAGATAAGGCCTCAAACTCGCATCCAGCAGCATGAACATGCGAATTTCGATCGTTCGACAGAGTCTCGGACCACTAGGTGTACGGTGATCCGTGTACGGGATTATCGATTTATCGATCATCTTCAATGCAAAGTACACCTATATGATCGATTCACCGGAATATGAAATTAATTCCAATGGAAAGCAAGACATACATACTTCGACTATATACAGGGCACTACAAGGACCAGGCCTGGTTTCGCTACCTTATAGCACATCTTGGTTGGAAATACTAAGGGGAATCAACATCATGATCGTACGAGGAGTCTAAGGATCTAATGGTGTGACGAAATCACGAATGCTAATAGTCAGACTTATTAGGTTTATCTTCATGCCATGCACCATGACCGAACCTTTTACAATTATTCACTTTCAGTATCCTCTCCTTATTATCATCTTATGGCCGCTTGCGCGCTTCTGTGATGTGTAACTACTTTGACGCCAGCACAGCACTTCGAGCCTCATTTTTACCAACAACCACCTCTCATTCAACGCCCTCAACATTTCCATGATCACTGCAGACGAAAACATGCAAGGCACGTCATCACGACGCTGTCCCGCACCTGTCGACACTGACACTCCAAGCCTTAGAAGCGAGTAAGTGGCAAGTTAGACTGGGCTGAGCGTACCACTTATGGATTTACAGCGATGGCAAGCCCCCTCCAACGAGCGAGAAGCTTGCAGAGGCCGGCGTGGGAAGCCCTATTAAGAATGTGTAAGTGTCAAGCGGTCAATCAATGCGAAATACTTGAGGTCTGATTATGCTAGATGACAGGTCAAACATTGATGAACAGATCCCCAACGAACGACAAGGGCCTCCTATAGCTGAAGAACGTAACAACAAAGACGTTGAATCGAAGTTTTGGGCGACGTACGACGAGGTTTCGACGGGGTACGATAATGACTTTTTAGAGCGCGCGAATGGCGATATGGGTATCATCTTGACTTTTGTGCGTGTGTTCATATCTATCAATGCAAATCTAACAGAAGAACCAGGCTGGTTTATTCTCCGCTGTCAACTCCACTTTTATCATCGGAATGCAGCCTAACCCGGCAGAAACTACAAACGTCCTCTTGTTTCACCTTATCCAAATGACAGCTAACGGCACAAACACTGCGAATGACATCAGCGGTCTTTCCTCTTCCACGCCATATCCTTCTTCGACTATCTGGATGCAAACGCTTGCGTATGCTAGCCTCTCGTTCAGCGTCTTGGCCGCGTTTGGGGCTGTGTTGGGAAAGCAATGGCTCAACGCTTACAAGGCAGCTCGTGGACGAGGGTCTCTTGAGGAACGCTGCATACAGAGGCAGAGGAAACTGGATGGAATGGAATATTTTCAGCTCCAGACCGTCTTGCAGGGGTTCCTCGTGCTTCTCCAGATCTCACTACTCTTATTCGGCTTATCGCTCAGCGCCAACATGTGGACCCAGCAAACCACCATATCCAGCATCGTCATCTGCTCCACCGCACTCGGCATGCTGTTTTACGCAAGCGCTCTCCTCGTGACAATTTTGCGTCCGGACAGTCCTTTCCGAACACCAGGAGCTGAGCTAATGGGAGCCATCTGCAGAAAATTTCTTCCAGACAGATTGACTTTCGCTCCTGGTGGTGCATCCGTTAAATTGTTTGCCATCCGGTGGATACTAGAGACGTCCACTCATCCAGAAGTTGTCGAGGCTGCGGCTGCAATGATACCTCTTGTGCAATGGCCGCAGGACCTTGATGTTTCCGCAATCTGTGCACGCTTAAATGATAATATCGAAGCATGCCATGAAGTGGAAGAGGCGTTTGTGAAGTGTGGCAAGGCCATAGCCCATCTTTGTAGCCAGTCGCTGGAAATACCTTATCGCCTTCGCTACAAAGCCGGGCATAGGTATATCCACGGTTATTGGGAAAGCAAGAGCCGTTTCATTCGTGATGCGTTCATGGACAGCCGTGACGCCTGCAATCGCCTCAAGAACACACAGCAAGCAGACGATCGAAAGAAGCATAAGCATAAGGCTGATGCACGCACGTCTCTGAGAACACTGGTTGTCCACGGGGATTCCCATTTCTTTATGCTTCCAGATGAAGAAAGATTAATTTGGGGTGGTGATTTCCGGTGGCGTCGCAGTGACGGGCTCCTGCCCAGCTGTGAAGATTTTGACTGGCTCGTCGACTACTTGGTGGAAGAAGCAAACACCGCAGCAGATGATAAAACTGTAGGCGACGCTCTGCTTGCGCTGAGTGCCATGCCCAACCTAAGGAGCTCTACCAAGCGTCATTCCTACATAACGGCGCTCATCCGTTGCATAGACCCTGCCAGACCTCCCCGTGTCCGACATGCTGCACTACGAGCCATTGCTGATGCTGGAGAAGAATTGGCATCCATGACAAATGAGTCAATACCACAGAGTGTGGATGCAACACTCTTGAACAAGCTTTCGTGTGCTATTTTGACTGTTGTATGTCCAAATCACTCGCAGGACCAGACAGTCCCATGCAGTACCTCTTTTCAGTGGCGTGGAGGTGCTTGCTACTTTCGTCTCATATTTGCTCTTGCACAGAGTGATGAGTGGCGCGAACGTCTGACCCGTGATGGTCATTTCGAGCATTGCATTGTTCTAGCCAAGCACCTAACCCAGACTTGGCTTGCCGGATGCTACCTTGCTGGGGTCTTCGCATATATCAATTCCTCAGACAAGCTTCTTCCTCTCGACCCTACCCAGAAGAGGTGGCAGGCATTCATCAGGAAAGGATGGGAAGGAGCACGCTACGGAGTTTACACAGACGTCGACGTCGGCGCGCTATCTGCCCTCGTTGTGGCGACAAGGCATAAATTGCGAAGCTGGGATTTTAGCGTTCCTAACGAAGAGTTAACAGAACTCACTGCATGTGTGTATAGGGCTTTGGAATCAATGCAAAGCACGAAAGATTCCCTTGTGCTTTTTGGTCTAGATCAGGTTCTATTCGATGCTGCCCTATCCTCTGTGCAGGGCTTGTATGACGATTTGCGTCGCATGATCGAGAACCCAAATGCTTTGCAGACGGACAATGGGTCTTTGCAGTCTTAAAGGCGGGTCGTTATGTAGCAGTATCACATATCCTACAATACTAACTTCAAGTTGAACTTGGATTGGTATGTCTTCAGGGTCGATCGAGCCATTAATTTACCAGTAAGTACTGCACCTACTATTCAATTCCGTGCGATAACTGTTTTCCCTTCATGATACCAGTGTATTTGTCTCCCTACCTTATATACACACGGCTAGCAGAACCCATCCAACACCTCTATAAACTTCTGCCTCAATCATATCATCTGAGACTACTTATAGTTCAATTCCCTTACCTCTGTAAGTTTCAACTTGGAGCAACGACTCAAGAGCATCGTACGCACATCAACTTTTGTTTTTCGGCCATACATACGGCTACTAAGCGTACATTGGAAGTTGCAGCGACTAAAACTCCCTTCATGATACTCTCAACTGCTGATCTAGATGGGCCCCCCGCCAGAGTCAATTTGTGTAACATAGCCATATTTATTCCATGGAGTTTGTGCATTCAGATGACTGCGATGAAAGAAGGGAGAGTTATTGATTCAAGGCAAATTATGTGGTCAAAGGACTCGCAGAATCTGACATCACGTCATCCATCACGAGGATGGTGGGCACGGCTCGGAGTGAATTCGACAGGTAATACTTCAACGCCATTCCAACGCGCCGTTAACTTTGCATCAGGCGTGCCAAAGCTGCATCTCAGGCTTGCATCATTCCGTGCTGATCACTGGAGCCCATGACGACTGAATCGGACCGATAACAGGACAATTAAATGTTCGAGCATTACAGTGACCTACCAGAAATAAACTTGACAGGAATGCAGAGCTGCAATACACCACGGGAATATACACCCCAAAAAATCACATATCCTTCACCCTGCGCCGTATCTGAAACATATCTCCGGCAAGCGTCTTCTCCGAGTCGAATGAATTGAGTTCTGATGTCTGCGGAAGTCAGTTACGAGAGATTGATTCATCACTCACGCAAATAGTCTGAATCCACCGACACCTCTAAAACATTCAATTCGTCACCGTCTCGCACCAAGCTTTTCAATGGCCAGTCCAGGGCCTGGCACCAGCTTTCGTACAGGATACACAAAGGAATACTCCCGTCGCTCCGTTTCTAGCGTCTTCATCTGATTGCACATGTAGGGTGAGCGAGAACATGGAGGCAGCAAGGTTTTCAAAGGTGTAAAATGACACTTTGGGGGTGACAGTGGAACACCTGGGCCTGAGCGACACAAGCAGGATTTCATGCTCAAGCTTTGTTCTTACTATATGGTGGGAAACGACAAGGACCAGATCACGCCTGGTTTCGCTACGTCACTATAGCACATCGTTTTTTTTTGCTTCAGAGTTGGTCCGTTGTGGTCATAGACCCTATGTTGGACATTGTCTCGTCATAAGCTCCCTTTCGTCTATAGCACATTTTAGTTGGAATTACTGAGGGGAATCAACATCATGATCGTACGAGGAGTCTCAGGATTGTCTACTTCTTATCTGTCAAGTTCTTTGCTGCAGGCTGTTGATAAGCTTCGACTTCCAGGTTCACGAGGCGAGGAACTTACACAAGCGATTTCCAAGGATGAACTCGAGAATCTTCTTTCCAAGTTCCTCTCCATGGTGGTCTTGACGACAAATCTCTTTCGCTACTTTCTCTACTGTGACAACCATGGGGGATTTCAGGTAGTAGTCCACGGCAGACTCCACGGCAGACTCTACGAGCTCCGAGCCCTTCGACTTGTACGGGAGAAACGCAGAGTACTCGAGGACGATAATGGTGGCTGCTTCCTGTCATTAATACTACAACCGGCCATGGGGTGAGAAACTAACCGATGCCAGTCTGAATTATTCTGTTCGCAGTAGAAGTAAACAGTGAACCCTTCATAGTCTGTTGGACACTCGTATAGTGCTAGGAATCAATGCGGAGGGAAGCCAACCTACCAAGGGCTGAAGGACGCGGATAATATCATCGCGGCGGATTTTGGCCTAGCCACAAGTTGAAAGTATGGGTATCAGAATCAACTCCACAGGGGAAAGTACTTGCTCCCTGCAGGAAAAGGATGTCAGAATCATGAGGCGGAAAATTAGCATTTGATGAATAACAGAGACGTACATTCTATTTGGTCGACGTAACAGTTGTGAATAATCAACAACCAGATTGTAAACAATGAATGCTGTGCTCGGGTAACTTACAAACTGTCAGGGTTTGGAACCAAATGAGCACCACTATATATTGGCAAATACCATTCATGGACGTACGAGCTAGATAAGATCGTTTGTCAGTGGACTAATAGGATGTCAGACAGGATATGATCAACATACATTCTGCGAACACGTGATAAAGACAAGAGATTATATGGCTTAAACCATTGACGATTGAAATACACTTACATCCTACAGATTGACAGAGTCAGTGAAAATGATTGAGACAAACGCTTCGCATTATGAAGGTCGAACGACTCACATTCCGCATAGGATACGAAAATATGAATGAACATGGAAAAAAGTCATCAAGAAGAGATATTCAACGAACTAAGCATCATATGAGCAATGGTGATTCGACTCATCTGATGGAATAGAACACGCTTACGTTAGGCTATGAAAACAAGTGAACATCATTATACTATTGAGCATCATCTGAATACAAGATATGATCAAGACACGCACCACCTGCCAAAAAAACAGTAAGTGTAAGACCTGTCCACATGAGTTGCAGACAGAAAACCATCAAGGCACTTACCCGCTGTCAACAGGTGAGGAGGAGCGATTGTCAGCATGGGTTAAGGATGAGAGACCATCAAAAGTACATACGTTCTGTCAACAAACGAGCAGCAGGGAGGCATGGGGATGATGAGCATGGGTCAATGACTAGAAACCATCAAGGCACTTACATACTGTCAACAGGCGGGCAGCGGTGAGGGATGGCGATAATGAGCATGGGTCGAGAACTAGAAACCATCAAGACACTTACGTCCTGTCAACGGACGAGCAGCAGCGAGGGATGGGCACCATTAGCGTGGGTCGAGGACTAGAGACCATCGAGGGACTTACCCACTGTCAACAGCTGAGCAGCAGCGAGGGATGGCAATCTTGAGCATGGGTCGGGGACTAGAAACTATCGAGGGACTTACACACTGTCAACAGCCGAGCAGCAGCGAGGGATGGGGACCATGAGCGTGGGTCGAAGACTAGAAACCATCGAGGCACTCACATACTGTTAACAGACGAGCAGCAGCAAGGCATCAGCGTTGTCCCTGCGTAGCTTCGTAAGCTACAATCTTACCAGCTATTATTAATAAACAACTACAATCAAGGAAAACATATCAGAATGTTTACTGTTTCAGCACTTCGATATTTACCATCCGTGAGAACCATTACCAGGGAATGACTGAATGAATCTTCCTCTTACTTTGAGATGCGGAAACCACTTAGCAATGTCATGCTGATAGTGTTCATAATCAAATTTCTTATGCGCACGATCGACCAGTGTTCTAGATGATGTTGAAACAAAAATGCGTGACTTGCAAATCTGAGACTCACGCGATGGCACATTTGATGCAAAGCTCCAGGTTCGATTTTTGTGTCGATACCAAGCACGACCGCAATTCTTCATCGTCCAGCGCGAAAGTGGTGCTTTCCAGTAGAGTGTCGCAGTTTGTATTCTGTTGGTTCATATCTAGGATGGTTGTTAATGTCAACTTTGACATGGGACAAATCAATCTGAACCACTCACTCTGCAAGCGCACATAGGACTTGGGACGTGCAAGGTTTTCGGGGTTGCGCAACTGATTCAAGATGCCTGTTTTAGTGAAAAGTTCCTCGACGCGCTCGGCAATCCTCTTTGAGCGTTCTTCGGCCGATACCCCCTTTAGTTGCTTCTTGATTTCTCCATATGCAAATGGACGCAGAGCTTCGAATTTGGTGAACACCGCGACCACAGGAACTGAAGATTGATCATTTAGTCCGAGAGCGGCAACTGACAATGAAGTTGCAAGCTCACCATGCCCGGTGTCGCACTCCCGGAAGAACTTCTCTTCTGACCGCTGGAACGTTCGACTCGGGTCGTCCATTGGGATACAATACCTGATGGCAATTAACAAGCACGAAATGTCATAAGGGAGTAACTTACCAAATAGCATGGATCCAGTCCTCCAATTCCGTCGCATGCGCACGTTCTGATATGAATTTCTTCATGTTCTCGAATTCTTCTTCAGACCCCGCTTCGAAACCGCACGAGTCGTAGAAGACGAAACCAGGATTACTTTTGAACACCATCTCGTTCGTGATGTCGTGATTTCCACGCTGAGTGTCCGTCAGCGGATGTATGCCCACAGGGAAAATGATGCACCCACCTTGATCGATGATTTCACGATGGCAGCATCGATCTACCAGTACTTAATCAGCGCTGAACGCGTGCATGACATAGATCATCACCCGCACCTTCTTTCCGTTTGTATCGTAAATTTCTGGTTGATCGATGGTGTTGCAAACCTTCTGGAGGATGGTCGTTTTGCCTGCGTTTGCTCTCCCCATGATCAGAACTCGAAAGCGCCTGATCATCCGTCTGAGGTCCTGGGCTTCGATGGTTGCCATTGGGGATCTTGATGTGCGTCCTGAGGTAGAGGTGATTTCGTTTATCGTGAAAGTTGTACTGCGGTACAGAACGAGGTCGTGGCAAGATATGGATACGAAGCAAGGGTTCCCATGGCTTATGACACATCAGCTACATACGGCGTCTATCTCCTATCTCCCTGCGTCAAACCACTGATTATACCCACAAAGTCGCAACTGTTCAAGTATTCGTACGATAAAGCACCAGGATTACACAACAGACGATGTCGAACAATGAAAATTATTAACTGTAATGAACGATCAGAATACGATGGAAATGTCAGAATTTCGCTATTGCCTACCCGCCTAGCTGAAAAGCAGTGATATCGGAAATCTCTGTAAATGGAGGTAAGCTCGATCTTCCGAGGTCTTCCAAATGACTGATCATTGAAACGTCTGAGAGCAAACAAGAGCATGTCGGGATGCGAAACACCTTCTGGAATGGGTGACATCCCGTGATGCACGACAGGGTCCGCACATCTGGGGTTCCCCCCAGAGGATGGTAGTTCTGGATATGAAGAGCAATGGAGCAGTAGGTACCGTGCGTATTGGCTGAACTCGAACGTCGACCACGCTCGTTGGTACTGAGGGAAGGGCCGATGTAGCGGGCCGTGGGAGCTTGTGTATTCATAGATAGCTCGGGGCAGGTTTGGTACACATCCACGAATGAGTCCGACTGTGTATCATATTCAAAAATTGGCTCATATATTGTCAAGCATCGAAGAAGACGTACCGGCCAATATGTACGTAGATTGGGAGGGCTGTCGTGCGTCTTACTGGATTACGGAAAAAAATCTGCCCCAAGAATACTCACTCGTGAGCACGATGGATACACCTCTTGCAGCCTGAAGAGTCGCAGTGCCATCCGGGTCTGTGCGCCATTGTTGAACTGGGCCCTCCTCCGACTCTTCACGCACTGCTGGTGCCTACTATGATAAGTGATGTCGTTCAGGCCGGCTCCTTCTCAATTCTTAGCGAGCTCCCTGGTGTCTTTCGATGGTATAGCGTCAACCGTCACGATGTAAGTGATGAAGTACATGACCCTGCACCTCGAACATACAAAACAGCATGCTTTGGCAAGAATACGATCAGTATAAGGACTCGCGGTGTAAGCCAAGACTCACTAATCTGAAAAATATACATGACTGCATGCCTTGAATCCAGCCATTTCGAAAAACGTCGACAGCATTGCAAGACATAGCGTTGAATGCCGGCGCACCGTGACAGCCGTGAAGCTCGATTATTATCTTGCGCGTCCTCTCGTGTTCCTTGTCTGAAGCTGAACGTGGAAGGTAGAGCTTGACAACGGCTGGTGATATAGATACCCTCGAGGGAAGGTGCGAACTGCAATGGGAATCTGGGTTGTGTAACTGCTTCTGTGCTGAGCCCGGTGTCTTCGTCGTCTAGACCAGCTGTTTGCGTCCACAAGACAAACGTGAGGGAGTGACGAAGATCCTTACGCTTCACGTGCGTAAAAAATACTCCGTAAGGATACGCTCGTCCACATCTAGGGGTGCGAGAACACCGCTATCATTAGGGTGTGGTGGTGGGTCTGGGATAGAGACCTCTGTGAAATCACATGTTGGGGACTCGGAGGTGGGATGGGAGGGCGAATATCTATCGCTGTATCGGGAATGTCTCCAGAGGCATTGTAATCTGCAAAATGGTTCTCCTGTAGGGATAAATTGAAATGTAGTAAAAGCAAGACGAACCTTTATACCAGGATTACGATCCTGTTCATCCTGCTGGACATGTTGTGGGTCCCGATATGCCATGCTAGCACGTATCCCTTTCTCTTTCGGAAAACACGTCCCCTTGTATAGGGACCTCTACATGCCATCTCCACGTGTCGTAAAGTACTTGGTGCAGCTGGCTCCTGCACGATATCTCGCAATCGCTGTGATATTTTTTGGTGTTATTGAATCTGTAAAAGAGTATTATGTAGTCATGGTGTGTCGACGAAGGTATGTCTTTCCGACACAAGACGCTGACAGAACGCAGGTCACAGATAACTGAGATAAGTTCTGTGCAACGTGTGCCCTGCCTGCGTTTCGTACGTTAGAGTTGAATGATAGAGACCACTGTGAACGAAATGACGAAATTCAAACATGGAGTCACATGACAGGAAGTACAGGCCTATATTCGTTCCTTGTTTTTCGCATATCCGTCACTCGAGAGCTATCCGTACTTATCTGTATGGGATTATCCTTCGACCGCCGTAGGTGACGTCAAATACAAACAGCGATGTCACAGTCGATCACCTAGACCTGAGCAATAACTCACGCTCAAGCATTGTTCTTATACGGTAGGCAACGATAAGCATGTCAATGCAAGGTAGTAGCAAATTGGACTGTACAAATTCACCGGACAAAATTGAATATGAAATTAATTGCAAATACAACAGCGATCACTACGTTGGTGTAAATACTAGCCAGATGAACTCTTGTTAGGTTTATCTTCATGCTATGCACCGTGAACGAACCTTTTACAATTATTCACTTTCAGTATCGAGTCTCCTTATTATCATCTTATGGCCGCTTGCGCGCTTCTGTGATGTGTAACTACTTTGACGCCAGCACAGCACTTCAAGCGTCATTTTTACCAACCAACCACCTCTCTCATTCAACGCCCTCAACATTTCCATGATCACTGCAGACGAAAACATGCAAGGCACCTCGTCACGACGCTGTCCCGCACCTGTCGACGCTGACACTCCAAGCCTCAGAAGCGAGTAAGTGACAAGCTAGATTGAGCCGAGCGTAACACTTATGGATTTACAGCAATGGAATCACTGGCAAGCCCCCTCCAGCGAGCGGGAAGCTTCCAGAGGCCGGCGTGGGAAGCCCTATTAAGAATGTGTAAGTGTCAAGCAGTCAATCAATGCGAAACACTTGAGGTCTGATTATGCTGGGTGACAGGTTAAACGCTGATGAACAGATCCTCAACGAACGACAAGGGCTTCCTATAGCTGAAGAAAGTAACAACAAAGACGTTGAATCGAAGTTTTGGGCGACGTACGACGAGGTTTCGACAGGGTACGATAATGACTTTTCAGAGCGGGCGAATGGCGATATGGGCATCATCTTAACTTTTGTGCGTTTGTTTATGTCTATCAATGCAAATCTAACAGGCGAACCAGGCTGGTTTATTCTCCGCTGTCAACTCCACTTTTATCATCGGAATGCAGCCTAACCCGGCAGAAACTACAAACGTCCTCTTGTTTCACCTTATCCAAATGACAGCTAACGGCACAAACACTGCGAATGACATCAGCGGTCTTTCCTCTTCCACGCCATATCCTTCTTCGACTATCTGGATGCAAACGCTTGCGTATGCTAGCCTCTCGTTCAGCGTCTTGGCCGCGTTTGGGGCTGTGTTGGGAAAGCAATGGCTCAACGCTTACAAGGCAGCTCGTGGACGAGGCTCTCTTGAGGAACGCTGCATACAGAGGCAGAGGAAACTGGATGGAATGGAGTATTTTCGGCTCCAGACCGTCTTGCAGGGGTTCCTCGTGCTCCTCCAGATCTCGCTACTCTTATTCAGCTTATCACTCAGCGCCAACATGTGGACCCAGCAAACCACGATATCCAGCGTCGTCATCTGCTCCACCGCATTCGGCATGCTATTTTACGCAAGCGCTCTCCTCGTGACAATTTTGCGTCCGGACAGTCCTTTCCGGACACCAGGAGCTGAAGTAATCGGAGCCATCTGCAGAAAATTTCTTCCAGACAGATTGACCTTCGCTCCTGGTGGTGCATTCGTTAAATTGTCCGCCATCCGGTGGATACTAGAGACGTCCACTCATCCAGAAGTTGTCGAGGCTGCGGCTGCAATGGTACCTCTTGTGCAATGGCCGCAGAACCTTGATATTTCCGCAATCTGTGCACGCTTACAGGATAACTTCGAAGCATGCCGTGAAATGGATGAAGTATTCGTGAAGTGTGGCAAGGCCATAGCCCATCTTTGCAGCCAGTCGCTGGAAACACCTTTACGCTTTCGCTACAAATTTACGTATATCCGTGATTGTTGGGGAGGCAGGAGCTCTTTCATTCGTGATGCGTTCATGGACAGCCGTGACGCCTGCAATCGCCTCAAGAACACACAGCAAGCGGACGATCGACAGAAGCATAAGCATAAGGCTGATGCACGCACATCTCTGAGAACACTGGTTGTCCACGGGGATTCCGATTTATTTAGGCTTCCAGACGATGAAAATTTAATTTTGGATGGTGATTTCCGGTGGCGTCGCAGTGACGGGCTCCTGCCCAGCTGTGAAGATTTTGACTGGCTCGTCGACTACTTAGTGGAAGAAGTAAACACCACAGCAGATGATAAAACTGTAGGCGACGCTCTACTTGCGCTAAGTGCCATGCCCAACCTAAGGAGCTCTACCAAGCGTCACTCCTATATCACGGCGCTCATCCGTTGCATGGACCCTGCCAGACCTCCCCGTGTCCGACATGCTGCACTACGAGCCATTGATGATGCTCGAGAAGAATTGGCATCTATGACAAATGAGTCAATACCACAGGCTGTGGATGCAACACTCTTGGACAAGCTCTCGTGTGCTATTTTGACTGTCGTATGTCCAAATCACTCGCAGGACCAGACACTCCCATGCAGTGGACCCCACGCCTCTTTTAACTGGCGTCGAGATGCTTGCTACTTTCGTCTCATCTTTGCTCTTACACAGAGTGATGAGTGGCGCGAACGTCTGACCCGTGATGGTCATTTCGAGCATTGCATTGTTCTAGCCGAGCACTCCCTTGAACGCTACTCTTCGGTTCCCGGATGCTACCTTGCTGGGATCTTCGCATATATCAATTCCTCTGACAAGGTTCTTCCTCTCGGCCCTACCCAGAGGAGGTGGCAGGCATTCATCAGCGAAACATGGGAGGATACCCGCCACGAAATTTACGAAGACACCGGCGTCAACGCACTACTAGTCCTCGTGGCGGCGACGAGGCATAATTTGCGAAGCTGGGATTCTAGCGTTCCTAACGAAGAGTTAACAGAACTCACTACAGGTGTGTATAGGACTTTGGAATCAATGCAAAGCACGAAAGATTTCCTTGTGGCTTATCGTCTAGATCAGGTTCTATTTGATGCTGCCCTATCCTCCGTGCAGGGCTTGTATGACGATTTGCGTCGTATGATCGAAAACCCAAACGCTTTGCAGACGGACAATGGGTCTTTGGAGTCTTGAAGGCAAACCGTTATCTAGCAGTATCATATATCCTACAATGTCAACTTGAAAGTTTACACTTGGATTGGTATATTTATGGTCGAGCCATTAACGTTAACTTGCCAGTATTGCACCTACTATTCAATTCCGTACGATAACTATTTTCCCTTTATGACTTGCCTCCCTACCTTGCATAGGCAGAATGTATCGAACACCTCTAGTTTTTCAATAACATCATCTTGAACTACTGTTCAATTCCTTTTCCTCCACGAGTTTCAAATGACCAACGATTCATAAGTATCATATGCACATCAACTTTGTTTTCGGCCGTGCACGTGGCTAGTCGTATATTGGAAGTTGCAGCTACTGAAACTCCCTCCATGATACTCTCAACTACTGATCTATATGTGGTCCCCCGCCAGAGTCAATTTCTGTAATATAACAATATTTATTCCATAGAGTTTGTGCATTCAGATGACTGCGATGAAAGAAGGGAGAGTCATTGATTCAAGGCAAATTATGAGGTCAAAGGACTCGCAGAATCATCCATCACGAAAATGGTGGGCACGACTCGGAGTGAATTGGACAGACGATATTTCGACGCGCTATTTGCATCAGGCGTGCCAAAAGCTGCATCACTGGCTTGTATCATTCCGTGCTGATCCCTGGAGCCCATGACGACTGGATCGGACCGATAAAAGAGCAATTAAATGTTAACGTTCAAGCATTATCGTGACCTACCAGAAATAAACTCGACAGGAATGCAGAGCTGCAATACACCACGCAAATATACACCCCCCAAAAATGCATGACGATCACATACCTTCCGTCTTGCACCGTATCTAAAACATGTTTCCGGCGGGCGTCTTCTCCGAGTCGAATGAATTGAGTTCTGATGTCTGTGGAAGTCAGTTACGAGAGATATTCATCACTCACGCAAATAGTCTGAATCCACCGACACCTCTAAAACATTTAATTCGTCACCGTCTCGCACCAAGCTTTTCAATGGCCAGTCCAGGGCCTGGCACCAGATTTCGTGGTACAGGATGCACAAAGGAATACTCCCGTCGCTCCGTTTCTAGCGTCTTCATCTGATTGCACATGTAGGCAACATGTAGGGTGAGCGAGAACATGGAGGCAGCAAGGTTTTCAAAGGTGTAGAATGACACTTTGGGGGTGACAGTGGAACACCTGGGCCTGAGCGACACAAGCAGGATTTCATGCTCAAGCTTTGTTCTTATACGGTGGGCAACGACAAGGACCAGATCACGCCTGGTTTCGCTATGTCACTATAGTACATCTTAGTTGGAATTACTGAGGGGAATCAACATCATGATCGTACGAGGAGTCTCAGGATTGTCTACTTCTTATCTGTCAAGTTTTTTGCTGCAAGCTGTTGATAAACTTCGACTTTCATGTTCACAACGAAGCGAGGAACTTACACAAGCGATTTTCAAGGATGAACTCGAGAATTTTCTTTCTCAGTTCCTCTCCATGGTGGTCTTGACGGTGAAATCACATGTTGGGGAGGTGGAATGGGAGGGCGGACATCTAAAATTATATTATTCTATAGTTCACACCGGCTACAATATCGAGGACTCGTGGATTCACTGATGGTATTGGGAATGTCTCCAGAAGCCTCGTAATCTGCAAAATGGTTCTCCTGTAGGGATAAATTGAAACAATAAGTTATTGTAGTAAAAACAAGACGAACCTCTATACCAGGATTACGATCCTATTCCTCATCCTGCTGGACAGGTTGTGGGTCCCGATGCCATGCTAGCATGTATCCTTTTCTCTTTCAGAAAACATGTCCCCTTGTATCGGGATCTCTACATGCCGTCTCCACATTTCATGAAGTACTTGGTGCAGCTGGCTCCTGCACAATATCTCGCAATCGCAGTGATAAATTTTGGTGTTATTGAATCTGTAAAAGTGTGTAGTCATAGTGTGTCGACGAAGGTATGTCTTGCCGACATGAGACGCTGACAGAACGCAGGTCACAGATAACTGAGATAAGTTCTGTGCAACATATGCTCTGCCTGTGTTTCGTACGTTAGAGTAATGATCATGATGGAGACGATAAACTTGAACGAAATGCAAACATTGAGTCACATGACAGGAAGGAGGTACAGCCTGTTTCATTTGTAGTTGAGCCATCGAGGAACCTAGTTACCTGAGCTTATGTTAGCGTAGATGGCCAAATATAAAAAATTCAAAAGCCTATATTCGTTCCCTCTTCTTCATATCTGTCACTCGAGCTATCCGTACTTATCTGTATGGGATTATCCTTCGACCGCCGCAGGTGACCTTACTCTGCGTCGAATAATTATACAAACAGCGATGTCACAGTCGACCACCTCATCAGTAAAACCTCGGATTGATTTTCCTTCATTATCCCACTTTTCTTGCCTTGGCGCTGGCGCTAAGGCATAAAAATTAATACAAGGAGTGATAACTCGATCTTTCCGAAATTTCTCAAAGGCGCAAAGGAGCGGTCCATTGGTTTTGCCACACAAAGGAGAGAAAATGCATATTAAGAGAGAAAAGAGTATTATAAATTCAAATTGTGTACAAGTAGCTAGATCAAAATGCAATCTCAAAGGCGTGATGGTCAGTGTATTTATTGACATAGTAGGCGCGGAATGCATCATAGGAATGATAAAATTTGAGCTCTGGAGGCAGGAATTCCGTGCCGTACACGGGAATAAGATGGGCAGCACGATAAATGGCGTCAATATGAATGATCGCGTACTCAGCAGTATTGTTTGCACCCTCTCCTGGACGAACCATCCACATTCCCGTGTCTTCGTCTGCAGCATCGCCGATTTTGTCAAACCAGCGAACCACAATGCAGGGATACACTTCGCCCCGGTACTGGAATGAAAAAAATGCGCGAACGCGTGCAACTTTGAGACCTTGCATGCCAGGTAGACTAGAGTCTGTGTTGACAAAGACACAGTTGTTGCGTGAATGCCCACCTCGCCAGGAGGGACAAGAGCGGATGTGTTCAGTGCGCATGCCACCAATACCTAGTGCTGCCGCGGTCCGGTTCAGAACCACGGTTCGAACCGGACTTTTGGTCCGGTTCTGGACGGTTCGGTCCACGGTTCTGGTGTCAGCCGAACCAAACCGGAAATCGGTTCTCGGTTCTAGGTCCTGCCGAACCGTTCTATTTTGGTTCGGCCTTGCCGAACCGTTCTGAACCCTTCTCAACTCTGACTTCGACGCCACTTACTTCGACATCGACCGAACTTCGGGATTTGCACTCTACTCTTCTGCCTTTAGCCTTTTTGAAGGTACGTATTAACTAATCAAAATTTTGATTCTCTCACACACTGACATTTGTTCAAATATGTCACAGATATTGATCACCCACGCACTCAGATCCATCTCTCCTCGTGCACTTCCTTTCCCTTGCGCTACTTTCCCTGGATCCACGCCACGTGTTGACAACACCACCGGGGACCCTGTCGCTGTCGGCGACTATGTCCCCAACTACATTGCCAAACGGTAGCATCCTCATCCATATTTCCTTGCCTGTAACTCATTCCTTTCAACTAGCATTAATGACTTTATTCCCCCCTCCCAAGTCAATTTCATCAAGTTCAGCGCCCTCTCGCTACCTTCAGCATCCTCTCGCTACCTCTCTGACTCAGGGATTGGTGCTCAATCTCATGCTGCTGCTCACCGCCATCTCACTCTGCTGCTCGCTGCCATCTCCCGCTGCTGCTCGCTGCCATCCTCGTCAACTCTAACGGATCTCCTTGGATATCGTTGTCCATATTTTCCCTTGCATAGGCTCTTCATGAGCCTGACCTGCCCGTGACCCACATTCTGCTCACGAGTTGCTCGGAATCGCATATTTGTAAAGCCTTTCAGATCGAAGAGGCGCGCCCGGTGGTTGTGAGGCAACTCTCGTGCGCGACGGCCTTGCGTCGCGTGTGCTTTTCTGCGGCGGTAGGCCCTCGTCAGTTTGCATTGTTTGTCAGGTTGTAATCTTGCACTGACTCAGTGACTGTCACTGTGCTTGCGGACCTTCTGCTGCTGTCACAAATCTTGGCCCTGGTCTGGGCAGGGATGTGCAGACAACGCTGACACAGCTACGGTCTGTCATGGATATCCCTACAAACAGCACTCTCCCCGTGAATATCTATCTCTTGTCCATTCGCGCAACTATGCTTCTGACCTCTCAAAATGCAGCTAGCACTAACTGAATTCCTCGACAACCTCCACACCTTCCAAACTCTCCATTCGCATCCAGTGCTCTTTAGGGCTCCCATTTCTGACAGCAGCAGTAGAAGCAGAGGAGCATGCAGTGCTATGTTAGACTAGTTACTCGATGTCAGTAGATCTACAATGTCAATTTTTGTTGTGCTTGAAAAAATTTCGGTTCGGTTCGCGTTCGGACCACAAAAAAACCGAACCAGACCGTTGAGAACAGTTCTTGATGGTCCGGTTCTGGGTTCGACGATTTTGCAGAACCGGACCATGGTTCGGTTCTCGGTTCTCGTCCAGGACCCTCTGAACCGGACCGAACCGGACCACGGCAGCACTACCAATACCACTCAAATCGCTCGGCGCATAAAATCGCGATGATGCCGAGTTGAAGACCGCAATTTTGCTGAGATAGAGGGGACATTCAGCAAGAGGGATATTGGATGGATCGCGGGGATCATCAGGATGCGTCTGTTGAAATAAGAAGCGTCTGAGAAGGTCAGATAGGTGAGGAATATCAAGTTCATCAGCGAGTTCAGGAATGGTTTGAGCGCGATTTTTGCCCTCTGTACAGTATGTTCAGTATCACGTTGAAAATCAGGAAAAAAGGACACTTACGGCGGGTTTTTGCCAGCGTTATGAACACTTGTAGAACTGTGGGCCCGTCATCTATGTCGAGGTCCACGTCAATGTTGATCAAGGGAGGTGGAGGTGGAGGTGGAGGTGGGGCGGGTATGGGTGGGGCAGGCGCAGGCGCATCCATATCTGCTGCTGCTGCTGCTTGAGCAGGTGCGAGTGCTGCTGCCCCCCTGTCTTCATCAACTTGGTTGATCTGCGCAGGAACTGTTATGCAAATTAGTTGAAATATATCTCGTAAGGAATGCACGACTTACCTAAGGCATTGACTGCTGAGAGACAAGTGCCAGTGAGCATCCCCCGACGCATGAAGTCGACTCGCAGTGCTGAAAGTTTGTCGAGCCGTTGATTGGTCAGTAATATCTGACCAAGCGCATTGTAACGGCTCAATCGTCGCCAGGGCTCCTTGACCGCTTTGATGTGCTTGTTCTCGGTGATTGACAAGCAGAGACCGTTGGGTGCAGCAAAGAGTCGAATGTTTCGAACATAGTGCATGAGCGAGTGTTGACGAGGTAAGGAGAAGTGAAGGACGACACTCATTGTCCTGAAGATTTCATGGTAATGGTGAAAACGAGAGAGTGCGTCTTCGATTTGAAGTAGAGAGTCTTCGGTGATGATATTGCGACGGACTAGATAACAAAAATCTAGAAGCGCACGAAAGGCGCGAACGACATCTTGAGGTACATGGCCCTCGATAGCAGGTAAATAGACCTAAAGGATTCAATATTAGGTAGTAACAATACAAAAAAATGACAACTCACTTTCATCAAGGCCTTGGAGTCATCTCCTGTCCACTGTTTGAATCCGCGCCCTTGAGGAAATCGTCGCAAGCCTGAAAACGAGGCGACAGCAGTGATTCTATGGCAATGAGAAAAAGTAAGCAATCCAAATACAAACTGAGCTCACCTGCGGTCAATATCATCCATAATTTTCTGTGCCTTCCGTTTGTTGTGTGTCTGACGGAGGTACTTCTTGACCCATGTTACGAGGTGATCCTTGAAGGCGCCTTTTATAAGTTGATGGAGGATATCTGGTGATATCATTTGATGGATATCGGCTCGGGGAAAGTCGTTTGTGAATGGCTGTCGAAATAGTATTAGTTTTGTAAATGAAAACGAGAGAAAAACGCTGAATGACTTACCACAAGTTGCGCAACTATTCCGAAGTCTTCCCAAAGATCTCCTGAGGGAGCTTCTTCAACGAGTGCCTCTGTATATTCGCGGCTACGGGGCAGCACATCTTCGTCGAGATCTTCGTGATTTGCAACACACCTTTAGAATAATGTGAGCGACCATGTAAATACATATTAAATGAAAGACGTACTTTGGACACCAATTACGGACAATGCACGCTAATAAAACTTGCTCTTCGTAATCCGCTATGTAAGGCCCTAGTCCATATATGACACACTGGTAGTGGCCATCTCCGAAACATGTTACTTCGGGAGTCGTCATGCCCAGCTTGAGCGGATCGAGAATTTTGGAAAGGGATGAATGGAATAACTGTCGACGAAATCTTCGGAACGAAGGTTCTTCAGCATGTTCCTGCGTAGCTGTATCATAGTTAGTCAGTTATAGAAATAGATTGCAGGGTTGAAACATACTTTTCGGCATTGCCAGGAACCCAATGACGGCCACACCATCGCGATGCGCTCTTCGAACGTTATTGTGGATGTTCCCAATGGAAGCATAGAGCGGGTAGTACTCGTTGTTACCCGTTCCGACTGAAACTGTCGTTTTGTCGCTGCCAAGGATGACAGGGACAAATGTCGACCCGAGAGTGCTCGGGTCTTTCGCGATTTCGTCCTAGATACATAGAGCCGTTAATATCAGACATTACGAAACAAAAAATGCATTACTTACTGCTTGATTCCACACCCAGTCGCCAGACATGAAATCCTTCCATTGGCGCTTGTTGCCCTCAGTTGAATACTCCCTATACGGGCAGTAATCTATCTCGTTAGCGTAAGTCGAATTTGCGAGCATATTACACGCAACTTCACGTGGGTCGCGGAACCAGACTTCGTATTCGCTGTCCATCCAGGGCTTGTCCTCGTCTGCAAGTCTCTCGCCATCATAGGCGACCGTAAAACGTTGCCATGGTACATCCCCAAAGGGCGAACTGTCGATGACGTGGTACAGATCACGGTGATCTGCAAACGGCGGGTTGTCGTTGTGCTTCGCAAGGGTAGATGCCCATAGATCCAGTAGCCGGTCAATTTGACCAGCTGGCATTTGATTGTGCTTGTAAAGGAACTCGGCCGTTTCAAATTCTGTGCGGTTTCGAAAAGGCGTCCAGTCATCAGGTGCGAGATTCTCAGGAGGTGGAGGTGGAGCGCCAGGGGGGAGGAATACACCATTAACATCACATGGTCTACCTGTAATAGCGCTCATTAAAGATAGAGTATCAGGCAGTAAATTGACGTACCATTAAGACCTGTGTGATAATTGCGATAAAGATGATCGCCACGCCCAAAAAATTCTGTGTCGATGTCTGCATGGGGGGATTGTTGGCGCAGATGTTTGTCCATGTCGCCCTGGTAACCATCCGCATCAACATCGCGCTCATTGTCTTCATTGCGAGATGGGTGTGGGCTTGGTGTTCGGGGAACAGGTTCCAGAGATTCTCGATGGTTGTCTTGAGGCGGTACTGGCATCACAGGATGTGCCGAAATTCGGTGTTTCGTTCGCCCAGCAGAGCTTTTGAACCATCTTGAACATGTTCCACATGGGAGTTGGAGTGCGCTATGGTCCCGTCGGCGTGGTTGGATGCATGGAATATCAGCAGGCATCACGGAAAGTGAAGACACTTGAGATTGCGTCAATAAGAGTGCGCGGCTGAAATAAATCGATACCTGCATTTTCGTTGAGTGGATTTCCAAGTGACTGAGCTCAGGCCAGCCGAAGAATGCGTCTAGTTGATGTGACCAGCTGGAAGTGTAGACATTTGAAGTAAGTATGGCGCGAAAAGACAGAATAATGCAGGACTTACTTGATGGTTTGGACAACTTTACAGGTGCGCAGACCAGAGAGTCCTGCTAGTAGTGAATTGAATTAGTGATCGAACTTTGTTTGGTTAGCTCTTAAGTACGGAACTTACAAATTGGTTGTCAATTTTCAACTTCAACCATTCTACCGACCACTCATTACATTTCCCTGGCCGTCCCAAGCTTGCCATAGAGCCTGTCAAATCTGCTCCTCGTCAGCAATGTCTGACACCGCTCAGAAGTCACGCACTTGCCCACAGAACGCAAACAAGCATCCAGGCTTGCCTGACCTGCCAGCAAAAGGACGTCAGCGACGGACTGAGGCCCAGATAGCAGAGGACAACCAGATTCTCAAGGAATCACGCGAAGTTCAAGAGCAGGCCGCGCTTGAGGGGCTGCAATGGCTTGCAGCCATGCAGAAAGAAATGGAAAAGGCGGAGGAACTCACCATCGTGAACAAGCCGAAGCCAGTGAAACCTCGCGCCCGCCCTGTCGTGAAGCGAACGGCGCCTGATAAGAAGCTCCTGACAACAGGAAACGCTGACCTGCACCAAACCGGTTCGGTGCATGGATGACTAATGGTCTCTCATGAGCCCGATACCCTAGAAATCATTATGAACAATCTTCCTTTACTTTATGGTTCAGACTGCAGTTCAGATAGTATTTTCATTTCTCAGACAGACCCAGATAGGCTGAATATTCTTGTATATTTAATTTTGCGGTAAAATTCTGCTTAGTCAGCAATAACAATGACTCAGACTGAATCCCACACATGTCAAGTAACAGTGTAAAATAGTTCTTGCATAAGTTGCCTTGTGGGAACTTTCTTAACACTCTAAATACACGGCTCGCATCATTTCTACGGTCAATAAAGCAACATCATAACAAGACACCAACAAATAACATAATCAGTCTGTTACTTAATATTTGTCACATGATACTAAGTTATATTACTCTAACAGTCAGGTGACCTATGACCTTAAACCAAATCATGACAAAGCAACCTTTTGAGATGACTAAAGCTTGATGACACAAATTATAAAGCACATGACTACAGTAAATAGTATTGGTACAATCTGACTAAGCCTATTCCCCTTAGAACGTGGGAAATAGTAACACAGCCACCATAATTTATCTATATAAGACCCCACTTTTTGCCAATAAAAGGATGCATATAGGGAACTTTTAAGCCCCACAAAATAAATTTGAGTGTGAAGTGTGATCAGTATCAACAACAGTGACAAGAGCTGTTAAGCAACTAACTGAGAGGTCATTGTAAGCAACATCCAGCAATACCTTTAGCTCATCGTCAACAACTGTGAAATATCTTGAGCTCACTGTGCTCAACAGTGAGCAAACTTTTTCTTTGATTTTCTACTGGTGAACCTCTAGTCTCTTTCTTTTCTTTTCTTTTCTTTTCTTTTCTTTTCTTTTCTTTTCTTTTCTTTTCTTTTCTTTTCTTTTCTTTCTTCTTTCTCTCTTTCTTTTTCTGTTTCTTTGTTTGTTTGTTTCTTTTCATTTGTCTCTTTTTCTGTTCAGTTCGTTCACGTCTCAGTGTTATTGTCTGAATTTGTTTCAAGATCTTTGTGTTGTCTTTACGTCCATCTAAGCACCGGCTTAGTGGGAAGACTTCAGAAGTTGATAGTGACGCTTGACCTCACTCATCTGAGTAGTGATACTGAGCCAGGGTTTTCTTTGTCTGCTAGACTTTAGTTGTTGAATAGGGGACTTGGTACTGAAATCCAAGGACGTCCGTTCCTGATTCTGTTTAATACTCATCGTGAGTTCCTTGGCAGCAGGTTCAATAGTGAACTAAGAGTTCTACTGATCACTGATTAGTCCTGACCTTTGATTCTACCTGTTTGTGCTGAGGGGGTGATTGCTATAATTTCGCACGACTTTCTGTAGTAAATTTATTACAAGAAGCATTGTTACTGAAGGAAGGGTTTCCCTTATCAATCTATTTCTTTTTTTTATCAGTACCATACTGTTGGGCTGACTTTTCTCTGTTCTCTAAACACTGCCATACCGTTGGAGTGAATCAATTTCTTTTTGTCATCACCATACCGTTGGGCTGACTACATTCTGTTTATTTTATTTTCTATTGCGTCCATACTGTTGGATTGACTGGTATTGCTACTGACCTCACAGGAAGTACTTTTGTCTGAACATAGCTTGGGGAAGTGTAAACAGCCACCCACGAACAACCACGTTATCAGTCATTGGTATTTGTCTGAATCACTGACCGTGGAGATTTTTGATTTTATAGGTGTTTATCTATAGATCATCTATCTAAGAAGACAATGCTGGTGAGTGCACAAGCATCAAATGAGGCTCACTTACATGGGGCTAACATTGTTGAGGACCTAGATGAAAGTGGTCGAGACGACAGCAGTTATGTTCAAGACGACAGCAGTCATGTTCAAGAGGAAATCAGTGAGAAGTCGAAGACTCAAAAGCGTGGCAAGATCTCACTAAAAGATGCCATCAACAATGCCCGAGATTTGATCGCAATGCCAGGAATTAGAAGCCAGGAACCACGTGTCGAAGACAAGAAAGAAAAGTTATCTGCCGCGGCGAAGTATGTCTTTTCGACTTGATCAAAACCATGTTGATGCTTACTGAATCAACACTATTCTTTGTTAACTTAACCTCAAAATTCAGGTCGACCAACTTAAAGTTTTCATTGGTAGGACGTGTCAATGGCTGGGTATCTGACGTTACACCAGATGAGAGGTCCAAAGCTTCAAGTGCTTCCAAGTCTCGCACCGCTGCCTCCCCTTTCTCATTGGCACATGGGCCACCCAGCACCCAGGTTACATCTGTATCAGGTGTAAATACCAAGTCCAGTCGCCAACCTAAAGTCTCTTCCAATCTTGCTACTGAGGTTCTTGTTGGCGGCTTTGCCGATGACACTTTGGATGATTCCCAGGAACGCCTTGAAACAATCGCCTCGAAAACAAAGGAGAAGAAGTCTTTCATTAAGGTGCGTAGAGCATATGTAGTCTTACTGGTTCTAATACAAAGTGAACTATATAGATCATTACCAACACGAGGGCCGATGATGCGACAATGGGCTCGAAGGGACAGTCTGATCTCAATGTGCCAATGGACGTGGAGGCCTCCACGCCATCAGACATAGAGGCAGACTTTGAGGATGACGGCCCAACAGACTTCGAGGACAATGATCCGATGGACGCAGAGGATGACGTGGAGAATGACGTGGAGGTTCTGGAGGACGACTTCAACCCGAACGAAGACGCGAAGATGTCTGAGGACAGTGACAGTGGCAGTGATTTATCATCCCACCGTCCGAATAACAAGAAGCGCAAGGTCTTGTTTCACTTATTGTCCTCAGATGAGGAACTTGAGGCTCCGCTTACAGCTGCTGTTGGAGCGGTCGCGAAGAAGGCCATGCGGGTAACATCTTCAGTAAGTCTATTTCATTAACGGTTATTGCTACTCATATTTGTTTGAACAGACTTCAGTTGCTGTCTCTGAGGCAGCTGCTACAGCAAAGCCACCTGCGAAGAAGGTGAAGATTGAAGAAGGTGCTGATGACGATACGAAACCCGTGCTTGTTCCATTGCCCGGTCACTGGATCGAGAAGCGATATAAGTCACGCTCAACCTACCGGAACAGTGATCTCCCTCCGCAATGTCAGGATCAACGGTGGCCCAAACATTTTCTCTCGACCCTTTACCTGTGGGCCGGCAGCCAAAATAATCTCTGGCAGTTTGCAGATACCTCTCTTGTTGAAGCGCTTCAATGCATTTTTGATGTCGTGTATCCAGATCTCCAGTACAAGGTGACTGCTCAGAGATCTGTCTTTGGTGTTGTGCGTCTAGCAATTTTTTTTGTAGCACTATTGCTAACTCATTGTGATCTCAATAAGGCTACTCAGCATCTGGCAGAGTGGCGCAGCAACTTCAGTTCAACAGGACTTGCAATTATGATCGACTTCTTCACTCGGAACGAAGACACTAATCCAAAAGACCTTAGTGAAGCGCTTATGGAGGAGTTCGTGTTCCTCTTCGAGGACTTGGACTACTCAGACAAGATGAAAGCATTCCGGTCTCCTTTCATGATACAGTTATTTGCAACCGCTCATCTTCACAGTATTGTTGGACATGCTCATGTCACCGCCATCAAAACAGATGTATTGGCTGCCAGTGGCATGGCTGGTGTTCTTGCTCTCTGTGCAACTTCAGTAAGTATTCTGACCATACAAGAATCATGACTTATCACATTTGACAGCTCGAACGTGCTGTCAAATGCCTCGGCGCTGGTGCCATTGATATTGATGTGGACATCCTCGATATGCGTCCTGCACAACTGAAGCGCAAGCTGCGCACACCGAAGACCCTCAACAAGTGGACCGGCAACTACAGCACCACCGAGCACGCATTTTCCATCAACAACTGGGGGTCAGTAACCGAAGCTTACTTGTCTAGCGTAAAGAAAAAGGGGGACATTTTTTTGAGGGACATGGTTTCAACAGCGTGGAAGTTACTCAAGAAATCGGGCAGTGCTGGCCTTGAGAAGTACCTTTGCCTCAACGATGACGACGAATCAGAGGACATCGACAGGCGTGCCATGCTTTGGTAACTAGTAATATCAGTTTTTTTTGCGTTATTCATGAGCTAACATCATTTGATAGATCTCGTTCCCGCCATGCTTGCTGTCCGCTTCCATCATCGCCATTGATTCAAGTTCATAGTACTATCGTGTTTTGCTTATCCCACCACCACTCGTAATGCCTTTCGTCGTCTTTAGTCTCGTTTCATGCTCTTTGCACCGTTACCCTTCTTTTCGCTAGCATTTCGTACTCTTCTTTTCGCTAATGTTTCGTACTTTACTTTGTGTTCCCATTTTCATCACTTTTTTGCACTTTCCACCAGATGATGTGATACCGTTTGCTCTCTATTATTACCACTTTGTTTTGTCGGTTAATGCCTCATAAGTGACTTTCATGAGCTGCAAAGTAGAATTCAGAGGACGAGTGGCATTTTTCTCAATTTTCTCATCGTGTCTTGCGTGTCACCTTAATGGTTCCTCAAACCTGGTAAAACTCGGAAAAATAGAAATAAATTCAAAATCTTTGGCGAAAATAGACCCGAGGTTTTACTGATGCTAGACCTGAGCAATAACTGGCACTCACGCTCAAGCTTTGTTCTTAGTATGCGGCAGGCAACGATAAGCATGTCAATGCAAGGTACTAGTAGGTCCTAACACGATTCACCGGACAAAATTGAAGCTGAAATTAATTGCAAATACAACAGCGTACACTTCGACCGATCAGGGGCCTACGTAGGATCTAATGGTGTCATGAAATTATGAATGCTAGCCAGACTTATTAGGTTTATCTTCATGCCATGCACCGTACGACCGAACCTTTTAAAACCTTTCAATTCGCTTTCAGTATCTTCTCCTTATTAACATCTTGCGCGCTTCCGTGATGTGTAACTACTTTGACGCCAGCACAGCACTTCGAGCCTCATTTCTACCAACCAACCACCTCTCCGAGTCCCATTCAATGCCCCCAACATTTTGATGATCACCACACACGAAAACATGCAAGCCACGTCATCACAACGCCGTCCTGTCGACACTGACCCTCTAAGCCTCAGAAGCGAGTAAGTGACAAGTTAGACTAGTAGGCTGAGCGTAACACTTATGGATTTGCAGTAATGGGAGCACTAGCAAGCTGCATCCAACGAACAAGAGGCTTTCCAAGGCCGTTGTAGGAGGCTCTATTAAGAATGTGTGAGTTTCATGGAGCAACCAATCACTGCGAGACATTCGAGGTTTGATCATGCTGGGTAGTAGGTCAAACACCGATGAACAGATCCTCAACGATCGACAAGGGCTTCCTATAGCTGAAGAACGTGACGAAGACGTTGATTCGAAGTTTTGGGCGACGTATGACAAGTTTTCGACGGAGTATGATAGTGACTTTTTAGAGCGGGCGAATGGCGATATGGGCATCATCTTAACTTTTGTGCGTTTGTTTATGTCTATCAATGCAAATCTAACAGGCGAACCAGGCTGGTTTATTCTCAGCTGTCAACTCCACTTTTATCATCGGAATGCAGCCTAACCCGGCAGAAACTACCAACGTCCTCTTGTTTCACCTTATCCAAATGACAGCTAACGGCACAAACACTGCAAGTGACATCAGCGGTCTTTCCTCTTCCATGCCATATCCTTCTTCGACTATCTGGATGCAAACGCTTGCGTACGCTAGCCTCTCGTTCAGCGTCTTGGCCGCGTTTGGGGCTGTGTTGGGAAAGCAATGGCTCAACGCTTACAAGGCAGCTCGTGGACGAGGGTCTCTTGAGGAACGCTGCATACAGAGGCAGAGGAAAATGGATGGAATGGAGTATTTTCAGCTCCAGACCATCTTGCAGGGGTTCCTCGTGCTCCTCCAAATCTCGCTACTCCTATTCGGTTTATCACTAAGCGCCAACATGTGGATCCAGCAAACAACGATTTCCAGTATCGTTATCTGCACCACCGCATTCGGCATCCTGTTTTACGCAAGCACTATTCTCGTGACAATTTTGCGTCCAGACAGTCCTTTTCAGACACCAGGAGCTGAACTAATGGGAGCCATCTGCAGAAAATTTCTCCCGGGCAGATTGACTTTCACTCCTGGTTCTGCATCCATTAAATTGTCCGCCATCCGCTGGATACTTGAGACATACACTCATCCAGAAGTTGTCGAGGCCGCGGCTGCAATGGTACCTCTCGTGCAATGGCCACAGAACATTGATGCTTCCACAATCTATGCACGCTTGAAGGATAATTTTGAGGCGTGTCGTGAAATGGAAGAGGTGTTTCTGAAGTGTGGCAAGGCCATGACCCATCTTTGCAGCCAGTCACTTGAAATACGTCAGGAACTTCGTTGGAAATCCATCCGTATCTGGGAATGTTGGGGAGGCAAGAGCCGTTTCATTCGTGATGCATTCATGGACAGCCGTAACGCCTACAATCACCTCAAGAACACGCAGCAAGAGGACGTTCGACAGAAGCATAGGGCTGATGCACGCACGGCTCTGAGAACAATGGTTGTCCATGGAGATCCCATTCGGTTTTTATTTCCGGACGACGAACGCTTAATTTGGGATAGTGATTTGCGATGGTGTCACGATAATGGACTCATGCCCAGCTGTGATGAATTTGACTGGCTCATCGACTACTTGGCGAAAGAAGCTGACACTAGAGCGGATGATGAGACTGTAGGTGATGCTCTGCTTACGCTGAGCGCCATGCATAGCCTAGGAAGCTCTACCAAGCGTCGTTCTTACATCACGGCGCTTATACATTGCATGGACCCCACCAGACCTCCCCGTGTTCGACATGCTGCACTACGAGCTGTTACTGATGCTCGAGAAGAATTGGCATCTATGACAAACGAATCAATACCACAGGGTGTGGATGCAACACTCCTGGACAACCTTTCTTGTGCTATTTTGACTGCTGTACATCCAAATCACTCGCAGGACCGGACAGTCCAATACGGCGGACCCGACATTTCTTTTCACGAAAACCGAGATACTTGCTACTCTCGTCTCATCCTTGCCCTTGCACAGAATGACAAGTGGCATGAACGTCTGGCCCACGATGGTCATTTCGAGCGTTGCATTTCTCTAGCCGAGGACGCCTTTGAACGTTCAACTTGGGTCCCCGGATGCTACCTTGCTGGGATCTTCACACATATCAAGCCCTTACATCATGCTCTTCCTTTCAGCCCTACCCAGGAAAGATGGCAGGCATTCATCAGAGGACAATGGAAGTCCGCACACCGTTATATGTGGCATGACATCAGCGCACTACCAGCCCTCGTGGTGGCAACGAGGCAGTATTCAATAAGCTGGAATTCTAGCGCTGACGAGGATTTAGCAGAACTCACTAAAGACGTGCATGGAGCTTTGGAATCATTTTTTTCTGTGATTGTTTATGGTCTAGATCAGGCTCTATTTGATGCTGCCCTGTTATCTGTACAGGGCTTGTATGACGATTTGCACCGTATGATCGAGAACTCAAACACTTTGCATACAGACAATGGGTCTTTGGAGTCTTGAAGACAAACCGTTATGCAGCAGTATCATATATCCTATGGGGTTAGTATATTTATGCCTTAACTTGCTAGCACTGCATGCAGCTACTATTCAATTCCGTACGATAACTATTTTCCCTTTGTGACTCGCCTCCCTACCTTACATGCATATATAAGGCTAGCAGAACGTATCGAATAACTCTAGTTTTTCAATCATATCATCTAAGACTATGATAGTTCTGCAAGTTTCAAATTAGCGCAACGACTCAAGGGTATCATACGCACATCAACTTTGTCCGTGCACGCGGCTACTAGCCGCATATCGGAAATTGCAGCGATTGAAACTCCCTCCGTGATACTCTCAACTGCTGATCTGTATGGGTCACCCGCAGGATCTAGTTAATTTCTATTCCATGCAGTTTGTGCATCCAGATGACTGCGAATCGCGATGAAAGAAGGGAGAGTCATCGATTCAAGGTAAATTATGCGGTCAAAGGACTTTGCAGAATCTGACATCACGTCATTCATCACGAGGATGGTGGGCACGACTCGGAGTGAATTCAACAGACGATACTTCGACGCGCTGTTTGCATCAGGCGCTCCAAAGCTGCACCTCAGGCCTCAGGCCTGTATCATTCTGCACTGATTCCTGGAGCCCATGACGGCTGAATCGGACCGATAACAGGACAATTAAATGTTCAAGTATTACGGTGACCTACCATAAATAAATTCGACAAGAATGCAGAGCTGCAATACACCACAGGAATATACGCCCCCCAAAATGCATATACCTTCCGCCCTGCGCTGTATCTTCTCCGGTGGGCGTTTTCTCCGAATCGAATGAATCCACCATCATTATGTTCTGATGTCTGTGGAGGTCAATTAAGAGAGATACTATTCATTACTCACGCAAATAGTCTGAATCCACCAATACCTCTACAACGGCATTTAATTCGTCACTGTCTCGCACCAAGCTTTTCAATGACTAGTTCAGGGCCTTGCACCAGCTTTCGTACAGGATGCACAAAGGAATACTCTCCTCGCTCCGTTTCCAGCATCTTCATCTGATTGCACATGCAGGGTGAGCGAGAACATGGAAGCAGGGTGTAAAATGATAATTTGGGGATGTAGCTGTGCCCATCTGATTAAACTAAACTCTGCTATGCACTGATGGGAAAGCGAGAGTGATCTCGAAGGAGATGAGAGAGGCAGCAGTCGCGATATAGAGGAAGGAGGAGATAATGCTAGAGACGAAATGAATGGTCACGTGATTCAATGCGAGGTGCTGTTTGGCATTTATCAATTGTCCCTACTAATTTGCGTGCTCCCAGTACCTTGCAAAGTTGTGTCCTTAACGTGTCGTCCCTACCCCTACAGATCATACTTGCAAATACTCATGCCAGGTTCACAATTAGCTCTGCTGCGAGTTCAAACGTTCAAGGTTGAAGGCTGCAAGATTCCTCGCAGGTTCTGAGTCGGAAGAATTTTGTTGACATCCAGTCTCGTCCATTTTTTTTCTCGCTCCAGCATGATATCCCAAGCACACGGTGGCTAGATTTAGACCGCTGAATTGGACCAACTGCCAACTGGCGAGGGCCTAGCTTGGGTCATTCTGGGAGCGCCACTATGGTTGACACGTTTGTAAATTGTATGGCGACTGATCCGGGGCCTCGTACAGTAGAGGCGAGGTTGCTCGCTCGCCTTGAACAGCCTTTTGGGGGTGCTCTTTTGCTAGTGCAGCACCGGCGTAGCGCGGAGTACAAGAGGATCACACTGATATTGCATAAATTGGGGACATGAACTGCATTCATGGCACGATGGATGATAGGACGTCATATTGTAATCGCATGCATTTCGGAGAACGGAGATATCGAATCTAACATGTTTTCATTCATACCTTGACAGAACCTGCATGGAATTACATCCCTAGGAATTTATACCATATTGTGTGCTGACTTACAACAGGAAGGCAAACCATTACGATTGTATCATCGAATCGTTGCTGAGAGCATCGCCAAGAAGACGTTGTCTATCCCCACTGCTCCGGTCACTTTTCAAGTCATGGTGCGTCCATGTCGATTGTCAGTGCGTTTACCCACAACTGCTCATCCCTACAGGAAGGTCATGCTCGTTTACCTTTAGAAATGGCTATGCAGCAAGTGTGTGCACCGATGGCGTTTACTTGGCTTCCACCCACAACAGCCCATTCCTACAGGAAGCTCATACTCGTTCACCTTTAGAAATAGCTCTGCAGCAAGTTTATGCGCCGATGGCTGCAAGATCTCTCGCACCTCCTGACGTCAGGCTGCCGACAATAGCGTTTATGCCTTGGTATCTGAGACCGAACAACCCCATTGAGTATTTTTACTCGTCAGTGCTCAGTATCTGACATCCTATTGAGTCAGTCACGGATACTCAAGATGTGCCTGAGGACCAGGAAGGGTGCAACTCATCGATTGCAAGTTCTCGAGTTAGCCGGAATTGAACGTATCGGGTCAGCGCTACTCCGGTTGAAATTATCTGCAAAACGTCAGGATTCTAAAATGAGGCGAGGTCACAACCAGCAGGACTATGGATTTCGGGAACCGCTGTTATCGTTCTTCGCCTCGGGTAATTCAGTAGACCCATGAACACTTGCCGCTGCTTCGGAGGCGATACCAATGCCTGCTCCCGAATTTGAAAGCCAGGTCAATGGTAAAGAAGGGCGAGCAACTCGAATCTCAACAGAGCGCCATTCGCCAACAGATAACACCGGAAATCGGGGAACTATGCAAACACATAAGTTCGGCTCCGTTATGCGGACAGTAAGTTCATTTCCGTCACCTCGAATTAAAGTTTGCGGCCCAACAAATCATAGATATCATTGATCGGTCAGAACAACCCGCCAACCACACTGTACATTGTTGGACTAGGCTGGTCGTCAGTTGTTACACAATCTTTGCAAAAATAGACAACTTCCCTGAGACTCATCAAATGTATCCTTGTTAGCAAAAGCCGTCCAACTTCGAGCCGAAATAGAGTTCACCGCCAGAAAACGAAGCACAATGCTTACCCCTGGTCATTGTCGCTGCGAGACTGTTGGGCATGCTGAAAGGCTTTTCGGATATCTCCTTTGCGAAACTTGTGTGGCGGTCCGGTGAGTGGCCCGTTCCGTCAGTGGTTCCTTCCACGGGTTCAGACGGTACTTGCATGGAACGACAAGGAGTGCACCAAACGATGGGATACCGGATTAATAAGTCAGAGAAAGGGCTTGTCGGGCCACGTCATGCGCGTGTCAATGATGACGTTGGGACGATGTACCTGACTCTAGCTACGTCTGTACCACAGCCGTGGAACAAGATGTCCCACTTATCGCGTTTCTGGACGTATTGGGGTTGGGAGATTAATTAATAGAAACGGCAGCAGCCGCGCAGGTCCTTCATGATGTGTTTCTTTTTCTAACTTCTTGCAAAATTTGGCTACCCGTGGGTAGGAAACTTCAATCTATGGCAGCGCGACGTTGACCATCATTCGTCATTAAACGCATGCAAGGGACGGAAAACCTCAATCAGTGCACCGACAAATGTGTTCAGCGGCGTGGTGTTTCGACTCAAGGTCCGAATGCGAAGGGTGCCCAGCAAACTCTTAGCGGCTCAGTGTCAAAGTATACTACACCTGAGGCCCATCGTGCTCTCATTGCGATGCGCTGCGCTGTTAACAAGGCTTTTTCAGGTGGCTGTCTTCAGGTTGACCACCTCCATCACGGTGTTAGTTCACAAACTTTCAAAGCTCAGATGGCTGTCAAAGGGCAAAGACAGCGCCTCAGGAGTCAGGGAAGGGAAGGGAAAAGATTGTTATTGACTCAGACTAAGCTTCGTGCATAGTAAGTACATACCAGTTTCGAAAAATATGTCTACTCACCTCCGTACCACCTGCGGGTTGGACCACGGTTTGATCCATTGTAGTAGGAGCACAGCACAAGAGTCATGCATTCACTAGTCATGCGGCGTCAGGATGGAGCAGGCTAGGACGAGTTAGGCGTAGAGAAGGCAGAGGCCATGCACGTGACAGGAGTCAGGGGTCGTAGAGGTTCGGGGTCCAAGGAGGACGATACGGAGATAGCACGTCATCCTCCTCGCTAGACAGCAAGGCTAGCGGGGACATTGTGACCGTACCCGCGATTCTCTGACCCGGGTGGGTACGGTTGGGTGCGGTGACCTGGGTCGACCTATCATGATGTCGAACGTTTCTCGAATAGGGAAACTTCGAACGAAACTAAAAGAATCCTCGATCAAAACGGAGCTACCTGTGTGCGAAAAAAATCATTAAAGGGAGGTAGGCACTAGGGACATTCCAGCAACCGTACAAGGTAAGCGGTAACGTCGTATACCTCAGAATGATTCTACTATATCTAATTCAAAGATACCCCGATCAGCTACAGCCTACCACAGCATCATGATAGCGGCATTTGCAGAGTTGCTCTTTACATCACTGGTACACGTACAAGATTCATATCTCAATCAACCTGAGCAGATTATCTTACTCACAAGTGACTAACGTGGCTCCACTAGGGACAGTGAGCGCGATTAATTTCTATTTATTCTACCATGAATGCTCTCTTGAGGATTGTGGACTTGCGCCCCCTGTTTCATCACACACTCCTCTACATTTCTACCATTGCTAAGTTACCGTTATTTCGCAATGCCTGTGCCGCTCGTATGCCACTCTGAAGTCGACGTTCTCATTATTGGTGCTGGCCCTGCTGGTCTCATGTGCGCGAATGCCCTCGCAAATGCGAGAGTGAATGTCCGCATCGTAGACCAAAGGTCAGTGCATCGACCCTTTCATTCCTCCTTCTAACTCAACTTTCCATTAGGGCCTTCAAAATAACTGCTGGCCATGATGATGGAATTGCACCTCGCACTATTGAAGTTTTGCAGGTAAAAATGCTTCCTCGCTAATTGATTAAAACTCGGTATCAACAAGCTGGACATAGAGTTATGGACTTGCAGAGCGCCTTCTAAGAGAGTCTTGCCAACTTCATCTAGCAGTACGCCTTTCAAGATGAGCTTACAGGATATGTGCCTCATTGTATCTTAGGCTTTCTATGACCCTTCTTCGACCGGCGGTATCGAGGTCCGTAAATTCCCGCATCAACGAAGGATGCTCACCGAATTTCCGCCATTAGCTTACTAACAGGATATCAAACATAACAGCTCCGTCTGCAAGATACCCATTCGAAGTGTGTTAATAAATAAATTGGACACAAATCATATCAGCTAAATGAGATCAAGGCTGCGCTCCATCAAGGAGCCATTCAAGATATTTTCATAGATTCCATGACACCACTCGGCGTTGAGGTTGAACGATCGACGAGGCCAACTTCGATAGAGCTCTCCAAGGATGAAAGCGAGCTGACGGATCCTACATCACATCCAGTTTGTGTTACGCTCCAAAAACTAGGCAAATCTGAAGATGAATCACGAGAAGAGATTATCCACGCTAAATTTGTTGTCGGTGGTGATGGTGCGTTTCGAAGATGTCAATATAACCAATATAACCATTTTCCTTGATAGGCGCTCGCTCATGGACCCGCAAACAACTCGATATTACGATGGATGGAGAACAATCTAGTGAGAATGGTGATCACTTAGAATTATCAGCAAGCTCAGTCTCGATCGTTAGATTCCACCTGGGGCGTCGTGGACCTTACTGCTGACACTGATTTCCCGGATGTCAGGAATAAGACCTTTATACATTCTAACCATGGCTCAGTCATTTTCGTTCCTCGAGAAAAGGATCGCATTCGCATATATGTACAACTGGAGGCTAATGATGTCATCGATCCAGTGTCAGGCAGAGTAGACAAGGAGAAAATAGGTCCAGAGCAAATTCTTAAAGTAAGCGGTATCCACTATATGGTCAGCAGTCATCGATATTCCCCTTAGACTGCCCAGAAGGCGCTTGAACCTTACAAGGTTATCCGGAAGAGTGAATTTTTGTGGTGGACGATATATAGCGGTATGCATCTTACTACTTGCTACGAATTCGTGTTCGTTTGACATTTTTACTCAAGTTGGACAACGAGTGGCCTCACAGTTTTCCATCAAAAATAGAGTATTTATCGCTGGCGATGCTTGCCACACGCACTCTCCAAAAGCAGGTAAGCATCCCAATTCTGGCCTCTTTTTCTGGTCTGGTTATAATGGAGCTTCCAGGACAAGGGATGAACGCAAGTATCAACGACAGTCGTAATCTAGGTATGTCTTCTGCTCCTGTTGTCATGATCGAGCTACTATATCGCTTTGTCAGCTTGGAAAATTTCCCTAGTTGTTCGTGGGTGGGCAGACATGTCCCTTTTGTCAACGGCAAGCTCTTGTGCAGCTCTTTGACTCCTTGCTTACGCCCGGCCGATAGTATGAATCAGAGCGCCGTAAATTCGCATTAGACCTGATCGCGTTTGATAAAATGTGGGCCGCCCTTGTCTGTGGCAAGCCCTTGACTGTGCCGAGCAGCAATGGGGTGTCGCCCGATCATTTCTTGAAGTAAGATTATGCTATCAACAGTCTCTTCCTGTTACTAATCCCATGAGGTTGTAGGACTTTCCAAACAGACTTCACCACTGGCGTTGAGATACATTATCAGCCTTCAGTTGCAGTAAATGATAGGAATCAGGAGTTGGCCGTTGGCCTCGTCCTCGGAAAACGTGTACCTCCGCACAAACTCATGCGGGCAGCAGACGCATGTCCATTCGAGCTCCAGGATCTTCTTCCTTCGGACTGCCTCTTCAAGTTACTTGTTTTTACCGGCGATTTCAGCGATCCGCTTCAGCAAGCGAGGGTCGAGTCGATGGTCACGGACATGCAGAAACCTGAGAGTTTCCTGAATCGTTACGCGACACTTGAGAATCCACGATTCGATGTCATCACGATCAGCAAAGGCCAGAAGTATGAATTCAGTTTCCTGCGGCTCCCTACGCTTCTTCGCTCTCATTGGTCAAAGTGAGTGCCTTCTCATCCGTATTAAGTGCGATAATGTTGATTGAGGTGCTCTTAGGGTGTTTATCGATGACACCGATGCCACTGGTAGTTTTGGGGGAGGAGGTTACTCGTATTATGGAGTGGGATCTGAGGGGGTGCTGGTTGCTGTTCGTCTTGATGGCTATGTTGGAGCCATCGAGCCACTGAATCGCGTTGAGGTCCTTGATGCGTATTTTGCGTCTTTCATGAAGATTGCCGCTCAGGCTTAACGACAAATCTTCTTCAAATGCTGCTTCGCTGTTTCAACACAGAACTAGTTCCTATGATATAATTTTTCTTGTCTACATCCTCAAACCAGACTTATTCATGCGTGCACTCTATGGTACAATATTTGCACTATTCTTCGTTCTTTATCGCCGACGCAGAGGCGGTGGTAATTCACACCTTTGAAGTGGAGGATCAAACCGAGCTTGCTTGAAAAGTCGACGAGGAGTAAGAACTATTTCTACTGACCTAATAATAAATCCGAGAAGTGAAGCCAAGCAGAGTCAAGGTCGTCTCGTACATGCACCTCCGCTTGCATGCGCATACAAGTGGTCAGAGTGTGATGCACAGGACCTGACCATGACGTGGTAATGTATTGGGACCGGAGACACTGTCATGGACTCTCTGAAAACAAGGAAGCAAATGAGAATGAGTCACAGATATAGAGGTAGGATGGCATCAAGGCTAGCTTGCAATAGTAGGAATGTCATACACGTAAGTCACAGTCTGCATGGCCCAAACATAGCAGTCTAAGATGACACCCCGGGAAAACAATCAGCCTTGCCAGCTCTACCGGTTACAACCGGCAAAACCGACCCTGAGTAGTTCTGCCATCCACTGAAGACCTGCCCATTGCCACGTCTGTATTCCTTGTGAAAAGAATACATTTTGATGACCAACGTTAAAGTCTAGCTTTGTTTCCTGATGTACATTAAAAACATTATATCTGAGGAGCGTACCTTTTTTTGCAATTTGGATCATCGTGTCCTTGGGCTCTTCCACTGCTCGATAGCATACCAAGGCAATGCAAGTCAGATCGGAGGTCTGTCAGCAATCTGCTGGCATTGCAAATATCATGTGTCGAAGGCGGATGTAAGGTGGATAGGCGCAGAATCATGTATTCACATCATAAAAGCAAGCCGTCTTCTTACTGTCTCTCTTTAAATTTATTTTCGAGATCCCATATCGCATCTCACATATAATGCATTTCTCCTTCCGAGTCATCCTCGCCGTTGTTGCTGCTTTGACGATGTCTACGGCTGTCAGCGCTCGATGCCAAAAAATTGGCACTACTTGCGGCACAAATGAAGATTGCTGTTATGGGTATAAATGTGTGGCAATCTTACATCGATTCGTCGATGGTGAGGTGAGTATGAGTAGTTTCATCCACAATTTATTGACTCACCAGTATGGTAGCCTTTCTACATATATGAGTGTTACCCCTGAGCAGTGAGGTCGAATGAGTCATGTCTGCTTTCGCATTGGTGTAGTGTGGTTGATGGCACCAACGTGTAAGTAGTTCGTTGTTCAATGCGGAGTGTTTCTGAACAAATTTTACTGCTGCTTGAACAGTGAAGACCTTGAAGCAGAGGGACATCTCGAGCACTCGAGTGTATGATATATGACTCAAGTACTTACGGTTGTACCCCCATTGTAAACTTGTAGAATACTTCATGAGTCCCCGAACGATTGTAGTTGTGAACTGGGTTCCTGGTGCTAAACCTAATCAAGGTAAGTCACCGATAGAGACTCGACATCGAGAGAGGCTCTGCTAATAAAGTGGGCAATTTCGACTCGTGGTTAGTCATATGCAACGAAAGATATGGAGAAGCACATTCTTAGAGCTTGAAGGCCCGCCAACTTGCCATATGCACGTTGTAAAAGTCCAAGTCGTCTAGCAGAATGACAAGCTGCGCAGCATCCAGAAAATAACGTCACACCTAGCGACTACTCTTCTCTAGAATTTGGACTGAGCCTCAGCTGCTGATCTCCCGAAATCCGAATTCGCATTCCCCGATGCACGAGGAGACTCCGAAGTTCTCTCAGCATCTATGAGACGCCTATACTGAGCTTCGGGGATCTTCGTGTCGTCAAACGTAGGCCGGTACAACAACGTATTGGTCCAGCAACCATAGAATAACAGGGACCTGAGAGCAAGTCATATCCGAGGTTCGTTGGACTCTGCTGGCATTGCACATGCACATCCATCTTATAAATTATAGGTTAGTACTTAGTAGGACATACAAATAAACCGTCTCTCTTAGCTCTACCGTTCCCCTGCCTCCGGTCCTCCGAATCCATCATTTCGAGATTTCATCTTACAAATAATGCGTCGCCCCTCCATCCTGAGAACGAAGGGTTGACTCGAAAGTCTCCACAAGGTTGTTGGCTGGAAGAAGGAAGATGCTTGGAGGATGCACGAATCCGAAGGTGTGGGAGACGAAGAGACAATGGCAAATGCCGGGCGGTAACCTCTGATGACCATCATGCTAGCGGGATGTCTTCAAGTTACTGTCTGTTTGCACAATCTGAATTGTCTACCTATCAGGCAATTTATGGGCCATGTCCTCATTTCTGCCTTTAAACGCTGACATGAACGTCTCCACCATGATATCGCTCAAAGGTGTAGTCGCACTATTCGGATCAATATTAATGTGAATCACTGGAAACTCAGATCTACACACTACCTCAAGGGACCACCTTCACAGCTAGAAACTTATCAGCTTGAAATTCATGGGACAAGTCTTTGTGAAGATCATGCTCAAAATCAATCCATTGCAGCATTTTAGCGTACAGAAGACTCGTACATCTCGCCGATCTTGCGTGATGGACAGACTGAAACACTAGAGACTTGGTGTCCCTCACCTTCCTGGCAGAACAGTTCAGATGTGGAGTGGAGGAAGCCCAGGCTGGGCCTGATAAGTTCCTTTGCCATCCTACGGACTCCGCTTTCCTTTCGTTCTTCCTGCAAGCAATCCCAGAATGCACCTCAATTTCATCTTTTCTCTTGGTGGTTGGCGAATCAGATTCTCGCCCTCCCGATTCAACAATTAATTGGAGCTAATAGGACGCTTCAATCACGCTGTCTAAGACTAAGTACAATTTTTGCATGCTGGTCTTGGCCGCTATTAACCAGGGTACAGGAGATGCCTCTGCACAGACTCAACGCGTAACACAAACACAACGAACTTGTGGTCCAATTTCCTTTTTCCCGGGAGCCTCGATTCATGCACCGGCCTATTCCCTGCATACTACCACTTCCCCATGAACCGCAACCTCTTGCACTACCGAGAGCAACGGCTCAAGGGTACGTGGATCGATATCGCTCCGCGATTCGTGCAACCGAAAATCTACCACTCGTATATTGCAAGACCCAGTAACTGCAAGCGCCTCCGTAATCATCTTGACGTCTGGTTTGCCCACTCCCATCAACAAAGTCAATTTCTGCAACACGGGAAGATGAAGTCCACGGAATGTGTCGATAAACATATCCGCAGGACGATGGTCGAAGGGAAGGGTCATCGATTCAAGGCAAGAATACGTCACTGAATGACCCCCCATCCCCGACACATAGGATGTAAGTATACGTACACCGAGGGTTTCTAAACGAGGGAATATGTCTGGAAAGTAGCGTATCCCACTGGCTAGAGCCTGATGGATGTAGAGATGACGTATGCTTCCGCAGGCAGCATTGGGTTTGAATGATTGGATGGTATCCGACAGTGAATACATGATACGTGCGCGACAGAGATTTGGTGCATTGAATTTGATGAGATCTGTCAAGTCCCAGAGCCGATCTAGCGTTCTCAGCTGGGGCGTATTGAAGTGATCACTCCTATTGAATGTGGATGAGGGAGCAGACACTGTTTCCCAACGCCTGGTCTCATCATAAAGAATCTCGAGCAGTCGAGAATTCACATCCTGGCAGGAATGTCGGCTTAAGGAGGAGAGAAAATAAATATCAAGGTGATATATGCAAATGGTGAGAGGTAGATTGCCAGACTGAGCGAGCCAAAACTGGAGTAGAGAGGGAAAGAACAGCGTAAGTGGCTTGAGGAGTATTCCGGGAAGCACGACTTTGATGCGCGACCAGATCTCTGGCGTTGAATATGCAACGTCCCGCCAATGGCGGCACACTCGAGTGAAGAGCAGGGGCGGGCTAGCAAAATTTGCTGACATGGCGATGGTTTTACTATCATATGAGAAGATACTAGGACAATCTGGTTCGTCGTTGACGGCGAGCAAGAATACGACCTGTAAAACTTCTACTAGCAACTGATGCATAATGGGTGGGCATGTAGTCCAGGGCCGGGTCATAGATGTTTCGATGAGCGAATGCATCAAGCGACAGTTTGGCTTTATCGGATTCGCAAGGCTTCAAATAAAGAAGAGTCACTGAATGTTCAAAATAGGAGATTGATCTCCTGAGTATCACACGTGACTAGTGCGCCAACAGAGGCTATCATCGCATCGTCGCAAGGATCAATGTGAATTACCCCATCTGCTTCGGATAAACCAGCACACCTCAGTTTGTATTTTTTCCAGACCAACGCGGGATCGGGCATGGCTGGCGGGCAGGAACACCAGCTTGCGATGTTTCAGAGGAACTCAAATTCATGGACAGCATCAAGATGCACGAGAGTTTTGACGTAGTAGCATAGTGCTGGGTGCGATGATGTATGGCGGCATGAAATATGTGAAAAAAACTACATAGGACCTTCAGACGACAGCCCTTACTCTGCGTCTACAACAGCGGTTTGGAGGCCCTGGCAGAAGGTTGTTGTCGAGGACAGAACAAATAACAGAGGGTAAATACACACCTTGAACGAGGTCACAACTACATGGCTGGCATATGTGAAAAGTTTCTCCTTTGCGCCCTCATCATCATTACGCTTGCCTGTAAAAAGTAGACCGTCAGTATTATGATCAATTTGGAAATATAGCACGTACGCTCAAGCTTTACTCTTATCCGGTGAGGGACGCTCTTAACACCTCGAGCCCACAATGCCTGGTTGAGCTTGGGGTCCAACCGAACATCGGTTGTGCCCATGGATTTGCGGGCGAAATCGACAACAGATTTTACGGCCCATGGGGCACGCTTTTTGAAGGAGCGGCCATGCACGAGCTTGTGCAGATGGATGGTGTATTCACGAGTTACAACGTCTTGAAGAGCGGAGCGCTTGCCGCCAGTCTATGATAAGATTTAAAGATGTATCACGGGTGAAGGTCATGATAGCACACACCTTGCCGCTTTTTGTCCTGGCCTAAAAATGGTTCGAATTAGTTTCTCAAAGGGTAGAGCAAGGATGTGGCTTACCATGTCTTGAGGATGTATAATGTGACGAGCTCGTCTAACTGGGACAGCAGATGTCGCACAGACTTTGGTTGTGTTTGGTTAGTGTAATGATGACATAAGGTTCAAGTGGCTGAGGTACTTGATAGTTTTTCGGATATGTCCGAAACACGTGATACGTATTTACAACAATGCGGTGCGGCGGACTTGTACCAATTTGAAGGCTAAAAATAGTATAAGCATTATGTTCTGGATTTACATGTTGCCTTTGTTTCCCAGCTCGTCTGCTTTGTTGTCATGTACATTATCTGTAGCTGTATATAAGGTCTCTCTTCGAAGACTCACCTTTGTTCATCCTGTCTTCTTCTTTCGCACTCTTTTACTCAATCCATAATGCGCTTTGCTGTCGTCGTTCTTACTCTCTCCGTCGCTGTCTCGTCCGCGTTTGCGGCATTGATCGCACGTCAAAGCTTGCCCAGTATGTCTATTTTTTCTTTGTCATCATACAACGGTATCTGACATCATCAGATTGCGCTGTCCCTTGCCTGACGGATGCTGACTTTGGCAACTGTTCTTCTACCGACGACAACTGTCTTTGCCACAGCCAGGCTTTCATCAACAGCACCACAACCTGTATTCAAGCATCTTGTACGGGCTCTGACCTCACAAATGCCGACGCAGCTTCCCAATCACTCTGTGCTGCAGTGGTATGTTATAGATATCCTTGTTTCTTGAATGGCTGATAAATTGCATAATGCAGGGCGTCACCTTGACCGCTGGCAGCGCTGCTGCGACGGCTACCTCATCATCCAATAGTACCGCCACTGCTACCACAGCCAAGCCTTCGTCAGTCGTTCTTTCATTTATTTTTCGGTAATTAAAAAACTAAACGAATTGAACCAGGTCTTCCAACGCTGCATCATCGCATAGCATTAACATGCTGACTGGTGTAGCAGCCTTTGCCATCATGGCAGCGTCATTATAGAGGGATTGCGAGTCATCTCACTATCATTATTCTTTCGCATTCTTTTGCGCATTAGAACTTGTCAGGGTGTTTTGAAGTTGACGTTGAGCGCTGAGCATTAACTCACGATTACCTGATTGATTTCTTGCATGCGATTCCGAGTCGATAGAGGAGAAATTTATGGGGTTATATAGTTATCTATGTAGTTAAACTTCGTCATTCATCTACTCGGTCGCCACGTTAGGCAATTTATTTGATTTTGTGTGCACAAGCGCCCATGGCCTCCGACTCAATTTGCAGTTGAATTTGCGTACTTCAGACCGTCATCGGTTCATCACCCACCAAGCTCCAAGGCTGGCCTTCTTCTGCAGATCACAAGAAATTGCCGCCAAGCCTACGTACGCCCCTTTTCATAGGCTGTACCGACCGTTGAGCCCGTTGATCAGTGCGCCTAATATTCCGAGGTCACCGTCACGCTATCTCCTACATCCACCATGCAACCAAAGACATTGCGATTTCAGTTGAAACGAATTCCCTTGGCACTCGTGGTTGGGCTGTTACTAGGCTTGCTAATTGGAAAGACACTACCAACAAGCGTATGTCTGTCTATACTTTGACAGTTTTACTATCATGACAACGCATGATTGTTTTGTAGCTCTTGTCAACAGGCGGGAACAATCCCATATTCGTGTCTCGCTTGTCTGCTCGCAAACAAATCACCCTGCCTAGCATTGACCAGCGCCGCCGTGTCCTAGACCTGCTCTCCACGTTGTCTCCGCACCATACCACAGAGTGCACACGAAATTCCCAGCCGCTTTACGTTCAGCAAGTCCGAGACCGATATGATTCTCTTATAGGACACAAAACTCCTTCTGAATCCACCTGGTTCTCTTCTTGGGGATTTTCCGACTCCCAACACGTACACAACGTTCCAAAAAAAGAGCACAAATATTTTTTCGCCATCAACTTGTATAACTCCTTCGATGTCATCCCTGACTTGTTTGCAACTCTTTTTCGAGTCTCTGCTATCTTGGGGTATCACAACGTCTATGTCTCCATATACGAAAATGGCTCGACAGACCAGACGAAAGCGCTGCTACGAATATTCGACGCCCTCACTCGTAGTGTAGGCTTACGTGTTACTATTCGAACCTCTACACGTACACGAGGTGCCTTCAACCATCGTATAGAGTACCTTGCGGAGGTCCGCAACCAGGCTTTTAACCCACTCCACGAGCTCCGCGACTCGCACAACGAGTACTTTGACACCATCATATTTATGAACGATATCCTCCCATGCGTGGACGACTTGCTTGAGCTGATCTGGCAAAGTAGGCGGAATAATGCAGGTATAACATGTGCTTCTGACTACATGTATCATAAAGAGCTGGTAAGTCCCGTTATTGCACTCACAGCCTAAGCTCATTTTCCATTTTTGTATATAGTCCTCCCCCGTGTTTTATGATAATTGGGTCGCCCGCGATATCAACGGGACAGCGTTGGAAAATGCTCCGTTCGAAAGCGTCTTCCATGATCCCTACTCCTCCGACCGTTTCCAGATGCACCTTCCCATACAGGTCCAGTCGTGTTGGAATGGCATTGCAGTCCTGGACCCTGCTCCATTTTACACCCCCCCTTATATCAAATTCCGTATGGCTCGACTCACAGATGAGGAGTGTTCTGCTTCAGAGTGTAGTTTGATCTGCAATGATTACTGGCAGGCTGGGTATGGGCGTATATTGATGGTACCGCGGGTGAAGCTAGCGTACGACAAAGTATGTTTTTGGTTGAAATGCAATTCGATGTCTGATGGATTAAATGATTTTTTTGCAGAGAGTATTTGATATCATACATCCTTCAAGACGGAACCTTACTGCTATCCGTGGTTATATGCGTCTTGGGGGACTTCCGGACAATCCACGGACAGATCCACAGGACCGGTCATGGTTTGGTCCTCATGACCGTTTGTTCACGCCGGAGGAAAGTGAAGAGCTTGATTTTGTGCCCGGGCCTTCGCATGGTACGTACTGCGTTCTTTATTCTACTCCCCGACTTACGAGTCATGCAGTATGGTGTTGGGGCTGGGACGGTGCAGGCGATATAGATGGTCCCGATGTGGATCCAATCTGGGAGCGGATGCCCGACCGTTCGCAGCATGTAGATTCTGTGAAGGTGAAGCATCACAGGGAGATGAGCGAGCTGTGATGCGTTCGGACATAACATGGACATCTGGGTAGTATGATCTGTTAATTGCGTCGAACTTATTTGGTTTGCGTGGTGTATCTCTACGAAGGTATGTCTACTAGAGACGCGATTCTGTGGAATTTCAAAAGTGCTTGTCTTCCCACTGCAGTTTACTTGCTAGACTCGTCATCCCTAAGAGTAGCTTCAGTCAATGTTAAGTTATTGCGGTAATTAATAACGATGAGTGACCCAGGAGTAAGTATCACGCGTACTCGCCTTCGAACTTCGAACGGCGAACACTGGGGAAATAGTATTGGCAGTGTCATTTCCCTAGATAGAGTGACCTCCGCTCGAGATAATATGTCACTGACGCTTCGTAAAGGGCACTTGGCACAGTTGGTAGCGCGCACGCTTCGCATGGATAGATTGCGTGAGGTCGTGGGTTCAACTCCCACAGTGTCCATTCTTTTGTGTTTCTCGTCATTAACCTCATTTGGCGCGGAGTTAAGGCATAAGGGTTCACCCTTCCTTGACATCCCGCCTTTGCTTCGTATTTCGGCAGCTTTCGACGGTACTTTTTTCTTTTTCGTCTCAGAGGTTTTATGCAACGACGCTTAGGCTCTGGCAAGGCTCTGGCACGCATCTCCCCTCCCAATCACCGCCGATTGACGGGCATGGGCCCAGATTCTAGTAAACACACTAACAGGTGGAATCAAAGGGTGCTAGGCGTCACCAATAGAATATGGGCCATCATCCTCGGATTCGTCCTACTGATCGCGCTATCGCGGTTTATACTCTTCTCAAACCATACCAGCGCTGGGTCATTTACAACAGAAGGCCTCGTACCAAAGAATTATTTGCATGGGGCCAACAACCCTATCGACAATTCATCCGAGGTTGCAAATCCGTTTGACTTTTGCCCTGTGTTTGGGCCCAAGGATGATATTGCGAATAAGTATGGGGTGGTTCCGTTGTCGCAGAGTCGGTTGCATTTGGGGAGTGGGGGGAGGGTGCACCGGGTTATTCACAAAGCACTTTTGGGTCAGCCTGTGACTATCAGCGTGCTTGGCGGTTCTAGTGCGTGTTCTTTATTTTGCAAAAGAACTTATATTGATGGTGTAATTGTGTAGTATCTGCATGTCATGCAGCAGGAGATGATCCATTGTCTTCCACCTGCTATCCTTCACGCTTTTTCCAGTGGTGGTCGAGTGTTTTCCCTCACCCGGCATCAGAGCTTACCAACGGTGCTATGAGGCGAACAAACTCAGGGTACTTTGGATTTTGTAGCTCGCATCATATCCCAGAGAACACCGACTTGGTGATACTCGAATTTGACGTCGACGATGAAGGGTAAGCACAGATCTCCGCCTAAAGTGTTATGTGGCGTTTAAATTCTACCAGCAACCAGCGTGCGATGGAGCATTTCGAGTTGATGGTTCGCTCAATATTGGACCGCCCTGATCAACCTGCAGTCGTCATTCTAGGGCATTTTAGTGCACAAACACACCAGGTATATGGATTTGCAGGACCTGACCATTGGCACAATATCGTCGCACAATTCTATGACGTACCGCATATCAGGTATAATTTCATTACCTGTCAAAAGAATATTTTCTGACGCCTGTGTAAAGCGTCAAACCCATACTATATCCGTCTTACATGGCAAACCCCGACCTCATTAAGCCTTACTTTGCGGACCCCATTCTTGCAAATCCGGCAGGTCATGAACTTATAACCGACGTTCTCGTATCGTACTTCCAATCTCAGATATGTGCCGCGTGGTCAACGGCGCGTGGCCAGTCGTACGAGACCATTCCTATCATGATGTCACATGGTTACCTCCAGGTGCAGATACGCATCTCTTTGGCGGAGTAGGCGCAAGGAAAGGTGCTGCGGGTGCCTGAACCACCACGCCCAGTAGATGACGGTGCAGAAGCCGAGAAGAAAACACGCACTAACTCTTGCCCAAGCAGAGTCCCATCCTTACCAATATACCCTGAACTCCGATTCCTCCTGTGCGAATCAATACGCGCCTCAAAGACCCGCTGCCATTCGAAGAGGTCGCCCCATTTTGTGCGTCTGCTAATGACCTCGTGAACCCTGTACCTCCGTCGCTTTTCTACGGGTCTGGCTGGGCAGCGGCGCATCCTCCGGCAGGGTCCAGGGTCCTCTCCGTTGCTTACGGCTGGATATTATTGGTATAGCTCGCTGCCTACGAGCAGATTGCGCGTACCTATCAAAGTAGGCGCTGGAGACGTCGGGATTTATTTCTTGAAGGAGCCTATGAGCCGGATTGGGGAAGGAAGTGAGATTGAATGTTGGGTGGATGATAATTTCAGAGGTGCGGTGATTATAGGAAATGCAGGACATGTCAGAGGGGGCGCCGACGTGAGTGTCTTGTTTTATTTTCATTTGTGTGCGGTCATTAATGGGTCATCAAGTCTTATGATGATTGATCAATTTGTCACGAGAGGATCGCACTTCATCGAGTGCGTGCTACTTGGAGACGAAGGACAAAGTGTTCCTCCTTTCAAAATCATTGGCGTATTCGCAACTTAGGACATCATCAAAAATGAGGGATAAAAATGGACATACCTGTGGACGCTAATGCTGATATCGCCAGGTGGTAGCTATCAGTAGTGATCTATCATTGTAAACCTCAAGGTGGTTGTACTATTGAACACTGACAATCCGGCTGATGAACTTTCTTTTTATAATATAACTAAGGAATTTATTGTTGCTTTGGATTTCTTCTAATACGACAGTAATAGGGTTCCTATGTTCGAAGCCATGCTGTCTTCGCAATTTTCTTTAATTTCTTCTGTTCCTTGAACCGCTCCTGCAAAATGAAAATCAACATCCGATAATGAACGGAATCCATGTCTGATCTTACCAGATCTTTCTTTGTCGGGCGTTTTCTCTTCTTGCCTTCTCCCTCGGCCTCAATCTCAGCCCTGTTACGGGCCTCGACATCGCTCTCCCAAGCACCAACGTCAAAGTAGAACTCGCTCATGCGCTTAGCACGTTCATACTCTGACAAGTGAGTAGGATCGCG